TATGCTTTTGGATGCGTTTTTGGTCATAAAAAAGGTCTTCCTCTACTCGGATCTGGGAGTCAATTTTTTTCTACACTTTTCGGTGTATTCTGTGCAAGAATATGCAATAAAATCGTCTGCCTAAGTAAAATTGAATTTTTTTGAAAGGTTTTTTATGCTTTTGAATGCATTTTTGGTCATAAAAAAGGTCTTCCTCTACTCGGATCTGGGAGTCAATTTTTTTCTACACTTTTCGGTGTATTCTGTGCAAGAATGTGCAATAAAATCGTCTGCCTAAGTAAAATTGAATTTTTTTGAAAGGTTTTTTATGCTTTTGGATGCGTTTTTAGTCATAAAAAAGGTCTTCCTCTACTCGGATCTGGGAGTCAATTTTTTTCTACACTTTTCGGTGTATTCTGTGCAAGAATATGCAATAAAATCGTCTGCCTAAGAAAAATTAAATTTTCTTGAAAGGTTTTTTATGCTTTTGGATGCATTTTTGGTCATAAAAAAGGTCTTCCTCTACTCGGATCTGGGAGTCAATTTTTTTCTACACTTTTCGGTGTATTCTGTGCAAGAATATGCAATAAAATCGTCTGCCTAAGAAAAATTAAATTTTCTTGAAAGGTTTTTTATGCTTTTGAATGCATTTTTGGTCATAAAAAAGGTCTTCCTCTACTCGGATCTGGGAGTCAATTTTTTTCTACACTTTTCGGTGTATTCTGTGCAAGAATATGCAATAAAATCGTCTGCCTAAGAAAAATTGAATTTTCTTGAAAGGTTTTTTATGCTTTTGGATGCATTTTTGGTCATAAAAAAGGTCTTCCTCTACTCGGATCTGGGAGTCAATTTTTTTCTACACTTTTCGGTGTATTCTGTGCAAGAATATGCTTTAAAATCGTCTGCCTAAGTAAAATTGAATTTTCTTGAAAGGTTTTTTATGCTTTTGGATGCGTTTTTGGTCATAAAAAAGGTCTTCCTCTACTCGGATCTGGGAGTCAATTTTTTTCTACACTTTTCGGTGTATTCTGTGCAAGAATATAAAATAAAATCGTCTGCCTAAGTAAAATTGAATTTTTTTGAAAGGTTTTTTTTGCTTTTGGATGCGTTTTTGGTCATAAAAAAGGTCTTCCTCTACTCGGATCTGGGAGTCAATTTTTTTCTACACTTTTCGGTGTATTCTGTGCAAGAATATGCAATAAAATCGTCTGCCTAAGTAAAATTGAATTTTTTTGAAAGGTTTTTTATGCTTTTGAATGCATTTTTGGTCATAAAAAAGGTCTTCCTCTACTCGGATCTGGGAGTCAATTTTTTTCTACACTTTTCGGTGTATTCTGTGCAAGAATATGCAATAAAATCGTCTGCCTAAGTAAAATTGAATTTTTTTGAAAGGTTTTTTATGCTTTTGGATGCGTTTTTGGTCATAAAAAAGGTCTTCCTTTACTCGGATCTGGGAGTCAATTTTTTTCTACACTTTTCGGTGTATTCTGTGCAAGAATATGCAATAAAATCGTCTGCCTAAGAAAAATTGAATTTTCTTGAAAGGTTTTTTATGCTTTTGGATGCATTTTTGGTCATAAAAAAGGTCTTCCTCTACTCGGATCTGGGAGTCAATTTTTTTCTACACTTTTCGGTGTATTCTGTGCAAGAATATGCAATAAAATCGTCTGCCTAAGTAAAATTGAATTTTTTTGAAAGGTTTTTTATGCTTTTGAATGCATTTTTGGTCATAAAAAAGGTCTTCCTCTACTCGGATCTGGGAGTCAATTTTTTTCTACACTTTTCGGTGTATGCTGTGCAAGAATATGCAATAAAATCGTCTGCCTAAGTAAAATTGAATTTTTTTGAAAGGTTTTTTATGCTTTTGGATGCGTTTTTGGTCATAAAAAAGGTCTTCCTCTACTCGGATCTGGGAGTCAATTTTTTTCTACACTTTTCGGTGTATTCTGTGCAAGAATATGCAATAAAATCGTCTGCCTAAGTAAAATTGAATTTTTTTGAAAGGTTTTTTTTGCTTTTGGATGCGTTTTTGGTCATAAAAAAGGTCTTCCTCTACTCGGATCTGGGAGTCAATTTTTTTCTACACTTTTCGGTGTATTCTGTGCAAGAATATGCAATAAAATCGTCTGCCTAAGTAAAATTGAATTTTTTTGAAAGGTTTTTTATGCTTTTGAATGCATTTTTGGTCATAAAAAAGGTCTTCCTCTACTCGGATCTGGGAGTCAATTTTTTTCTACACTTTTCGGTGTATTCTGTGCAAGAATGTGCAATAAAATCGTCTGCCTAAGTAAAATTGAATTTTTTTGAAAGGTTTTTTATGCTTTTGGATGCGTTTTTAGTCATAAAAAAGGTCTTCCTCTACTCGGATCTGGGAGTCAATTTTTTTCTACACTTTTCGGTGTATTCTGTGCAAGAATATGCAATAAAATCGTCTGCCTAAGAAAAATTAAATTTTCTTGAAAGGTTTTTTATGCTTTTGGATGCATTTTTGGTCATAAAAAAGGTCTTCCTCTACTCGGATCTGGGAGTCAATTTTTTTCTACACTTTTCGGTGTATTCTGTGCAAGAATATGCAATAAAATCGTCTGCCTAAGTAAAATTGAATTTTTTTGAAAGGTTTTTTATGCTTTTGGATGCGTTTTTGGTCATAAAAAAGGTCTCCTCTACTCGGATCTGGGAGTCAATTTTTTTCTACACTTTTCGGTGTATTCTGTGCAAGAATATGCAATAAAATCGTCTGCCTAAGTAAAATTGAATTTTCTTGAAAGGTTTTTTATGCTTTTGGATGCGTTTTTGGTCATAAAGAAGGTCTTCCTCTACTCGGATCTGGGGGTCAATTTTTTTCTACACTTTTCGGTGTATTCTGTGCAAGAATATGCAATAAAATCGTCTGCCTAAGAAAAATTAAATTTTCTTGAAAGGTTTTTTATGCTTTTGGATGCATTTTTGGTCATAAAAAAGGTCTTCCTCTACTCGGATCTGGGAGTCAATTTTTTTCTACACTTTTCGGTGTATTCTGTGCAAGAATATGCAATAAAATCGTCTGCCTAAGAAAAATTGAATTTTCTTGAAAGGTTTTTTATGCTTTTGGATGCATTTTTGGTCATAAAAAAGGTCTTCCTCTACTCGGATCTGGGAGTCAATTTTTTTCTACACTTTTCGGTGTATTCTGTGCAAGAATATGCTTTAAAATCGTCTGCCTAAGTAAAATTGAATTTTCTTGAAAGGTTTTTTATGCTTTTGGATGCGTTTTTGGTCATAAAAAAGGTCTTCCTCTACTCGGATCTGGGAGTCAATTTTTTTCTACACTTTTCGGTGTATTCTGTGCAAGAATATAAAATAAAATCGTCTGCCTAAGTAAAATTGAATTTTTTTGAAAGGTTTTTTTTGCTTTTGGATGCGTTTTTGGTCATAAAAAAGGTCTTCCTCTACTCGGATCTGGGAGTCAATTTTTTTCTACACTTTTCGGTGTATTCTGTGCAAGAATATGCAATAAAATCGTCTGCCTAAGTAAAATTGAATTTTTTTGAAAGGTTTTTTATGCTTTTGAATGCATTTTTGGTCATAAAAAAGGTCTTCCTCTACTCGGATCTGGGAGTCAATTTTTTTCTACACTTTTCGGTGTATTCTGTGCAAGAATATGCAATAAAATCGTCTGCCTAAGTAAAATTGAATTTTTTTGAAAGGTTTTTTATGCTTTTGGATGCGTTTTTGGTCATAAAAAAGGTCTTCCTTTACTCGGATCTGGGAGTCAATTTTTTTCTACACTTTTCGGTGTATTCTGTGCAAGAATATGCAATAAAATCGTCTGCCTAAGAAAAATTGAATTTTCTTGAAAGGTTTTTTATGCTTATGGATGCATTTTTGGTCATAAAAAAGGTCTTCCTCTACTCGGATCTGGGAGTCAATTTTTTTCTACACTTTTCGGTGTATTCTGTGCAAGAATATGCAATAAAATCGTCTGCCTAAGTAAAATTGAATTTTTTTGAAAGGTTTTTTATGCTTTTGAATGCATTTTTGGTCATAAAAAAGGTCTTCCTCTACTCGGATCTGGGAGTCAATTTTTTTCTACACTTTTCGGTGTATTCTGTGCAAGAATATGCAATAAAATCGTCTGCCTAAGTAAAATTGAATTTTTTTGAAAGGTTTTTTATGCTTTTGGATGCGTTTTTGGTCATAAAAAAGGTCTTCCTCTACTCGGATCTGGGAGTCAATTTTTTTCTACACTTTTCGGTGTATTCTGTGCAAGAATATGCAATAAAATCGTCTGCCTAAGTAAAATTGAATTTTTTTGAAAGGTTTTTTATGCTTTTGGATGCGTTTTTGGTCATAAAAAAGGTCTTCCTCTACTCGGATCTGGGAGTCAATTTTTTTCTACACTTTTCGGTGTATTCTGTGCAAGAATATGCAATAAAATCGTCTGCCTAAGTAAAATTGAATTTTCTTGAAAGGTTTTTTATGCTTTTGGATGCGTTTTTGGTCATAAAGAAGGTCTTCCTCTACTCGGATCGGGGGGTCAATTTTTTTCTACACTTTTCGGTGTATTCTGTGCAAGAATATGCAATAAATTCGTCTGCCTAAGAAAAATTGAATTTTTTGCTTCCTCGTGGAGGAAGCTTTGTAGTCCTTTCGTTTATAAAACTTTTCAAAGTGGCGGAAACAAATTTTTTTCTTTATAGAAACAAATTAAAATTTTCATATTCATATGGATTTTATTAAACAAATAAATAAAGAACTTTTATTCTTTTATATGAGATCCTGATCAATTGTCCGGATGTATGTATGTGTGTGTGTGTGGATCCCTTTTTTGTTTTGAAGATCATGTAATGAACATCTGAATTTACAACTTGTTTATTTAAATATTTATAAATTGTCATTGTCTTTTTATAAATACATAATAAGATTATAATACTTTAATACAATTTAATTTATTTTATAAATAATTATATCTTAAATTAATTACATACTATTTTCTATATTAATTCTAAATGTTAGTATTACATACAATTTTCTATATTAATTCTAAATTTCAATTGAATATTTAATTTTTTACTTTAAATCTGAATAAAATTTAGTATTTGTTGAAAATAAATCATGTAATTTATTTGCCATTCGTACCATTCTTGTTTCCGTTGGACTTTCATAATCACGCATTTCAATAACCAATACTTTTCTACCACGTATATTAGCATAACGCATACCTTCAATTATAAATTGAAATTTTGAATTAAATATATGTATAAAATTATTGTAATTATTATTTTGTTTAATAACACGATTTAAATCAACAACACCAGCTTGATTTGTTAATGTTATTTCCATTAGCACTGGGAATTCCGATGATTTTCCAGTTTGTTTTAAACAATTTAATTCCTCAATATCACGCGTACGTGTAAACATTAAAATTTTATCAAATACAACAATTTTATTATCCATAAATGATTTAACAATATTTGGTGACAGTTCACTATTAATTATTTCACCACGATATAATTTAATTGATTTATAAATAAAATCATCATTACATTGTCTTAAACCAATACGATTAATTGCTGCCTCTAAACGTCTTATTCCATCTTTATTTTCGACTAAACGATGTTTAAGATGTGAATACAATACATAGTAATCTTCAAATCGTAATTGTTGTTCGGCATTGATTAATAATTTATAATTTAGAAATGCTTCTTCAATATTTTGTAAATAGACGGAACTGTATATGAATTGAATTTTTCGTTTTGCGGTAGATAATTCGGTGATTTGATCTAAATTTTGATTTAGAAGAACATCTTGAATGTAATGATGATTCTCAATTCGCCAATCATCGTAGGGATATTGAAATTGCATATACATTAAATCGTGGGCAAATTTATTGTAAGTTGGCACAAGACTAGTGCTACTTGGATTTGTATTTAGTATATATGTTGAGAATATATCCTTTGATGTTGTATATCGACACATAAGTGTGTTTTCACACAAAAAATTCGCTGCCTTACCAATTGTCTCCATACGTGTTGATTCGGTGATTTGATTTTCAATTCCTAAAATATTATTTTTATTTCTTAATTCCCTCCATAAATTCTCATCAATTCCATGATTTCTAAGATGTACTATTAAAATTTTATCCCTTGGTGTGTAGAAAATTTCAGTTACTGTAAATAAAACATCATTGAATATAATGTAATTATTTTTAAATTCCTCATGAAATTGTGTTATATCAACAAATCCATAGGAAGAATCAATTGTCAAATGATAACGTACTTCAATTTCAATGGGAAATTCTTTTAATTTTCTACCCACCATTGCTTTTGGTGGTTCAGCACTCAACATTGTGATATCATTGAAAAAAAATGTTTTTCCCTTTAATGTTTTAACAAAATTAATATTATATTCACCACGAATTATTTGAGTGTACCATAATTTAGACGGTACTTTTAGTGGAAATTTTTGATTCAATTGCAAAAGTGCCAATTCATTACACGTTGTACGTAGTAAATTTATTTTCATTTTATTTCTTTTGATTAATGGCATACCATAATTTTTAAATGTCATTAAAATATCACGATATTTTATAAATGTTGAAGTTCCTATTATATTTAGCAAATCATTTGGTACATTGTTAATTAATTGTTTCGATGTTCCGGGAATATTGTCAAGTTCTTCTATTTGCTGTTGATGATATAAAAATGTTTCTGGATTTGTATCCAATTTTGTTTCCTTTATCTGATTTAAAAATGATTCTGGAACATTTTCATTAATTGTTTCAATTAATGGACTTAAATCAATTTCCTGTTTTAGTGATGATTTCACCGAATCACGAGGACTTGTAATCATTTCTAAATTATTGGGACGAAATTTTTTATGACGATATTCAGAATAATCAATTGGTGTTAATTTTCGTTTTAATTCGGGAACATTCCAACCGACTTTAATTCCAACAATTCCATCGGTGGAAAAATATTTTGCAGTCATTGTACGCAATGCATCGAGTGCTTGGGGATAATTGTGTTCTAATTTTGGAGTAGGAAAATTGTGTCCTGCTAGACTTCCTGTCAATGTTTCTAAATATTCAACACTTGTTACTTTAGGAAGATTTGAATTTTGATTTCTTGAAGTGCTAGGTAAATCAGAATTTGATAATTGATTAGATTCCAAATTCTGTTGTCTTGTATTCGCTGAACTTTCCGGTAATTCCGGTGATCGTGGTGCATAATTTCCCTCTGCTGGCTGATTTACATTTTCCGTTACTCTTCCTTTAGTTGATATTTTCTGCCAATTTACCCTATTATAATAGACATGATAATTATGAATTTTCCCAATATCTCCACCTTGGAAAATTAATTCATTAATTATAGAATTAACCCGTCGGAGAGTGTCCCAATTGTCCATTTTTAATTTACCTTTACTTTCACCAATTTCAGGAATGTATTCTTTATAGTAATTTCCCTCCCTCACTACTGGTAAGGGAAATGAATAACCCTCGATACTTCTTAATTCCATTGTTTTTCCAGCGGCAATTAAACATTTAGGTCCAAATAAGTTGAATCCACCTGGATAATAGTATCTAACAATTTCGTAATCGTTACTTTTGGCTAAAACCAATTCTTCGAAGACGAAATTCTTCTTCAATAAAGATTTTCCAAATAACACGATATTTTTAAACTCTGGAATTTTTTTAAAATTAGAAACTAAATTTTTGAACATTCTACATAAAGTCCGATAACTAAATCGACCAATTTGATATGATAATTCAAATCCCGGATCTAATGTTCGAAGCGATGTCACCGTGAAATCGGTTAAAAATTGTTTAGTAAGAATTTCGCTAGCAATTGTTCGATATGTCATTATGGAAAATTCCTTCATTACTTCAACGATTGGTAATTTCGCGATAATATTTGTCCTTGCAATAATATTTGAAATTAAATACTTTTTACCAATTTGCATTGCTAAACTTTCGGTTAATTTACTTATATATTTAACAGCTAAACCACCAACTGGAATTAAAGTCAATGCATCTAGTGTACAACTAAATACAGCGTTAATATGATCATTTGCCCATACACTTTCAATACAATTATAAAATGGAACAAGAGATTTTAGCAAATTTATAATTTTCTCACCAATCGTCTCATTGTAATAATTTTTCTTCAAACTTTGTATAAATTGTTTTGTCTTTATATCAGCAATTCTTTTAATAAATACCCTATAATCTTCATTAGATAGTTTGAGAGTACGGAAAAATATTGCAACTTCCATTTTTATTGTTGGATCATTAGCAACAGCTTTGGCAAATTGTTGTTCATTTCCCTTACACGTGAGTAGAGAAAGAATATTATTATCTTGTTTAAAAGCGTAAAAATTTGGTTCCTTATTTTTTTCTATTAAGGCAAATAAAAGATAAATATCATTATTCGCCTTTCGTAGGGTTGGTGGAATATTTGCCATAAACATATCATAATTAGGAACAATTCCAAGTTCAACGGTAACATTTGAATTCATTTTCTCTGCTAATTTACTGTCGATTAATATTTTTTCTATTGCATTTCTCTCAATTGTATTATATAGAATTTCAATGTCAATGAAATATTGATCGTAAACTTCATTTAAATCGGGAAAATAATCATCTTCTTCAATATTGCATTCTTTAGGAAGTGTAGTTCTAAATATTGCCAATGGTAAAGTTTTATATAATTCCACATGAACTAAAGATACTTGTGCAATAGTTTTATAGTCACAAAATAGTCGAATTACTTCAGCGGCAATGTACGAACGACTTTTTAATGAATTCATTCGTTTTTCCAATTGATAATGTAAATTGCTATTAATGTCATCTTTTACAATAGTTGACATTTTGTAACGAATATATTTAAATAAATTTCTATAGGCACTAATCCAAAATTCATTATTTAGTGTATTGCTTTCTTTGAATTTCTCCTTTTGATTAAAGGCGTAGAAAAATAATGCTGGTGTTGAAAATAAATTTAATGCCATCTCATAGGCTGTGCTATTAAAATAAATGAAATCAATCTCGCGTGAAATCAAAATATATTCATGAAACGTAAGATTCGGAGATATAGCCGATACAGATCTAATGATTTTTAAACCTACCATTGCGTATATATAATTCACTTCCATTATGCTCATGTCTTGTTCGGGTTGAGGGAAAATTGGCCAAATGTGATTATCAAAAACTTTTTGAATTGTCAAACCGTTGAGACGGAAACTATAATTCCCTGACGAAATGCTTTTGGAAGTATAATTTCCTGATGGAATATTAATGGAACTATAATTTCCAGACAAAATATTAATGGAACTATAATTTCCTGATGAATTATTATTGGAACCATAATTCCCTAAAGGAATACTATTGGAACCGTTATTCCCTAACGGAATATCATTGGAACAATATTCCCTACTGGTGTAATTTTCCGAAAGATGCTGAAACACTTTCTCCTTAAGAACCGAATAATTTACATTATTAGCCATGTTAATGATTTTAGCCAAATATCCATTAATGTTTCCATAATGAGAAAATAGAGCCTCGCTAATGATATACTGATATGTTTCATCAACGTATTTCATGTCAAGTGTTTCATTTTCTCCACCACCATAGAGATCACTTCCCTTTAGTACTTTTTTTAGAAGTTGAAATTTTGCCTCGGATTCATTTTTCGATTTATTTAAATACTCAAACAGAGTATTTAAAACAGGAACAGACTGACTTTTCTCATCAAGTGTAATTAAATCATTGTTGTAAAAATAAATACCAAAAATAGTAATGTAGTGACAAACAGATAGAAATTGAAAATCTAATGATTGTTGCATGAAGATTGATGATGTGTTGCTATTCATTCTGAGATGGTCTGTTAATTCTGAAAATGATTATCGATTCTGAAATTGATTATCTTTTTCCTTCAGTTTAAAACATAAATTAATATCCAAGTTTAATTAATGTAATTAGGTAATTGATTTATTTAATTTAATTATTTAATTTATTTCATTAATTCAGTTACATAATTAATTTATTTAATTTAATTACTTTGATTATGTAATTAATTTAATTAATATAATTACGTTATTAATTAATTCTATTGATTACACAAATTAATTTAATTAATTCAGTGATGTTATTAATTTAACTTCTTTGATTATCTAATTAATTTCATTACTTTAATTACTTCAATTATCTAATTAATATAATTAATTAAGTTACGTTATCAATTCAGTGACGTTATTAATTTAATTAAAATGATTTAATTAAATTTAATTGTTTAGTTAATTCAGTTATCTAATTAATTTAATTACATTAATTACCTAATCAAATTAATTAATTCAGTTACGTTATTAATTTATCTACATTAATTATCTAATTAATTTAATTGACTTAGTGAAATTATTAATTTCATTACATTGATTATCTAATAAATTCACTGACGTTATTAATTTAACTTCTTTGATTATCTAATTAATTTCATTAATTTAATTACTTTAATTTTCTAAAACATAAAGTAATATCCAAGTTTAATTAATGTAATTAGGTAATTGATTCATTTAATTTAATTATTTAATTTATTTCATTAATTCAGTTACATAATTAATTTATTTAATTTAATTACTTTGATTATGTAATTAATTTAATTAAGATAATTACGTTATTAATTAATTGTATTGATTACACAAATTAATTTAATTAATTCACTGATGTTATTAATTTAACTTCATTGATTATCTAATTAATTTTATTAATAAAGTTACATTATCAATTCAGTGACGTTATTAATTTAATTACATTGATTCATTTAAATTAAATTACTTAGTTAATTCAGTTATATAATTAAATTTTAGTACTTTAATTACCTAATTAATTAATTTAATTAATTTAATGGAACTTACCAAATGTATATTTAATTTTGTTCCTCGCTTGTCAAAAATTATTACTTATATTAGAAAAAAGTTGAATTTTTTCAAACATTCTAAAATTTGTCTGTTACTTTAATAATTATTTTTATTCATCTATTGTCAATAGAAGATTAAATTTTTTACCTTCATCTTTTTTATGTGTTATTTCTTGTCTTTTTGGTGTATATTCAGTTGTTCTATTGATATTTTTTGTTTAACTATATTGATATTCAAACATCAATTCAAGGATATTTTCAAGTACACGTGTTTTTGAATATTATTAGTTTTTTTTATTATCTTGACAGATATGAAACTTTGATGGTACTAATAATGAGTATTTATATTAAATATAAAAAACGAAATTGAAAATGAAATATTTAAAATAATAATAATTAAAGGAATTAATTTTATTTGTACCATATGTTAATTAATTAATTAATTAATTAATTAAATTACCTAAACTATTTAATCACTTTACTATAGTAAATATCTAAGTTTAATTAATGTAATTAGCTAATTGATTTATTTAATTTAATTATTTAATTTATTTCATTTAATTACTTTGATTATCTAATTAATTGAATTAATTCATTTAAGTTATTTATATAATTTCTTCGATTACCTAATTAATTTATCTACATTAATTATCTGATTAATTTAATTGATTTAGTGAAATTATTAATTTAACTTTTTTGATTATCTAATTAATTTCATTAATTTAATTACTTCAATTTAGTGACGTTATTAATTTAATTACATTGATTTAATTAAATTTAATTACTTAATTAATACAGTTATCTAATGAATTTAATTACTTTAATTACCTAATTAAATTAATTAATTCAGTTACATTATTAATTTATCTACATTAATTATCTGATTAATTTAATTGATTTAGTGAAATTATTAATTTAATTACATTGATTATCTAATAAATTCACTGACGTTATTAATTTAACTTCTTCGATTATCTAATTAATTTCATTAATTCGCTTGTCAAAAATTATTACTTATATTAGAAAAAAGTTGAATTTTTTCAAAAATGCTTAAATTTGTCTATTACTTTAATAATTATTATTATTCATCTATTGTTAATAGAAGATTAAATTGTTTACCTTTATTTTGTCAACAATACTATTTGCTATTTCTTGTCTTTTTTGTGTATATTCAGTTGTTCTATTGATATTTTTTGTTTAACTATATTGATATTCAAACATCAATTCAAGGATATTTTCAAGTACACGTGTTTTTGAATATTATTAGTTTTTTTTATTAATCTTGACAGACATCAAACTTTGATGGTACTAATAATGAATATTTATATTAAATATAAAAAACGAAATTGAAAATGAAATATTTAAGATAATAATAATTAAAGAAATTAATTTTATTTGTACCATATGTTAATTAATTAATTAATTAATTAAATTACCTAAATTATTTAATCACTTTACTATAGTAATTATACTAAACATTAATTTAATTAAATTTACAATTTATTAATATGAATTTATTTTAATCTTTATTGAAATAAATTACAATATTAATTTTATAAGTACAGAAATTTTTATTTAATGACAACAATTTTTTTTTTTTTTTTTGATTATTACAATTTTATTTTATATCTAGAAAAAAGAAAAACTAAAATCAACATAAAAAAAAGAGTAAATTGAAAAAGAAACAATAAATAAAAATAACCCTGGCAAATTGAAAACAAATGAATGTGCGACGAATTTGTTGCACATTTATAATGAGACGAAATAATATTAATGTGCAACGAGTCTGCGCTAGGGAAATAACAATAATATTTAATTTAATTCTGAAATTTTATCTGCATAGAATTTAGTGTCAGTGGAAAATAATTCAAAAAGTCTATTTGCTATTTGAACCATCGTTTCTTCTTTTGAATTTCCAAAATGTTGTAATTTAATACAAAATACATCATGACCATTTAATAATTTAAATGCAACATCCTTTATGGCAAATTCAAAATTCGATGTAAATGTAAAAAATGAATTGTCAGCATTTATAAAACGACCAATATCAATAATACCAGCTTGATTTGCAAATGTAATTTCCATTAATGATGGAATTAATAACGATGATTGATCTTGATTTAATACTTTAACAACTTCATTATCACGATTTGACGATAATTTTAAAAACATATCAAATTCAACAACACAATTATTTTCAAGTGAATGAATTAAATTATTACATAATTCCGAACTAATCATATCACCACGATAAAGTACAATTGGTTTTCTAATCCATTCATTATCAGATTGTCTTAATGCCACTCGATTAATTGCCGCTTCAAAACGTCTTATTCCATCGACATTTGTTAATAATTTATTTTTAATCAACGAATAAATAACATAATAATCCTCAAATCGTAAATAATGTTCAACATTTGGAATTTTTTGATAATTTTCAAAAACCTCATCAATATTTTGCAAATGAATATCATTGTAAATTTCATGAATTCTACGTTTTGCTTCAGATAGATCAATAATTTCATCTAATTGATTATTTATTATTATATCTTTAATATAAGGATGATGATTTATTTTCCATTTATCAAAAGCAGAGGGAAAATTTAGATAAATAATATCCTGTGCCAATTTACTATAACTTGGTGTTATAATCGAATTTATTGATTTTATATCTAAAATATAATTTGATAGAAAATCCATTGATTCTTTAAATTTAAATAACAATGCATTGTCTGACATATAATTAGCAGCATTTTTTATAATTTTCAATCGTTGTGAATTTATTTCATCATTCTTCAATAAATTTTCAATATCATCTTCTCTTAATTTACGCCAAATTTTTTTTTCTATAAAATTATTTTCTAATTTAATATAACAAATACTTGCATGAGAATTAAAATTAACATCAATTACTTTAAAATAAACATTATTAAATGTAATATAATCATTTTTTAATAAATGATGAAAATTAGTTAAATCAATAAATCCATAGGGTGAATTAATTTCCAATTCATAATGTATTTGTATTTCAGAGGGAAATTTTTTATTTTTACCAATTTTCCTTAACATTGGTTCTTCATTATTCAATACAGTAATGTCATTAAAGTAAAATGTATTTCCTTTTAAATTTTGTAATACTGCATAATTATATTGTCCCATTACTGTTTGGGTGTACCATAATTTTTTTGGAATATTAAGTGGTAATTCTGTATCTAATTGTAGAAGAGCTAATTTATTAACAGCTGTTCGTAGAAAATTTATTTTATCACTTTCGAGCTTCATCAATGATAAACCCTTAATTTTTAACATCATTAGAATATCAAGATATCGTGTATATGTTTCATATGGTAGAATAGTTCTATAGAATATTGGTGATAAATTTGTTAAAAATTGTTTCGATGTACCGGGAATAGAATCATGATTTTGTATTCTGTAATTATAATATTCTTGTAAATCTTTTGTTAACGGTGCATTGGATTTTTGTATTTGATATTGATTTTGTAAATATATTTCTGGAATTTGGGAAATTAAATCCTTTCTTCTATCTATTTCCCGAATATTAGAAATTCCCTCATGTTCCTCACTTTCTGCTATTTCATCTATTCCTTTAGTTTCCAAAATTGGATTTTCATTTTTATCCCCACTTTGCTGATGTTTTAAAATTACATCCACTTTTTTACTATTAGAATTAGAACGAAATTTTTTATGACGATATTCGTAATCTAATTCCGTCATTCTTCTTTTGTTTTCCAAAAAATCTCCCACTTTTGATAATTCTAAATTCTCCTTTAATTTGATTTCATCATCAATGATTTTAGATTCCTTTTGTTCAAATTTAATAATTCCAGGCATTTCACTTTTAGCATTCAATAAATCCTTTAAACTTGTGGTATACAATGAATTAATATATTTTGAACTACTGGGTTCAATTTCCTTTGACGTTCCCGGTTGATCGAATATTGGAACTTGAGGAACAATATTTCCCCTCAAAGTTCCGGTTAATTCAATATTTGCCTGGGGATAATTAGAACCTAAATTACCACGTAATGTAACTTGAAATTCAGCATTTGGTATCAGTGCCTGAATAGATTCTTGAGAATTAGAAAAATTCTCCCTTGATTCTTGATTTTGATTTTTTGCTGATTCCTCTGGTTTTTTATTCCAATTTATAGTATTATGATACACATGATAATTATGCAGGGGATTTAGTTTCTCTCCTTGTAAAACAAGAACGTCCAATAAAAATCCAATACGATGTAAAACATCATTTTTATCCATTTTTAATTTAGTTGGAATTGTATCACCAGTTTTTGGAATAAATTGTTTGTAAATAATTCCATTGGGTGAATTTTCCGCCACAACTGGAATTGGAAAAGAATTTCCAATGATGGTTCTTAATTCTGCAGTTTTTCCTAAAGAAATTAAACAAGTTGGTCCAAAAAAGTGTGATCCACCTTGATAATAGTATCTAACAATTTCGTAACCGTTACGTTTGGCTAGAACCAATCCAATTTTATCGGAAACTAAATTTCTATTTTTCAGTATCGATTTTAAAAACAATATAATTCTATTAGCTGACGGAATATTTTGAAATTTGGTAATAATTTTATTAAATAGATGACGTAATCCATGCCAAGAGATTCTTGTACCTTGATAAATTAATTCAAATCCAGGATCCAGTGTTCGAAGCATAGATACAACTAAATCTTTCAAAAATCGTCTACTAAGAATTTCTCCCGCAATTGTCCTAACAGCTGTTTGGGATATTTGTTTCAAAATTTTGGTAATTGTCAATTTTTCCAAAATTCCTACAAGACTATTTGTAAGTAGATACCTTTCACCAATTTCAATTGTCAAAACACTGGTTAGTTTAGTTGTAAATTCTGTAGCAAAACCAAAAAATGGAATAAGAGACAAAATATCCATAGTGCAACTAAATGCAGCGTTAATTTTATTATTTTCACTTATACTCTCAATACAACTGTAAAATGGAATAAGTGATTTTATAAAATCGAGTATTTTCTCACCAATTGTTGGTTCTCTATAGTGATTCATTAGCTCTGCTATAAATTGTTTTGTCTTTATATCAGCAATTCTTTGTATAAACATTTTGTAATTTTCATTCTTTCTTTTGAGGAAATTTGCCAATATTTCTATTTCCATATTTAATGTAGGATCATTAGCAACTGCTTTAGCAAATTCTTGTTCATTTCCTCTATTTATAAGCAATTTCAAAGAATTCTTTTCCTGTCTAATTGCATAAAATTCTTGATTTTTGTTTTGTTTGATTACAAACAATAGATAAATATCTTTGTTTACACTTCTTGGTACAGGTGGAATTATTGATATATACATTGGATAATCAGGAACTCGTGCAAATTGAACAGTTGCATTGAAATTTAATTTTTCAATTAAATTACCATCCAGAAGAACTTTTTCAATTGCATTTTTCTCAATTGCATTGTATAATCTCTCAACATCTTTAAATTGATTCTCATAAATTGTTTCCAAATACGGTAGTTCATCAAATCGGCAACGTTTTGATAGAATTAATTTTGTCATCCAAGTGTAAAGGGTTTTATAAACATAGACATCAGTTTCAGGGACTTGTACAATATTTTCATAATCACAATATAATCTAAGTATATTTGCAGCAATAAATGTTCGACTTTTTAGAGTATTCATTTCATTTTCAAGTTTGTAGTGAAGACTATTTTCTATTTTCTTTGTTACAATTTGTTTCATAGTGAAACTAATGTGAGAGAATAAATTTTCATAAGCTTCGATCCAAAATTCATCAGTTAGGGGAAAATCAATTTTTTGAAATTTTGCCTTTTGATTGTAGGCGTAGAAAAATAATGCTGGTGTTGAGAATAATTTTAGTACCATTTCATAGGTTTCGTTGTTGAAATCCTGCAAATCAAGCTCGCGGGAGATTAGAATATATTCCTGGAAGGTAAGATTTGGAGTCGTGGATGATACAGATCTGATGATTTTTAAACCTACCATTGCGTACATATAATTCACTTCCATTATGCTCATGTCTTGTTCGGGTTGGGGAAATATTTGCCAAATGTAATCGTTAAAAACTTTTTGAATTGTCAATCCGTTAAGTTTGGAACTAGAATTTCCAAACGGAATATTCTTGGAACCGTAATTCCCTAATGGAATATTATTGGAACAATATTCCCTACTGGTGTAATTTTCCGAAAGATGTTGAAACACCTTCTCCTTAAGAACCGAATAATTTATATCATCCGCTACGTTGATGATTTTAGCCAAATATCCATTAATGTTTCCATAGTGAGAAAATAGAGCCTCGCTAATGATATACTGATATGTTTCATCAACGTATTTCATATCAAGTGTTTCATTTTCTCCGCCACCGTAGAGATCACTTCCCTTTAGTACTTTTTTTAGAAGTTGAAGTTTCGCCTCGGATTCATTTTTTGATTTATTTAAATACTCAAACAAAGTATTTAAAACAGGAACAGACTGACTTCGCTCATCAAGTGTAATTAAATCATTGTTGTAAAAATAAATACCAAAAATAGTAATATAGTGACAAACAGAAAGAAATTGAAAATCTAAAGATTGTTGCATCAAGATTGATGATGTGTTGCTATTCATTCTGAGACGGTCTGTTAATTCTGAAAATGATTATCGATTCTGAAATTGATTATCTTTTTCCTTCAGCTTAAAACATAAATTAATATCTAAGTTTAATTAATTTAATTAGCTAATTGATTTAATTACTCAATTAATTTAATTAATTTAATTATTTAATTAATTTTATTAATTCAGTTACCTATTTAATTTCATTAATTTTTTATTATTATTTATTATTTATTTGATTATCTAATTAATTTAATTGATTCAGTTTAGTTATTTTTTTAATTGCATTGATTACCTAATTAATTCAGTTACGTTATTAAGTTAATTACATTAATTACCCAATTAATTTAATAAATAAAGTTACGTTATTAATTTAATTAATTCAGTTACCTAATCAATTTCAGTAATTTAATTACTTCAATTATCTGATTAATCTAATTTCTTCAATTGTTTAATCCATTTAATTAATTCAATTATCTAATTTAATTAATTAATTATGTTACGTTATTTATTTATTTACTTTGATTACCTAATTAATTTAATTAATGCAGTTATTTAATCAAATTTATTAATTTAATTACTTCAATTATCTGATTAATTTAATTAATTTAGTTACGTAATTAATTTAATTATATTTATTACATAATTAATACAGTGACGTTATTAATTTAATTACATTAATCACCTAATTAATTTAATTAATTCAGTTACCTAATAAATTTTAATAATTTAATTACTTGAATTATCTAATTAATTTAATTAATTTAATTAATTTAGTTACCTAATTAATTTCAGTTATTTAATTACTTCAATTATTTAATCAATTTAATTAATTCAATTATGTAATTTAATTAATTAATTAAGTTACGTTATTAATTTAATTACTTTGATTATCTGATTAATTTAATTAATTTAGTTACGTAATTAATTTAATTATGTTTATTACATAATTAATTCAGTGACGTTATTAATTTAATTATATTTATTACCTAATTAATTTAATTAATTCAATAATGTTACTAAATTAATTACATTAATTGTCCAATTAATTTAGATGATTCAGAAACGTTATTAATTTGATTACCTAGTTAATTTAATTATTACAGTTACGTTATTTAATAATTAGTTTGATTATCTAATTAGATTAATTAATTCAGTAACAGTATTAATTTAATTAATTCAGTTACGTTTAGATATCTTTATAAAAATATTAAACAATTTTTATTTATAAAGAAAAACATTTTATCAATTAGAAAAAAAAATTATGTTTAAAAAATAATTAAAAAAGAAAGGATTGAAATAATTTTAATAAATAAAATTTACCATGTAGTTTTGTTTCGTTGCTCAACAGCAATTAAAATAAAATTTTAATTCACTTTTACAAAAAAACGCCTTTCATTTCTTTTTTTTCACACAAATATTATTTGATTCGTTAATAGAAAAAGGAATTTTTATTTTTAATTAATAAATATTGGAATAATATAAATATATACTGTTATCTTGTTTCATTTTGTAATTTCAGCTGTTTTTTTAGTATTTTTGACATTTAAATATTTACATCATGAATAATTTTAACGACACGTGTATATTACAAAATTTATTTCGTTAATTTTTTTTTTAATTAGAAAATCGATATTCCATAACAATTTGCCACATGGCAGTATTTAAAAAAATTATATATATTTATTTATGACAAAATTAGAAACCAATTACAATTTTACTGCAAAAAATATCACATTACAAAAAGTTTTATAAAGTTTTCGTTTTTTATTCTATTAATAATATTACATAATATTAATAAAAAAAAAAAAAAAACTATTTAGGATTCTCAAAAAGTTGAATAAAATTTAGTTTCAGTGGAAAATAATTCATCGAGTTTCTTTGCCATTTGTACCATTCGTTTTTCCGTTGGCATTTCATAATCATGCATTTCCATAACCAATACTTTTTCATTATTAATCTCCTGAAAACTCAAATTATCAATTACAAATTCAAAATCCGCTGTAACAACATAAATTAAATTTTCATCATTAAAAATACGACTAACGTCAGCAATTCCCGCACGATTTTTAATGGTAATTTTCATTAACAATGGAATTTGATTTAATGGAATATTAGAAGGCAAAAATCTTCTTGCTTCTAAACGTGCGTGTGAGGAAAATTTTTTAAATTTAGCAAATACAATATTATCTTTCTTTTCAAATGCTTCAACAAATGTTTGATACAAATCCTTATGCATTAATTCACCACGATAAATTTTCATTGGATTTGTAATTGTTATTTTCTCATCACATTGCCTTAGAGCAAGTCGATTAATTGCAGCTTCAAATCGTCTAATTACATCATTATTAGCAACTAATTTATTCATTGACTCTGAAAATAGTACATAATAATCCTCAAAACGAATATTTTGTTCGATATTTGGAAACATTTGATAATTATTAAATACTATTTCAATATTTTCCCCATGTAAATAATTATAAACATCGTGAATTTTATGTCTCGCTTCAGATAAATTGATAATTTTATCTAAATTTCGATTAAGTAGCACATCTTGAATATAAGGATGTTTTTTGATTTTAAAATCATTATAATTATAATGATATTTCATGCTATTAAATTCCCTTGCAAATGTTTCATAACTTGGAACTTCGATATTTGATTTTATATTTAGAATGTGAATTGAAAATAAATCCTCCGCTGATTGAAAAGTACAAAGTGGCGCATTTTCAGCTATTAAATTAGCGGCATTAAAAATTGATTTCATTCGTTCGGTTCGTTCAATTTTTTGTAACAAATTCCCGCTTTCGGTTTCTCTAAACAATTGCCATAGATCTTTTGACATTCCCTGATTTTCCATTTGAATATTTAGAACAAAATTATTTGATGATGTAAAAATATCCTTTATCGTAAATAATACATCATTGAATGTAATGTAATTATTTTTGAATTCCTCGTGAAATTTTGTTATATCCACAAAACCATACGGTGAATTAATTGTCAAATGATAACGTATTTCAATTTCCTCTGCAAATGGATCTATTTTTCTCCAATCAATTGTACCCGGTGGATTATTATTCAAAATTATAATATCATTGAAGAAAAATGTTTTTCCTTTTAAATTTCGCATTTTCTCAATATTATGTTGTCCTTGTATTTTTTGAGTGTACCACAATTTTCTCGGTATTAATAAAGGAAGTCCCTGTGTCAACTGAAGAGTTGCTAAATTATTAACAGCAATGCGTAGAAAATTTATTTTCTCCCCATCTAATCTTAGGGAGGGCAAACCATTTTGTTTCCACAACATTAGAATATTTACATAATCCGAATATGTTGCCTTAAGGATATTTTGATAAAATTTTGGTTCCAATTTTGGTTGATGCCGATTTCTTAATCTTTGTGAAATTAAATTTTTTACATTATTCGGATTTTGCTCCATTTCTTCGATTCTTTTTCTCTTTTCTGGAATATTGTTTTGATTTTGTTTTAATAAGTTATTATTTGTCGCAAATGAATTTGAAGTTCCCGGTTGTTCGAAATTAGTAGGGGGAATATTTTGACCCAATAAATTTGCTCTAAATGTTCCGGATAATTCAATATTTGTCATTGGAGGAATTCCTAAAAATCCCAAATTTCCCCTTAGAGTAACTTGAATTTCAGAATTATGTAATTGAGGAGAATTGTATATTAATGGATTTCCTCTAAATAAATTCAAAAATTCGGGATTAGTTAACTGTTGAAAATTATGTTCCACTGTGCTTTCTCTTGTAGTCACAGGATTTTGTTGTAATTCCTCATTTTGTGCTGCATTCAAATTTTCCGTTGGTTCTTCATTTGGTTTATTCCAATTCATTGTATTATGATAAACATGATAATTACGAATTATATTTATATCACGTCCATTGATAATCATTTCGTTTATTAAATTCCCAATCCTTTGGAGAATATCCGAATTCATTTTTAATTTACCAATTTTATCACCAGTTTTGGGATTGTATTGTTCGTAGAAACCGGATTTTTTCAAAACTGGTAGAGGAAATGAATACCCTTCAATGGTTCTTAATTCCGCAGTGTTTCCAAATGAAGTCAGGCAAGTAGGTCCAAAAAAGTTTGATCCACCTGGATAAAAGTGTCTAACAATTTCGTAACCATTACGTCTAGCTAAAACAAATGGTACCAAACCCATTTGATCATTTTGCAAATCCATATTTTGTTTGATATTCTTCAATAATGATTTTATCAACTCAACTGTATTGTGAGCAGTGGGAATATTCTTGAACCATGAAATAAAATTTCGAAATAATTTACGAAATGCATGATAACCAAAACTGCTAACATGATAAAAGAATTCAAATCCCGGATCCAGTGTTCGAAGTGAAGCTACAGTTAAATCTTTCAAAAGACTTCGATTTAGAATTTCTTTTGCAATTGTTCTAACAGCAGTTTGGAAAATTTGATTTAATACTGTAATTATTGGTAATTCGGAGATAATTCCTGCTCTTGCCAGAGTATTAGTAATTAGATATTTGTTACCAATTTCCATTGCCAAACTATTGGTGAGTCTAGCTGTATATTTTGCAACAAAACCAACAAATGGAATTAAACTAAGAACATCCATTGTACAACCAAAAGCAGATTCTGCCATTCTTCCTGCTTTTGCACTTTCAATGCAACTGTAAAATGGAATTAGAGATTTTACAAAATTTAGAAATTTCTCCCCAATTGTTTCGTCATAATAGTACTTTTTCAGATTATCTAAAAATTGTTTTGTTTTTATTTCCGCAACTCTTGCAATAAATCCTCTGTAATCTTCATTATGGTATTTGAGAGTTTGGGAAAATATTGCAATTTCCATCATTAGGGAAGAATCATTAGCAATTGCTTTAGCAAATTCACGTTCATTTCCCGTACAATTTAATAAAGCTAAAACATTTTTCTCCTGTTTAAATGCATAAAAATCATTTTTCTTATTTTTTTCCACAACTGCAAATAGAAGATAAGTATTATTATTTGCATGTCGTGGAGTTGGTGAACAATACATACAACGCTGTGGATAATCGGGAATTCGTGCTAGCATAACACTAGTTTTTTCATTAATTACTTCACCTAATTTACTATCAATTAATACATTTTCAATTGCATGCCTTTCAATTGTATTGTAAATTCTCTTGATATCTAGAAATTGTCCCTCATACGCAGTTTCCAAATCGGGAAATTTATTTATTTGGCATCGTTTAGGAAGTAATAACATTGTTAACCAAAAATAGAAAGTTTTAAAAATTTCCACATAAATTGGCGATATTTCTGCAATATTCTCATAATTACAATATAATCTCAATATTTCATAAGCATAATTTGTACGACTTCTTAGAGTATTAATTTCCCTCTCAAGTTTAAAATGTAAATTAGTGTCAATATCTTCTTGTACAATTTTTTGCACAGTGAAATTAATGTGTGAAAATAAATTTTCATAAGCTTCAATCCAAAATTCATCAGATAGGGTAAAATCAATTTTTTGAAATTTAGCCCTCTGATTGTAGGCGTAAAAAAATAATGCTGGTGTTGAAAATAATTTTAGTACCATTTCATAGTTTTCATTACTGTAATGTTGTAAATCAATTTCACGGGAGATTAGAATATATTCTTTGAACGTAATATTCGGAGTCGTTGACGATACAGATCTGACGATTTTTAAACCTACCATTGCGTATATATAATTCACTTCAATTATTCTCATGTCTTGTTCGGGTTGAGGGAAAATTGGCCAAATATGATTGTGAAAAACTTTTTGAATTGTCAATCCGTTGAGTTTGAAACTGTAATTTCCTAATGGAATATTTTTTGAACCATAATTCCCTAATGGATTATTTTTGGAACCATAATTCCCTAACGAATTATTTTTAAAACCATGATTCCGTAACGAATTATTTTTAAAACCATGATTCCGTAACGGATTATTTTTAGAACCATGATTCCGTAACGGATTATTTTTAGAACCATGATTCCTTAACGGAATATTATTAGAATCGATATTCCTGAACGGAATATTATTGGAACAATATTCCCTACTGGTGTAATTTTTCGAAAGATGTTGAAACACCGTTTTCTTAAGAACCGAGTAATTTATATTATCAGCCATGTTGATGATTTTAGCTAAATATCCATTAATGTTTCCATAGTGAGAAAATAGAGCCTCACTAATGATGTACTGATAGGTTCCATCAACGTATTTCATGTCAAGTATTTCATTTTCTTCACCACCATAGAGATCACTTCCTTTTAGTGCTATTTTTATAAGATGAATTTTTGCCTCCGATTCATTTGTCGCTTTATTTAGATACTTAAAGTAAGTATTTAAAACAGGAACAGAATGACTTCGCTCATCAAGTGTAATTAATTTCTTATTGTAGAAATACAAACCAAAAATTGTAATGTAGTGACAAACGGAAAGAAATTGAAATTCCGATGATTGTTGAATGAAGATTGATGATGTGTTGCTGTTCATACTGTGATGGTCTGTTGATTCTGAAACTGATGATCGTTTCTAAAATTAAGTAACTTTTGTCTTTAACTAAAAAAATAATGTTATTTCTAAGTTTAATTAATTTAATCACCTAATTAATTAATTTAATTTAATTACATCAATTATCTAAATAATTTAATTACTTTGGTTGACTAATTAATATAATTAATTTAAATAATGCAATTATCTAATTAAATGAATTAATTTAATTACTTTGATTACATAATTAATATAATTAATTCAATTACGTTATTAATTTAAATACATTGATTACCTAATTAATTTTATTGATTCAATTACGTTACTAATTTAATTACTTGTGATTATCTAATTAATATAATTAATTCAATTACCTATTTAAGTCAATTAATTTCATTATCTACTTAATTTAATTAATTCAATAACACAATTATTTTAATTAATTTAGTTACCTGTTTAATTTAATTAATTCAGTTACCGAATTAATCTAATTAATTCAATTACGTAGTTAATTTAATTAATTCAGTTACGTTATTAAATTAATTACTTTGATTGCACAATTTATTTAATTATATAATTAATTTGCATAATATAATTATCCTATATTAATTTAATCAACGTTATTATCTAATTATTTTAATTACTTATTTAATGCAATGCATTTAATTATCTTATTAATTTAATTAATTCAATTACCTAATTAATTTCATTTATTAAATTACATTATAAATTTTAATAATGTAATTACCTTATACTAATTCAATTGACTCAATTATCTATTTAATTGAATGAATTTAATTACCTGATTAATTTAATTAATTCAATTACTTATTTAATTCAATTAATTTAGTTACCTAATTAATTTAATTAATTCAATTACCTAATTAATTTTATTTATTTAATTACGAAATGAATTTGAATGATTTAATTACCTAATATTAATTTAACTAACTCAATTATCTGTTTAATTCAATAATTTTAATTATCTGATTAATTTAATTATTTCAGTTACCTTATTAATTTAATTCATTCAAATAGTTAATTAATTTTATTTATTTAATTACATAATCAATTTGAATAATATGTATTTATACGTTATATGAATTTAATTAATTCAGTTACCTACTTAATTTGATTCGTTTAATTACATATATAATTTAATAAGTGTAATTAATTCAATTACTTTTCTAATTTAATAAATTTAATTAATTTACTTGACTAATTAATGTTATTAATTCAAATGTCTAATTACTTTAATTTCTTTAGTTACGTAATTAATTTGAGTAATTCAATAAGATAATTATTTAAATTACCTAATTATTTTATTAAATTTCATTAATGTAATTAACTAATTAATTTAGTTGTAATTAACAAATTAATTTGGTTAATCTAATTTATTTAATTACCCAATTTAATAATTCTGTTAAATCGATCTTCAATTATTCGAAATGAATTTTATTCAACTATTTGATTAATTACCTTGAATAATTTTCTTCCTCTTTTGGTATAACAAATTTGTATGTCAAAAAATAATAAACTTTGACAAAAATATTATTTTCATCCTTTTCTTTTTTAACTTGTTATTTATTTATTCTTAATTGAAAAACTAAGTTTTATTAAAAAATTTTCAAATTCTTTTGTAATGTTATCTTTTTTCATATAATCAACTGTTGAACATTTATTTTTTTTATTCACTTTGAAGTCAAGGTTTTTGTTCACAACACATGTGTTAAATAAATTTATTGATTTTTCTATTTATCAAATGATCGATGGTAATATAAAATTTTAATATCTATTAATTTTAAATAAAATTTCTTCTACTTATTGTAATGTACATAAAGAAGGAATGGGAAATAAAAACAAACATTTAGAAGGCAAATAAAAAAAAAGTTTCTTTTTTTAATTCTTAAAGTAAGGTGTATAGTAAAAGTTGTGATTAGAAAAAATTTTTTTTAAAATTTTATTTCTCAATTTTTAACATCGGAATAAAATTTAGTATCGCTTGTCAATAGCTCATGAAGTTTTTTTGCCATTTGAATAATTCGTTTTTCCTTTGGTGTTTTATTATCATGCATTCTCATAAATAATATTTTTTGTTGATTAATTTCAATAAATTTCAATTCATCGAATACAAATTCAAAATTTGATGTAACCATATGAAAATAATGTTCTTCATTTAATGTACGACCAATTTCCACAACACCGGCATGATTTACAATTGTAATTTCAAGAAGAAATGGAACACCCGATGTTTTAGTCGCTGTATTTAATAATTTTACAATTTCTTCATCTCGTGTTTGAACAAATTTTTTAATTTTATCAAATGCAATAATATCTTTTTTTTGAAATGATTCAAAAAATTTTACCGACATATCATTAGTTATTATTTCACTGCGATAAATTTTAATTATTGGTTTTAACATTGATTCCTCTTCACATTGTCTAATACCAAGACGATTGATGGCAACTTCAAGACGTCTTAATCCATCGCTATTTTGTATTAAACGATTTTTTAAATATGAATGCAATACATAAAAATCTTCAAATCGAAGTAAATGTTCGACATTTCGTATTTTAACATAATTTTCAAATGCTTGTTCAATATTTTGAAAATGAATATTATTGTATAATTCATGAATTCTTCGTCTTGCCTCGGGCAAATCTATAATTTCATCTAAATTATAATTAAACAATACATCTTGAATGTAGGGATTATTTTCTATTTTCCAATCATTATAAGAGTGATGATATTCCATAATAGAATAATCCATTGCAAACATATCGTAACTTGGAACTTGATTTGAATTTGGATTTGTATTTAGAATGTAATTCGAAAGAAAATCCCTCGTTGTTTTAAAATTATGCAATGGTGCATTTTCCATTATAAAATTAGCAGCATTTGTAATTAATTTCATTCTTGATGATTCGACAGTCTCTACCTTTTGTAATAGTATTTCACGTTTTCGTAAATAAAAATAAAAATCTCTTGTTACAACATTTGTTCGTAGTTCAATATTTAAAATTTTATTATCAGCCGTAAAAAATGTATCCGTTATTGTAAAAAATATATCATCAAATGTAAGATAAATATTTTTAAATTCCGAATGAAAATTAGTTAAATCGACAAATCCAACGATTGAATCAATTTTCAAATGATAACGTATTTCTGTTTCCAATAGAAATGGATTTAATTTTTTCATAATAGTCGGTGATGTGGTCGTTAACATTGTAATGTCATTGAAAAAAAATTTTCTCCCCTGTAAACTGCGGAGATAATTAATAATTTTTTGACCCTTTAAAATTTGTGTATACCACAATTCTTGGGGTTTTTTTAATTGAAGATTGGAATTTAATTGTAATAGTGCTATTTCATTAACAGCAGTGCGAAGGAAATTAATTTTCACACCATCTGTTTTTATTGCTGATAAACCTTCATTTTTCCATATTGTTAGAATATCAACATATCTCGTATAGGTTGGCTCCTTAATCATCATTTTATAAAATTCGTGATCTAATTTAATTGAATGATCTTGTTTTATAAAAGTTTCTCTATTTTTGATATCGAATTTCTTATGACGATATGTTTCCATTGATTCATCAAGTTTTCGAATTTTTTGCGGAATATTTGAATTTTCATCATCTCCTGGAAGTAATTTTTTATTTTTAGAAATTTGGAAATCTCCCATTAACAATTGATTTGAATTTAGTGGCAATTTAACAGGTGGTGGTTTTTCACCAGCGTTCAAAAGATCTTTTAACGACATTGCAAATAATCGTTCACGATACAAATTGTCATCATCTAATTTCTGATTATTCAAATCTTCCCCCTCCTCCTTTGGTTTATTCCACTTTATTCTATTATGATAAACATGATAATTACGAATTATATTTATATCCCTTCCATTGATAACCATTTCGTTTATTAAATTCCCAACTCTTTGGAGAACATCATCAGAATTCATTTTTAATTTCCCTTTAATTGTTTCACCAGTTTCTGAATTGTATTGATGATAGAAACCGGATTTTTCCCTTACAACTGGTAAGGGAAATGAATATCCCTCGATGGTTCTTAATTCCGCAGTGTTTCCAAATGATTTTAAGCAAGTAGATCCAAAAAAGTTTGATCCACCGGGATAATTGTATCTAACAATTTCGTAATTACCTTTGGCTAGAACCGATGGTACTAATCCCATTGAATCGGAGATCAGATTTATGTTTCTTTCTAAATTCTTCACTAACAATTTAAATACAGTATTTTTAATTGGAGAAATATTTTTTAAATTGGTAATCATTTTTTGGAACAATTTAAAAAATACACGGAAACCAACAGTGGATACTTGATAAAATAATTCAAATCCCGGATCTATTACACGAAGTGAAGCTATCGTTAAATCTTTCAATAATCTTCGGCTTAGAATTTCCCTTGCTAGGGTTTGAATAGCAATTCGGGAAATTTGATTCAATAACGTAGCAATTGGTAATTTGGTAACTAATCCCGCTCTTGCTAGGGAATTAGTAATTAAGTACTTTTTACCAATTTCCAGTGATAAACTACCACTGAGTTTTGTTGTGTATTTTACCGCAAAACCACCAAGGGGAATTAAACTCAAAATATCCACACTACAACTAAATGTCGAACCTTCGTTATTTTTGAAACTTTCAATACAACTGTAAAATGGAATAAGAGATTTAAGAAAATTCAATAATTTCTCACCTTCCGTTTCTTCGTAATTGTAAATTTTCAAACCATCAACAAATTGTTTTGTTTTTATTTCCCCAACTCTACGAATAAATCCTCTGTAATCTTCATCACTGTATTTAAGAGTTTTGGAAAATATTGCAATTACCATTCTTAGAGATGAATCATTAGCAACTGCTTTAGCAAATTTTGATTCATTTCCTCTGTTTGTTAATAAAGACAGTGTATTATTCTCTTGTCTCAGTGCATAAAAATTAGATTTATTTTCATTTTTAATAGCAATTAAAAGATAAATTTCCTTATTTTTCTTTCGCGGCTTTGGTGAACAATAAGTACAACGTTGTGGATAGTGAGGAACTTCTGCTAACATAACAGTTGAATTTATTGTCATTTCTTTCAATAAATTACCATCAATTAATACTTTTTCAATTGCATTCATCTCAATTTTATTGTATATTTCCTCTACCATTAAAAATTGATCATTGTAAATTTTTTCCAAATCGGGAAGATCATCAATTAGACAATTATTGGGTAATAAAAGTTTTGTTATCCAAAGATAGAAGGTTTTATAAATCGCCACATAAACTGGAGAAACATTAGCATAACTTTCATAATTACAATAATCCCCAAGTATCTTAATGGCAAGAAATGTACGACTTTTTAAATTAGTGATTTCCACTTCCAATTTTTTGTATAAACTATTTTCAAGGTCCTCGTGTACAATTTGTGTCATTTTAGAATTGATGTAGGAAAATAAATTTTCATAAACTCGGGTCCAAAATTCATCAGGGGGTATTGAAACAATTTCTTGAAATTGTGACTTCTGATTGTGAGCGTAGAATAATAATGCTGGTGTTGAAAATAATTTTAATACCATTTCGTAGGTTGCGTTGCTAAAATCCTGTAAATCAATTTCGCGAGAGATTAAAATATATTCCTGGAAGGTAAGATTTGGAGACGTTGATGATATAGATCTGACGATTTTTAAACCAACCATTGCGTATATATAATTCACTTCCATTATGCTCATGTCTTGTTCGGGTTCGGGGAAAATTGCCCAAATGTGATTATCGAAAACTTTTTCAATTGTCAATCGGTTAAGCTTGAAACTGTAATTTCCTGATGGAATATTATTGTAACTGTAATTTTCTGACGGAATGTTAATGGAACTATTATTCCCTGAAGGAATATTAAGGAAACTATAATTTCCCAACGAAATATTAATAGAATTATAATTTTCTGACGAAATATTAATGGAACTATAATTCCCTGAAGGAATGATAAAGGAACTGTAATTTCCCGATGGAATATTAATGGAAGTATTATTTCCTAATGGAATATCATTGGAACCATAATTTTCTGACGGAATATAATTGGAACCGTAATTTCCTAACGGAATATTATTAGAACAATATTCCCTACTGGTGTAATTTTCCGAAAGATGCTGAAACACCTTCTCCTTAATTGCTAAATAATTTATATCATCCGCCGTGTTGATGATTTTAGCCAAATATCCATTAATGTTTCCATAGTGAGAAAATAAAGCCTCGCTAATGATGTACTGATATGTTTCATCAACGTATTTCATGTCAAGTGTTTCATTTTCTCCACCACCATAGAGATCACTTCCCTTTAGTACTTTCCTCAAAAGTTGTAATTTTGTCTCGGATTCATTTGTCGATTTATTGAGATATTCAAACAAAGTATTTAAAACAGGTACAGATTGATTTCGTTCATCAAGTGTTATTAAATCCTCATTGTAAAAATATAGTCCAAAAATAGTAATGTAGTGACAAACAGAAAGAAACTGAAAATTTGGTGATTGTTGAATGAAAATTGATGATGTGTTATCCATATTAATTTATTGTCAAATCGTAATTTTCTGATGCTGCATTTATATTCTTTCCGCCCTTTAATTCTGAAATTAAAACTTTGTATTAATTTAATTAAATAATTCATTAATTCAAATAATTGCGAGTAGTTTGAGCTAATACGTAATTATCTAATTGAATTCAATTAATTAATTTAAATACATATTAACTTAAGTTAATTGCAATTATTTATTTAATGCAATAAATTAAATCATTTTTAATAATTTTTTTTTAATGGGATATTATTTAATTTAATTAATTTAACGATTACTGGTAGTTTAATTTAATATGTAATTATCCAATTTAATTAATTTAATTAAATAATTAAGTGCTAGTAATTTATTTTAATACGTAATTATCCAATTTAATTAATTTAATTGCATATTTACTTAAACCCCTCGCAGTCATTCAATTAATTTAATAAAATAATTGATTTCGAGGAACTTATGTTAATACGTAATTATTTAATTTTATTAATTTAATTACATAAGGACTTAAAATTATCATAATCATTTAATGAAATTTATTAATTGAACTAATTAAATTACATAATTTGCATGTTAACCCCAACTAATCACAATCATTAAATCAATTTGATTAATTAAATTCATTTAATGATAGAAAATAATTTACATTAATATATACTATAGTTAATTCAATTAATTCAACTTGATAATTACATATTATCATAAACTATCCAAAACGATTTAATTAATTTAATTAATTTAATTCATTAAATACTTGAGAGTAGTTTAAATTAATATATAATTAGATTAATTAAATTAATTAAACGAGATAATTACATAATAACTTAAACTTCTCTCAATCATTTAATTAATTTAATTAATTCAATAATTCTAATATATGAAATAATTGCAAGTAGTTAAATTTAATAAGTGATTATCCAATTTAATTAATTTAATTACGTGTTAATTAAAACTCCTTGCAATCATTTGGTTAATGTAATTAAATTAATTTAATGATAACGAGTAGTTGAAATTAATGTACAATTATTTAATATAATTAATTTAAACAATTAATTAATTAAGAGTACTTTTTTATATTAATATGTCATTAACTAATTTAACTAAATTAATTAATTTAATTACTTAATCTAATCGCAATCATTTAATTAATTTAATAAATTTAATCCTTTTGTGTAATTAATTAACTAACTAAATTAATTTAACGATTGTGAGTAGTAATATGTACTTATCTAATTAAATCAATTTAATTAATCAAATGATTGCAAGAAGTTGTGTTAATATATAATTATTTAATTAAATTAAATAATTAATTCAATTACATAATTACATATTAACATAAGCTACTCGCAATTATGTTATGAATTTAATTAATTAAATTAATTTAATGATTGCGAGTAGTTTATGTCAAAGCGTGTAATTATCTAATTTAATTAATGTAATTAATTTAATCAACTAAAGTAATTGAATTTTGTAAATTAATTAAATTAATTACATTAATAAATCAATTAAATTAATTTAATTATATCAATAATTAACTCATAAATTAATAAAACCAGAAATTTTTTTTTTATTTTACAATAAATATTTCTCGCTTACCAACAAATACCATATAAGTAAAAAAAATGAATTTGACAAAAATTATATTATGCCATCTACTTATTACTACCGTTATTGATTTGTTAATACAGGGAAAAAAAATTTAATTTATATTCGACTGTATTAAAAATTTCGCTATAATGATTTATCGTTTAATTTCTGTATACTCAGTTGTTTATTAATTAATCGAGATTTATTTCTAAACTAATTCTATATTCAGTACAGATATATTATTTTAATTAAACGATTAAATAAGTTACGAAAGTTTGATGGAAATAAATTATCCATTACATTTTCCACATGATATAATTTTTAAATAATTGATTTATTAAATCAGAAATTAAATAACTGAAATAAAATCACTGAACTGAGAACTAAATATAGGTTAAAATAAAGAAAATTTATTATGGATATTTTATTAAATTTATTAGTTATTATATTAAAAATTATAAAATTTGATGACGAAATTTTTTTTTAACAATTTTAATAATACTCCTTTTTTAATTCTAATAACTACAATTATATAATTAACATTCAATATTTAAATTAATTTTCAGATGGTCGTTAATTAGATTTAAATGTTAAAAAAAAAATATTTTATCTATTCATTATAATAAAATTATAATTGTTTGTAATTATTTAATTTTTTCTATTTAATTAATTGAAATATTAATCCAAAATTCGAATAATATCGGAATAAAATTTAGTTTCAGTCGCAAATAATTCATTAAGCCTCTTTGTCATATCAACCATTCGTTTTTCTTTTGGACTTCCATTATCGTGCATTTTTATAACTAATATATTTTGATTGTGAATTTTTTTATATCTAACATCATCCAATATATATTCAAAATTTGATGTAACTGCATAAAAAGAATTTTCATTAATAATACGACTAACATCAACAACGCCCGCTTGATTTTCAATTGTAATTTCCATTAATATGGGAATACTTAACGATTTGCTAGCTTCATTTAAACAATTAACTTCAACAATATCACGATGTAATGAAAATTTTCTAAATTTATCAAATATAATATTATCATTTTTTTTCAATACTTCGAAAAATTTTACCGACGTTTCCTTAGTAATAAATTCAAAACGATAGAGTTTAATTGTTTTCATAATAAATTTCTCATCATCACATTGTCTTAGACCAAGTCGTGTAATTGCAGCCTCCAAACGTCTCATTCCATCATTATTCAATAATAATCTATTTTTAATGTGTGAATATAAAACATAATAATCTTCAAATCGTAAATACGATTCAACATTTTCAATTTTACGATAATTTTCAAATGCCTCTTCAATATTTTGAATATGAATATTATCATAAATAACATGAATTTTTTGTCGTGCTTCCGATAAATCGATAATTTCATCTAAATTTTGTCTAAACAATACATCTTGTATATAACGATGATTATCAATTTTCCAATTAGAATACTTTCCAAGAAATGACAATTTTTTTAAATCCTCAGCAAGCATATCGTAAGTGGGAACTAATTTCGAAATCGAATGCTGATTTATATTCAAAATGTAACTCGAAAGAAATTCCTTTGATGTTCTAATAGTATGTAATAGTACATTTTCAGTGATAAAATTAGCAGCTTTTGTAATTTTATTCATTCTCATTGTTCCAATAATTTCTTGACTTTTTAATAAATAATAAATATCCCTCTCTCTTAATTGTCGCCAGGTATTTTTTGTCATATCACAATTTTTTAATTGAACATTAAGAACTTTATTATTAGCAGTGAAAAATGTATCAGTTACGATAAAAAATGTATCACTAAATGTTATATAATTATGTTTTAATGATTTATGAAAATTTGTTAAATCCACAAATCCATAGGACGAATCTGTTGTTAAATGATAACGTACTTCTATTTCTAAATGATGATGCACTATACTTCTTGTTGTCAAAGGACCTGGTGGTTTATTTCTCAATAAAGTAATATCGTTGAAAAAAAATGTTCTCCCTTTTAAATTTCTTATGGAATTAATTATACTTTGTCCAATTACTGTTGAAGTATACCAAAGTTTAATTTGTTTCTTTAGAGGAATTCCTGTATCCAATTGAAATATTGCCAATTTATTTACAACAGTTTGTAATAAATTTAATTTCTCCTTTTCCTTTTTGATATTTAATAAACCATTTTTTTTTAATTCTATCAGAATATCTGTATATATTGTATAGGTTGGTTCCCTAATGACAGTTTTATAAAAATCAGGATTGACATTTTTAAATTTTTCCGTAATTCCAGGAATATTATCAAAATTTTGTATTTTCTCCTGAAAATCTTCATTTGTTTTTTTTAAATCAATTTTTGAATTTTGTAAATATGTTTCTTGATTTTTAACTTTTTCATTTCTTTTGAAATTCATTGCATTGAATTTTTTATGATAATACGAAAAAGTTTCTTCTGTTTCTAATTTCCGTTTCCTATGCGGAACAGTTAAATCCAATATTTCATTTGGCATAAAGGATTTTTGTTGTTTTGGATTTAGTGGATTTTCAGGTTGAGACTGAGACGATGTGTGACTTTTTAAATTCTTGTTAAATTCTCCCTTAACTAAAGGAGGATCAAATGTTTGTAAAACGGATTCTGTTTCAACACCTCTTGATGTTCCCGGAAGTTCGGATTGTGAAACAAGTAAATTGTGATCAACTATATTTCCCCTCAAAGTACCGGTAAATTCAACGTTTCCAATTTGAGGAAAATTCAAGGGAATTCCTTCAATATTACCACGTAAAGTAATTTGAATCTCGGAAATTTGATTCTGAACTGGATTTTCATCTGTATTTAGAGGATTTTGAAGTGATTCTAAATTTGATCCTTCGATCTGATTTACTTCCTTTGGTTTATTCCACTTTATCGTATTATGATAAACATGATAATTACGAATTATATTTACATCCCTTCCATTGATAACCATTTCGTTTATTAAATTCCCAACCCTTTGGAGAATATCCGAATTCATTTTTAATTTACCAATTTTATCACCAGTTTTCGGATTGTATTGTTGATAGAAACCGGATTTTTCCCTCACAACTGGTAGGGGAAATGAATATCCCTCGATGGTTCTTAATTCCGCAGTGTTTCCAAATGATTTTAGGCAGGTAGGTCCAAAAAAATGCGATCCACCTGGATAATGGTATCTAACAATTTCGTAACTGTTACGTTTGGCTAGAACCACTGGTACCAATCCCATTGAATCGGTGATCAGATTTATGTTTCTTTCTAAATTTTTCACTAATGATTTGATAAAAACCAGGGTATTTTGAACGAAGTGAATGTTTTCGAAACTTGTAATTATATTTTGAAATAGTTGACGAAATGTTTGAAATCCAAATCTGCTAAAATGGTAAATAAATTCAAATCCAGGATCAATTGTTCGAAGGAACGCTACAGTTAAATCTTTCAAAAGACTTCGAGTTAGAATTTCCTTTGCAATTGTTTTACCAGCAGTTTGGGAAATTTGATTCAAAACTGTAATTATTGGTAATTTGGTAATTCCTGTTCTTGCCAAAGTATTAGTGATTAGATATTTGTTACCAATTTCCACTGCGAAACTATTGGTGAGCCTAGCTGTATATTTTGCAGCAAAACCAGCAAATGGAATTAGACTAAGAACATCCATTGTACAACTAAATGCGGATTCGGCCATTTTGCCAGCTTTTCCACTTTCAATGCAACTGTAAAATGGAATTAGAGATTTTACAAAATTTAGAAATTTCTCCCCAATTGTTTCGTCATAATAGTACTTTTTCAGATTATCTAAAAATTGTTTTGTTTTTATTTCCGCAACTCTTGCAATAAATTCTCTGTAATCTTCATTACGGTATTTGAGAGTTCGGGAAAATACTGCAATTTCCATCTTTAGAGAAGAATCATTAGCAACTGCTTTAGCAAAATTTTGTTCGTTTCCTCTGTTTGTTAATAAAGAAAGAGTATTATTCTCCTGTCTCAAAGCGTAAAATTCGGATTTTTCTTTTTCTACAGCGAACATAAGATATATATCATTGTTTGCCTTTCGTGGAATTGGTGAACATAAATTGCAACCCTGCTGATAATCGGGAATTCGTGCAAACATAACAGTGGAATTTAATGTAATTTCCTCCACTAATTTACTATCAACTAATACTTTTTCAATTCCATTTCTTTCAATTTCGTTGTAAATCTCCTCAATCTCACTAAATTGATCTTCGTATTCCTTTTCTAAATCGGGAAGTAAATTTGTATAACACTGTTCGGGAAGGATAGATTTTGTCATCCAATGATAGCAGGTTTTATAAATTTCCAAATAAACTGGAGATACTTGTCCAATATTTTCATAATCACAATATAATCTAAGTATATTTGCAGCAATAATTGTTCGACTTTTTAGAGTATTCATTTCATTTTCAAGTTTGTAGTGAAGACTATTTTCTATTTTCTTTGTTACAATTTGTTTCATAGTGAAACTAATGTGGGTGAATAAATTTTCATAAGCTTCGATCCAAAATTTATCAGTTAGGTTAAAAACATCTATTTTTTGGAATTTAGCCTTCTGATTGTAGGCGTAGAAAAATAATGCTGGAGTTGAGAATAAGTTTAGTACCATTTCGTAGGTTTCGTTGCTGAAATCTTGTAAATCAATCTCGCGGGATATTAAAATATATTCCTGGAAGGTAAGATTCGGAGATGTTGATGATACAGATTTGATAATTTTTAAACCAACCATTGCGTATATATAATTTAGATCCATTATGCTCATGTCTTGTTCAGGTTGGGGAAAAATTGGCCAAATGTGATTATCGAAAACTTTTTGTATTGTCAATCCATTAAGTTTGGAATTGTAATTTGCTGGTGGAATGTTATTGGAACTATAATTTCTTGACAAAATATTAATTGAACTATAATTCCCTAAAGGAGTATTAAAGGAACTGTAATTACCTAACGGAATATTAATGGAACTATAATTTCCCAACGGAATATTAATAGAACTATAATTTCCTAATCGAATTTCATTGGTACCATAATTCCCTAACGGAATACCATTGAAACAATATTCCCTACTTGTATAATTTTCCGAAAGATGCTGAAACACCTTCCCCTTAAAAACCGAGTAATTTATATCATCCACCACGTTGATGATTTTAGCCAAATATCCATTAATGTTACCATAGTGAGAAAATAGAGCCTTACTAATGATGTACTGATATGTTTCATCAACATATTTCATGTCAAGTGTTTCATTTTCTCCACCACCGTAGAGATCACTTCCTTTTAATACTTTTTTTAGAAGATAAAATTTAGCCTCGGATTCATTTGTCGATTTATTGAGATATTCAAACAAAGTATTTAAAACGGGTACAGATTGATTTCGTTTATCAAGTGTAATTAAATCCTCATTGTAAAAATATAGTCCAAAAATAGTAATGTAGTGACAAACAGAAAGAAACTGGAAATTTGGTGATTGTTGAATGAAAATTGATGATGTGTTATCCATATTAATTTGTTGTCAAATCGTAATTTTCTAATGCTGCATTTATATTCTTTCCGCCGTTTAACTCTGAAATTAATTATTTATATTAATTTGTTGAATTTTAATAATTTAATGATTGCGAGTAGTTATAATACGTAATTATCTAATTTAATTCAATTAATTAATTTAAATATATATATTAACATAAGTTAATTTCAATTGTTTATTTAATTTAATAAATTAAATAATTTTTAGTAGTTTATTTTAATGGGATATTATCTAATTTAATTAATTTAACAATTACTGGTAGTTTAATTTTATATGTAATTATTCAATTTAATTAATTTTAATTAAATAATTAATTGTTAGAAACATATGTTAACACGTAATTATTTTATTTAATTACACATTAACTTAAAATTTTCGCTATCATTTAATTAAATTAATTAGTTTAATTAATTAAATTACATAATTGCATATTAACCCCAACTACTCGCAATCATTAAATTAATTTAATTAATTAAATTCATTTAATAATTGAAAATAATATATACTTAAGTTAATTAAATTAATTAAACTAGATAATTACATATTAACATAAACTACCCACAATGGTTTAATAAATTTAATTAATTAAATTTATTAAGTAATTGAGAGTAGTTTAAATTAATACCTATATAATTAGGTTAATTAAATTAAATAAACCAAATAATTACATATTAATTAAAACTCCTCGCAATCATTTAATTAATTTAATTAATTAATTCCCATTAATTCTGAAATTAATCATTTAATTAATTTGTTTAATTTAATATGTAATTATCTAATTTACAATAATTTAGTTAAATAATTAATTGCAAGAAATTTATGCTAATATGTAATTATTTAATTTAATTAATTTAATGATTGCGAGAAGCAAAAAATTTTCTTTACCATGTATAAATTTCTCCTTTCGGCAGCAAATATAATATTTCAAATTAAAAATTTACTTTGACAAAAATTATCCCTTGCCTTTTGATTTTATTGATTGTCAATTGATTTTTGATCTGTTGTGTTTTAAAAAAAAAAGATTTAGTTTTTATTTTATAAAAAATACCATATTTACTGTTTTTTTTTTTTTTTGTATATTCAGTTGTACATTGATATATATTTATTTTAACGTTTATTGACACCTAAAATATTTTAATCAGTACACGTGTATTTAATACTATTATATTATTAAAATTAAATTCTAATAAATCTTAAAGTACAATAGTCAAATTATTAGTATCTTAAAAATTAATGCGTTTTAAAATGAAATGAAATGAAGAAAATTGTTAAATAAACATTTTAAGGAAGCGAAAATAAATAAAATATGTCAAATTTTTTTTTCTGCATTTTTAATGTATAATTATTTTTATTACATTGTCACATTAGTTTATTAGTCTGGAAAATTTTTTTTCGTGTATGTCGTGACATTTTAATAAATTTTGCATATAAACTGCGTGAATTTATAATTAATTATAATAATACTCTATAACTGTATTTATAAAATTAGATTTTTATTATAATTTCCCTGATTTAATTATAATTACAAACTAATGAAATAAAATTAATTAATTAGAAAATAATTACAAATGAAATAATTAGAAATTAATTACAAATTAATGAAATAAAATTAATTACAAAATAAATGAAACAAAAATGAAAAAAAAATATATATATTAATCTGAAATTTCAATGACATCGGAATAAAATTTCGTATCAGTGGAAAATAATTCATGTAATTTCTTTGACATTTGAATCATACGTTTTTCAGTTGAAATTTTCGTATTATCATGCATTCGCATAATTAAAATATCCTCATTGAGAATTTTACTATGACTCCAATCGTCAAATACAAATTCAAAATCCGATGTAACAATATGTACTAAATGATTGTCTTTTAAAAATTGACTAACATCCGTAACGCCAGCACGATTATTTAATGTAACTTCAATAATTAACGAAACAAACGAAGGGGAATCAATTTGATTTAAACAATTTACTAATACAATATCGCGATGTGGTGAAAATTTTTTAAATTTATCAAATGCAACAATATTATCTTTACGCAATGATTCAATAAGTTTTTCAGACATTTCTTTTGTTATTAATTCACCACGATAGAGTGTTATTGGTTTTTTAATTAATTCCTCATCACATTGTCTAATACCAAGTCGATTTATGGCAACTTCAAAACGTCTTATTCCATTTTTATTCATAACAAATTTATTATTAATCAATGAATGTAAAACATAATAATCTTCAAATCGAAAATATCTATTGACATTTGGTATTTTTTGATAATTTTCAAAAGTAATTTCAATATTTTCAAAATAAATTTCATCATAAACATCATCAATTCTTCGTTTTGCTTCCTTTAATTCAATGGTTTCATCTAAATTATAATTTATTAACACATCTTGAATATGGGGATTATTTTCAATTTTCCAATTAGTATAAGAATAATGATACATCATTGAATTTACATCCTCGGCAAACATTTTATAAGTTGGAACAAAATTATCATTATTTAATTTTATTGCTAAAATATAATTGGAGAGAAATTTTTTTACACTTGTAAATGTACAAAGTGGCGTATTTTCTGTTATTAAATCAGCGGCATTGTCAATTGCCTTCATTCGTTCAGTTTTGGTAATATCTCCAATTAATAAATTCTTCATATCTAATTTTCTATGTCTTTTCCATAAATCGATGGAAATTTCCTGATTTACTAATTCAATATTTAGTACCTTATTATTAGCAGTGAAAAATGTATCCTTTACAGTAAATAGCACATCATTGAATGTAATATAATTATTTTTGAATTCATCATGAAAATTGCTTAAATCTAAAAATCCATTTGATGATAAAATTTTAATATGATAACGTACTTCAAATTCACTATGAAATTGATGCCAATTATTAAATTCCAATGGACCCGGTGGTTTATTTTTCAATAATGTGATATCGTTGAAAAAAAATGATTTACCTTTTAAATTTTTCATAAAATCAATATTATTCCTTCCTTTTATTGTTTGGGTGTACCATAATTTTTTTGGTATTTCCATTGGAAATGATTGTTCCAAATGAAGAAGAGTTAATTTATTAATAGCAGTGCGTAAAAAATTTATTTTTCCCTCTATTTTTAATGTGGATAATCCATTTTTTTGCCAATCAAAAAGAATTTCGACGTATTTTAAATATATTGGTTCCTTTAGGAGAGTTTGATAAAATTTTGGATTTAGTATCGTTACAAACGTCGATGGTTGAGAAATTATTTTTACTTCGGTAATGAGAAATTTTTTCCCTTCTCCACTGGTTGGTTCTTCTAATTTTCGTTTATTTGCCGAAGTTTTCAAATTATTTTTCACATCAGAATTTGAATTTTTAATTTTCCAATTCACCGGCGGTGGTGATTCGGCAAAATCAGAGAGCGTTTTAACAGATGGTGGTGGCTTTTCACCGGTATTTAGAAGATCCTTCAGTGTCATTGAATACAAATCAAAATTGGATTTTGTTTCTTTTGACGTTTCCGATTGATCGAAATTGTCACCTTCATTATTTGATGTTCCCTCTTCTTGAAATTCATTAACGGAATTTTGAATTGTTTCCCGATTTGGATTTACCTCAGCAGGTGGATTCCAATTTATTCTATTATGATAAACATGATAATTATGAATTATATTTACATCACGTCCATTGATAATCATTTCGTTTATTAAATTCCCAACTCTTTGGAGAACATCATTAGAATTCATTTTTAAATTATCAATTGTACCACCAGTTTTTGGATTATATTGTTTGTAGAAACCTGATTTTTCCCTCACAACTGGTAGGGTAAATGAATATCCCTCAATGCTTCTTAATTCTGCAGTATTTCCTAAAGATTTTAGGCAAGTGGGTCCAAAAAAATGCGATCCACCTGGATAGAGGTATCTAACAATTTCGTAATCGTTACTTTTGGCTAGAATCACTGGTACCAATCCACTATCATCGGAAATAAGCCTCATTTTTAATTTTAAATTTCTCATTAACGATTTCACAAAAACAAGGGTATTTTGCAAAAAGGGAATATTACGAAAATTTGTTATCATATTTCGGAATACTTTACGAAATACATGAAATCCAAATCTAGTTATCTGATATGATAATTCAAAACCCGGATCTATAGTTCGAAGAGAAGCTATCGTTAAATCTTTTAACATTTGTTTGGTCAAAATCTCTTTAGCTACACTTTGAACGATCATTTGGGAAATTTGTCTAAACGTAGTAACTAAAGGTAGCTTTATATTAACCGCTCTGAGAAGTGAATTAGTGATTAGATACTTTTCTCCAATTTCCACTATTAAATTACTAACTGTAGTTGTGTATTTGGCAGCAAATGCAATTATTGGAATCAGTGTAAATATATCCATAGTGCAACTAAATCCAGCCGCTATTAAATTGTCCCCTTTTATATTTTCAATACAACTGTAAAATGGAATAAGTGATTTGACAAAATTTAAAAATTTCTCCCCTAATGTTTCGTCATAATAGTACATTTTTAATTTATTTAAAAATAATGCCGTTTTTATGTCAGCGACCCTTTTGATAAACACCTCTCTATCCTCATTGTAGTATTTCAAATTTTTAGCAAACACTGCAATTTCCATTTTTAACGATGAATCATTAGCAACAGCTTTGGCAAACTCCTGTTCATTTCCTCTGTTTCTTAACAAAGATAGAGTATTATTTTCTTGTTTAAAAGCATAAAAATTAATTTCCTCATTTTTTTTCACAGCAAATAAAAGATAAATATTTGTATTTATCATCCGAGGTATAGGAGCACAATACATGCAATGCATACGATAATCAGGAACACGTGCTAACATTATACTAACCTCCGTGTAATTTTCTATTATTTTACTGTCAATTAAAACTTTTTCAATTGCATTTCTTTCAATTTTATTATATATTTCCTCAACATTTAAAAATTGATCGTAATAAATTTTCTCCAAATCGGGAAGATCAGAATGACAATCATTGGGTAATAAAAGTTTTGTTATCCAAAGATATAAAGTTTTATAAATAGCCACATAAATATGCGGTACTTTCATATAATTCTCATAATTACAATATAAATGTAATATCTCAGAGGCAATGAATGTACGACTTTTTAGTAAATTAATTTTTTTCTCCAATTGATAATGTAGACTTGTTTTTAATTCCTCGCGTACAATACGACGCATTGTGAATGTAATATGAGTGAATAAATTTTCATAAGCTTCAATCCAAAATTCATTAGTTAGATTAGAATCTATTTTTTGAAATTTTTCCTTCTTATTGTGAGCGTAAAAAAATAATGCCGACGTTGAGAATAATTTTAATATCATTTCATAAGTTTCATTATGATAATCGTGTAAATCAATTTCGCGGGCTATTAAAATATATTCTTGAAATGTGAGATTCGATACGTCGGATAGAGATCTAACAATTTTTAAACCAACCATTGCGTATATATAATTCACTTCCATTATATTTGTATCTTGTTCGGGTTCGGGAAATATTGACCAAATGTAATTGTAAAAAATTTGTTTAATTGTTAAAATACTGAATTTTGAACTATAATTTTTCGGAGAAATATTATTGAAATCAATTCCTAAAGAATTATTATAAGTTTTCGTCGAATAATTATTGAAACAAAATTCTCTACTTTCGTAATTTTTCAAAAAATGTCGAAACACTTTTTCCCTAAGAGCTAAATAATTCAAATTATCAGCAACGTTAATTATTTTTGCCAAATAACCATTAATATTTCCATAGTGAGAAAATAGAGCCTTACTAATGATGTACTGATATGTTTCATCAACGTATTTCATGTCAAGTGTTTCATTTTCTCCACCACCATAAAGATCACTTCCTTTTAATACTTTCCTAAGTAATTGAAGTTTCGCCTTGGATTCATTTTTCGATTTATTTAAATACTCGAACAAAGTATTTAAAATAAAAATCGTATCACTTTGCTTTTCAAATGTAATTAAATTTTTGTTATAAAAATAGAGACCAAAAATATTAATATAGTGACAAACGGAAAGAAATTGAAAATTTGATGACTGTTGAATAAAAACTGATGTATTGCTATTCATCCTTTAATTTATGTTCCAGTTTTTTTCTTCCTCGTTGAAAACTGAAACTAAATTTTTCGTTTTTTAATTTTCCAAAAAGTAAATAAATAAATATATATAAAAGTAAATAAAGCGAAAATATTTTTTTCAAAAAACAATTTTAAATATTTAATTTAAATTTTTACCACGTATGTTAACTTTACACCAAAAAAAAATTCTTCTCTTTTTTATTTGACTTATTATTAATCTGTTATCAATAGAAAAGTGAATTGATTTTTTTTTAATTTTTCTTAAAAAAACATTCTAGGTATTTTATTATTATTATTATTTTTTTTTTGTATATTCAGTTGTTTATTATGATTTATTGACACCTAAAATATGTATATATAATAAATATTATTTTCAAATTTTTTAAAAAAAGAAATAAATTTTATCAAACTTGAAATATGAATTTTCAAATAATGAATAAATTAAATTATTTTTTTCCACAATCTATAAAAATACAAAATATGTTAATTGCGCATTCTTATTTAAATTATTCTTTAATTTTTCGTGTCATCGACATTTTTTTTTTTTAAAGTAAATTATTTTTTTTACAGGTAGAAAAATTACCTATTTTTTTTTTTTTATGTAAATTTATAAAATTTTATTTTTCTAACGAATTTATTTTAGAAAAAAAATTAAGTTTTTTTCTTCGCCTTAACAATTATTGATAGTTTAAGTTTAAAAATTGTACGAAATGCATTTGAAAGATTTTTCTCGCTTAATTGTGCAACTAATTTCACTCTTCTCATGACAACTTTTGAAATTCTTTCCGTTGGACAAATTATTTTCACTGTTGAATTTATTGTCCCTTCGTTTGAAACGAGAAAATGTTCTAATTCAATTTTTAATTTATACGGCATTTCCTGTGGTAATTCATCCATTAAATTTGCTTTTACCGTACGTTCTATTATTAATTCGGGTTTTTGATCTGTATACATTTCCGAATTATAGTCCCATTCATTTTCCTTTGCCATGTCCAAAAAATAATTCTGCAAAATAGAAAGGGAAATGAAATTGTTTTTTTTTTTAAATTAAAAACTAATTTTTTTTAATTAAAAAACTAATTTTTTCTTTGAATTAAAAAACTAATTTTTTCTTTTAATTAAATTTAAAAAATTAATTTTTACTCTAAGATCATCGACGCCATCATTTTTTAAAGCTGATATCATGAAAATATCATTGAAATAAGGCCAATTTTGTTCATTTGTTAAAATTTTGATAATATCTAAAAGAACATTTTTCTTTTTTATACGATCGACTTTATTTAAAATTAAAATACTCGGTCGTTGTTTGCCATAATCGGCGAGCAATGGTAATATTCGTTTACTGATATTTTCACGTGAACGTGGATTTTCCATGTCTTGTACAACACCAATAATATCAGCTTTATGTAACGATTTATTGACATCTTTTTTGAATGTTGCCTCCATATCGTAGGCTTTAAAATCACGATTCGATACCAAACCAGGTGTGTCAATAATTATTAATTGTGTATTCTCAGTGACAAAAATTGATTCCGATTTTTCACGTGTCGTGTGAACTTTTCCAGAGGTTGGACAAACCTAAAAAAAAAAGAAAAAATTTTTTTTGATAAATATTTTTTGTAAGACCTATTACAATAGAATACATTAAATATATTAAATAAAATAAATAAATTACGGATATTTTTATGTTAAATACTTTTAAATTTTTTCTAAATATTATAATATTAATAATATATAATAATTATAATTTTTGAATTTATAATTTATTTATAAATATTTTAATAATAAATAGTATTAAAATTAATAAATGAACAATTATTTAAATGCAATAGAAATAAAATATAATAAAAAATAAATTTGCTTTTTAAATACTAATAAATATTTTTTTAATTTTAAACAAAAATTTATTTTAATTTTTAATTGTATTTCAATAAAAAAAAAATTTTGTAATTTTAATTAAAATAAATTTAAATTTTATTATTAACTTTTATATTATGAAAAAACATTTTTAAAAAAAATAAAAAATAATTAACTTAATAGTTATTAGATTTGTTTTAATTATTTACAAATAAATTTTTAAAAAAATGTAATAAAAATTAATATAAATCAAAAATTATTATTTTTATATATTATTTATTTATTTAATTATAAGCAATTTTTAAATTTACTACGAAAATTAAATTTTGTACCACTTCTAAATTTATTAGATATTAAAGGCCATTAAGTGGATTGTAATTTAAAAAATAAAAAATAAAATTTTTTTTTCGACCTTTAATATTGCCATTATAGTGAGAAAATAGAGCATTGCTAATGATGTACTGATATGTTTCATTTACGTATTTCATGTCAAGTGTTTCATTTTCTTCGCCATCATTTGCGAATAAAATAAAATTTTTTAAATCATTCATCCATTTTTCACCTTGTCCACTTTTTTTCCACCCCCCTCCCCCCCCCAAAAAAAAATCAAAATTTTCCATTATTTTTAAATTTCAATATTTTCGAAACAGAAAAAAATTTTTCACGATGTAAACATAACCTAAAAACAACAAAACCGAAAAATTAAAGAAAAAATAGAACAACGAACCGTTCGATTTACTAGTTGATTAATTAATGTACTTTTGCCAGCATTTGGTAAACCAATTATTGCAATTTTTAATGATTTTTTAACAGCATTATTATTTTCAATATCATTGCACGTTGTTTGAAGATTTGTGGAAAAATAACGTAAAACACGAGAAACATTACGACACAATGTTTTTTCAATGTAAAATATCATTTTTTATAAATTTTTCGAACAATTAATTACAATATTTATTATTATTATTGAAATAAAATTAAAAAAGTTTTGGAAATTTATAATATAATTTTTTTTTGTAATTTACTTTGTCGTCTGCTATAGAAACATCGAAACAGGGATGGGAATGTCGAAACTTCTAATCGTTGATTGGTGGGGAAATATTTCCGCGCGATTGTAAATTCTTCTCGGAATTCCACTATAGGCCCAACCGATTATTTCCAATTTATTCTTCAGGGGCGTGCGAACTATTTTTTTTTTTAATTATTAATTATATATTTAAATAAATAAATTTATTTCTTTGTATAACCATTACAGGGTTTTTACAAACTTCTCACTTCGTAAATTATTCATTATATATATATATATTAAAATTTATTAAATTAAAATTTCCAGTAAGATATTGTTTTCGAGGAGTTTTTTGGGAATTCCACTGGCCCAATCGATTATTTCCAATTATTCTTCAGGGGCGTACGAACTAATTTTTTTTTTTAATTAAAAATTTTTAATAATAATTAATTTTGATAATTTTAATTTTATAATAATAATAATAAAATAAAAATAATAACAGTAATAATATAATAATAATAATAAAAATTAAATATTCGTTTCACTAAAAAAAAGTACGAAAAAATTTATTCAAAAATAACTATTTTTTTTGAAAATTTAGTTATATATATAATGAAAAAAAAACAAAAAAAAGTTTTAAAAAACTGTCATTTTCATAAAACTGTCATAACATTAAAAAAAAATTTCTCCGAAAATCAAATAAAATTATCAAGTTATATAGTTATTATAGTTATATATATAGTAAAAAAAAAGTAGTCAATATTTGCAAAAATTCTTATTTTTTCCAAAATGGGAATTAAATTTTCCTCTTCAAATTGTCAGAGAAAACAAGAGAGGTAAAATTCACTGAAACCTAAAATTTTTTATCAATTTACAATTATATTATTATTTTTATATTTTGGTTATAAAAAAATTTTTTAACGAAGGAAAATATTTAAATATTTTAAAAATTCACTATTCGAGAAAAAAATTTATTTAATAAAATAACAATAATAATATTATTATTATTATTATTATTATTATTAATTAATTATTAATAATTAATAATAATAATAAAAAATATTTAAAAAAATAATAATAATATAATTATATTATATAAAGAAAAAAATTATAGAAAAGAAAAAATTTGTTTTCCATTATTATAAAAATATTGCAGTTATTTGTGTTTAATCTGCACAGCACAGATGGAAATTTGGTGACAAATCGAAAAATAAAATCAACAGTTGCAGTTGTACAACAACAACAACAACAACAACAAACAAAATCACGTCCATCAACTAGCATTAGTAGTAATAATAATAAAAAATATGAAAATTATTGTGGAGCAACAAATCCATTTATTATATTTTTTCTTCGATTACGTAGTAAAAAATCACATATACCAGTGACAACAATTGCACGTATTGCCGGTAAACGTTGGTCACAAATGAATGCAAATCAACGGCAAAAATATATTGATTTAGCAAATGATGAGAAAAAAAGGCGGCAAAAAATTAAAAAGAAACGTTTACATCAAGTTATTAATTCAAAGTAAGAAATTTTTCAAAAAAATAATAATAATAATTTTTTTATTATTATTATTATTTTAATTTTATTAATATATTTTTATTATTATTTTTATTTTATAAATATAAATCATGAGAAGCAAAAATTTATAGGTTATGTTTATGATAATAATTATAAAACTATCGTAAACATAACCTATAATTTTTTGCCTCCATATTTAAAAAAAATTGTAGGTTATGTTTATAAAAGTTTTTTTTTACATATACTATCATAAACATAACCTGTAATTTTTTTGCTTCTTACTAATTAATTAATTAATTATTTTAATAGTTAATTAATTAAATAAACTAGTTAAATTTAGAAAAATTAATTGAGAATTAATTAATAAATTAAATAATTAATTAAATTAATTTAAAAAAATAGAATAATATTCTTATTATTATTTTATTTTTATTATTATTTATTATTTTTGTTCAACAAATTTTTTTTTAATATAGAATGCTGAGATCAAAGAAAAAAACAATGTATAAGAAAAAATGAAGATGATGATGTAAGAAACAAGAAGTCGTGTGATATTTATGATTTCCTTTTTATTTGTTAGTATTTTTTTTTTTTTTTTATAACTATGTACAATAAATATTGATGTATTTTTACACTATATCTTAGAAGAAGTTACTTACAATTTAGAAATTATGCTAAAAAAAAAAACGACTCGCCGTCACGTCGTGTTTTTCGTTTTGGAAAAAAAAAAAAAAAAAAAAAAAAAAAAAAATGAAACAAAAAAAATTAACTCCAACGAGTGTATTATAAATATATTTATAATATATGTTATAAAATAATTATTATAATTTTATATAATTATTATAATATTATATAATTTTGATATAAAATTATAAATAATTATTATAATATAAAATTATTATTATATTATAAATATATTTTATAATACAAATATTAATATTTTATTATATTACTTATCTCGTAGCCGTATTCCGCAAAATGTCACCAAAAATGAAATCAATCTATAAAATCGATTCAAGTACTTATGGAAGAAGCACCATACAATTTTTTTTTTTTTTCTCACTCTCTCTCAAAAATTCGAAGATATAAGTTATATTAGGCAATTTCTCTCTCTCTCTTTCTCTTTTTTTCTCTTTCTAACACACACAAAAAACGCACAAAATTCACATATTCAATTTTTTTTTTTACTTTTCTTTTTTTTCAAAAAAAAAATTTTTTTTTTCTCTCAGTCTCCCATTCTCTCGTGTCAATGTACAAAAAAATAATTTTCAACGCTTTGCGAAAGGTGGAGAGTGACAATTTGCAGAACATTTCTTGGCTTTTTTTTTTTTTCTTTTTTTTAATTTCTATACACTTTTTTTTTTAATTAAAAAACACAGAGAAAAAAAAATGTGCCCTTGAAAATTTTTTTAAAACAATTTTTTTTCGCATTAGATTAAAAATAATAAAAAGTAAGCGACAGAATAGTGTATGTGTTTTTTTTCTTGTACAGAGGGGTAAAATATAAAGTGTAATTTTTTTTTTTTTTTTTTTTTTTTTTTTTTTTTTTTTCTTAACTTCTGACGATAATTAAATATAATCGTTATCGTTACAGGAGCAATTATATTATAATTATTATAATAATATTATTTTTTATTTTATATTTATTTATTTATTATTATTATTATTTTTTTTGTTTTCTTCTTGTATAATACAGTAAAGTACAAAGTGCCCCGAAAACGTAAACAACAATGTTTTTAACAATTGATAATATCAAAAAACAGAGAATAAGTCGGACTCTCGTGATGTGAATTATTATTTATTATTTATTATTATTATTATTATTATTATTATTATTATTATTATTATTAATATATTTTTTCACATTACGCTAGTCCGCTTTTTTTTTAATATTGTAAGCATATTTTTTTTTTTATTTTTTTTTTTTATAAATATTATCATACACAAAACGTAACACTGTCGGGGTGAGGGGAAGGGGGGAGGGAGGGAGGTAAAAAGAGAGAGAGAATGCCCTAAAAATGTTAATTCGAGGGATAATATTGTTAAAAAAAAGGAAAATACTACTAAATGCATTAATTCTTATAAATTCAAATTGTTTTTAAATTCAAAATTGTCTCTCGTCATTTTATAAATATTATTGAATTTTTTTTTTCAATCAAAATAATTTAAAAAAATTTAAGAATATTAAAAAAAAATTTTAAATAAATAAAAGAAATTTTTTTTTCCAAATTTCGTAAAAAAAAATTGGTTTTTATTAATATATTTTCTATATATATTTTTATAATTTTTGTACAATTTTTTTTTTAATAAAAAATTTAATTAAATTTATAATCAAATTTGATGAGTGTAATTTTTCGATTATTCATTTTTTTTTGTTTACGAAAAAAAAATTATTTTTAAAGTTATATTATTCTTAATAGAAAGAAATTTTTTTTTCTTATTTTGAGGTTAATAAATCTACTTTACCGTCTTTTCAAATTTATTTCCCATGAAAAATATAGCGCAAAATATTTTTTTTTTTTTTGAGGTTATATTCTTCTTAATAGAAATAAAATCGTTTTTATTTTAAAGGTTAATAAATCTACTTTACCGTCTTTTCAAATTTATTTCCCATGAAAAATATTACGCAAAATATATATATATATATATATTTTTTTTTTTTGAGGTTATATTCTTCTTAATAGAAATAAAATCATTTTTATTTTGAAGTTAATAAATCGACTTTTCAAATTTATTTTGCAGAAAAAAAAAATTGAGCAAAATAGTCATTTTTGAGGTTAAAATTGCAAATCTACTTTACCGATCGAAATTGCTAAATTGAAAAAAAAAACAAATTAAAATTTTTTTAAACAGTAAAACCTGACAATTGACAATTAAAACAAAAGAAAGGGGGAAAAAAAATCTCAATTTTTCTCAACTAATGGAGAAGAGGGGAGAGAGAGAGAGAGAGAGTGTGTGTGTGTGTGTGTATAGGGGACGAAATACTGTGGGCAAAAAACGTCTAAAATCTACTTCGTCTATATTCTAAAAAAAAAAATATATATATATATATATATATATATATAAATCGAGGAGTCATCTTATAGGTTATGTGTACTGATCCTTCTATCACAAGTGCCGACTTTGCGGAGTCGTTCCATTAAAAAATAAAAAATAATAAAATCCCTCCTTGAGAAAAGAGAGAGAGAGCAAAAATTGAATTTGAATTGTTTTTTTGGCATAAGATTTAATTTTAAAAAGAACAAAATTTACAAGAGCGCACCAACCTGACCTTTGCCGATTTTAACGAAACATTGTATTTTAATTTATGATGGTACCACTGACACGGGTATGGTATATAAACACCCACTTTCAAGCCGTTTTGAAAAAAATCCAATTTTACATTTTTTACCGCCGTTAACGGTAATTTCGAATTTTTTCGGTCGACAAAAAATTTGTAATCGCATTTTTTTCATTACGGCTGAAAATTAGGTGTTTAAATTCCACCGACGTGTCAGTGGTACCACTATAAAAAAAAAAAATTACCGTTAAAATCGTCCAAAATGCGATTTTAAATATTTCGCGGCCTTTATTAACTGCTAAAAATTTTAAATCGCATTTTTTTTCAAAACCTCTGAAAAGTGGATGTTTATATTCCACCCACGTGTCAGTGGTACCACTACAAATGAAAATACCAACTTTTATTAAAATCGGCAAAGGTCAGGTTGGTGCGCTCCCGAAAAAAACCTAATTTACGATTTATTTTTGGCCCCTTGGCTGAGGAATAATACCAAAAAAGAAAAAAAAAAAGAAATTTTATGCCTTGGGAAAAAAAATTTAACGCGGTCTCATGGTGCTATTCAATGGTTGCATTAAACTGCCATTAATATAACTATGATAAGTCGTATAGACAGCGGCTGGATTTTGTTGATGTGGATCCTGTGAATAGGGCGCTGGTACATTAACAACTCCAACAGGCAATTGACTTGCCTGATTCATAAAACCACCCAATTGTGCCGCTTGATTCATATAACCAGTTGTTGGTTGTGCAACACGATAACCATATTGAGCTGCTGCCATGAGATTTGTATTTAATGCAACATTAGAACTAACACGACTTGCGGCACTTTGCATTTGTGGACAACTACCAGATGGATCAAGTGTTTGTCTATAGAGACTTTCACTTGCATATGATTGTCCCAATGATGACATTGTATTACTATTCACCGATGAACGACTACTTGTTGAACGACTACTCGTTGGACCAACAACTGATGGTGCACCCGGCGATACTGTATTCACATTATAATAATTTTTAGCATAGCTTAATGGAACTTGTGGTGGTGTTGATAGTTGTCTTGATGATTGTGGTGGTGTCATTGTGTGTGCCAATGAAGGTGGTGGCGATAGATTCATACCGGGCGGTGGCGCCGTTGGTGGAATCATATCGAGGCCATTTGTTAATTGTTGTAGTTTTGCGAGACTACAAGAATTCGTTGTTTGATGAACACCGGAACTACCACCACCGGCTGTTCCTGTTATACTTGAACCACCGGAAGTACCACCACCGCCGCCACCACCACCACTTCCGGTCAATGATGAAGGCGATGGTGTATGTGAATGGGGCATTGAACTTGTTTGAATGTAAAAATTTGTCGCTGTTGTACATGGTGTTGGTACTGATCTACCGCCACGATGTTGTATAACATAAGTGTTTTGAGTGGGAAATGGTTGTGAGGCAACAGTCATGTAATTACCTTGGCTTATTACTGCCATATTGTGTGAATGTGCAGCATGACTGTGACTGTGTGGATGTGGTACTGTGGGGACTGTCATTGATGATGACTGTTGATATTGTGGTGGTAAATGACTATTGTGAGAAGGAGGCGGTGGGACAATAGTTGACGATGAATGTTGCGAGCTTTGAGTATGTGGCGTTGGTGGCGTTGCACGATGTGATCTGCTCTGTTGATTTGATCTCGATCTGAAAGAATCAAGTTTTCATTTTTATTATCGAAAAAACAAAAATTTTCTCACTTTTTCAGCTAAAACTGCCGAAATACCGTTTTTTTTTTAAGGTTATGTTGATCATAATCATAAAAAAAAATTATGGAAAATTTGATTTGTTTCTATAAAAAATTCCATAATTTTAATCTCAATTTAAAAAAAAAAATGAGAGAAAAATTTTTGAACGTTATGGACAACATAACCTAAAAAAAGGCAAGTTACAGTTGTTTCTATGAACTCAATTCTCGGCTCGTTCAATAAAAATAGAGATACAAAAACTTACAGATGAAAAAAATGAAAGTTCATATGGAAAAAAAATAAATAAACACAAATTATTATTTTACAAAAAAAAATATAAAATAAATTTATTTCTTACATTAAAAAAAAATTAACATAAAAAACATAAAATACGACGTTTTTTGTGGCACTAATTTTCTAAGTGCTCTCTCCTCATTTATACAATATAGTCATAAATAAAAAATAAAAAAATAAACATATTACAGAAATTTTTAATATATGAAAACATACGTCGTCATGTAATTAGGAAAAAAAAAATTTTTTATATGTCACTCATTAACAAAAAAATATTCACACAAGCATCATTATCATAATTTTTATCATAATCATCATCATAATTATCATTATCATCAACATTATCACCGTCATTATCTATTAAATTGTAAAAATTATATTATTAATCAAAAAAAGACATGTCCCAGTAAAAAAGAAATCTTCTACTTTGTTATTTTAAATATTACACTTCGCATTCAGTAAAATTTCAAAATAGTTACAAAAATTAAACTAAAATCTTAATAAAAGAAAAATATCGTCATATTTTCTAATTCTCATTTGGCTTAATTTTTATTTTATCTAATTCTCAGTTGGCTTAATTTTTATTTTATCTAATTCTCATTTGGCTTAATTTTTATTTTATCTAATTCTTATTTAGTCTGATTTTTATATGGCACAATTAATATTTAGACTAATTATCATTTGGCCCAATTTTTATATGGCATAATTTATATTTAGCCTAATTATTAACATTTGGCCTATTTTTTTATTTAGCATAATTCTTATATGCCCTAATTATATATTTCGCTTAATTTTCATTAGGTTTTAATTTTTATTTAACCCAATTCTTATTTGCCCTAATATTTATTAAAACCAAATTTTTTTTTTAGAAAATCGCAGAAAAATTTTATTTAGTCTATTTATTATATGTCCTAATTTATATTAAGCCTGATTCTTTCATAAGCTAATTTTTATTAAGCTTAATTTTTGCATTTCCTTATTTTATATTTAACCTAATTTTTGAATTTTCTAATTTATATTCTAACCTAATTTGAATTTAACTGAATTTTTATTTTAACTAATTTTATATTGAGCTTAATTTGTATTGAATTTGATTTCAATTTGGCCTAATATTTATTTAACCTAATTTATATCAATCAATTTTTTTCTTAGGCTAATTTTTTATGGCCTATTTAATATTTATTTTAATTCTTATATACGGCCTAATTTTTATTTTTGTTAAATTTTTATTTTGGTCTTATCTTTTATTTAGTCAAAATTAATAATTCAACTAATTTTTATTTAGCTTAATTTTTATACAGCCTAATGATTAGTTAAATCTAATTTTTTTTATTTTTTATAAGAAAAATTAAGATTTTTAATAAATTCTAGGCTTTAAAAGAACCACTTTTAAAAATTGGGCTAAATAAAAAAAAGCCATATAATAATTAAGAGCTAAATAAAAAAATTATACCAAGTAAGAATAAGATTAAGTAACTATTAGGTCAAATAAGAATTAGGTTAAATACAAATTCAGCTTAATATGAATTAAGGAGAATCAAAATTAGGTAAACTATAAAATTAAGCCATGTAAGAATTAGGCTAATGAAAATATTATGTCAAATAGGTATTAAGGTGGATAAGAATTAGGTCAAAATAAAAATTAAGCTTGATATAGATTAGGACAAATGAGTAATTTAGCTAAATGTAAATTAGTTTAAGTAAAAATTAGGCTAAATAAAAATTTCTAACAGTAAAATTTAAGAAAAAAGTATAGGAAATAGTTTAGATCGAATAAGAATCAGGTTTCGGCTAAATAAGAATTAGTTACAGTCAAATTAGATTCACATTAGCCGAAATAAGTATCAGTATTAAAAAAAAGTACCAAGAGGTATCAGTTTTTGGCCAAATAAGTATCAGTTTCGGTAAAAAAAACAGTTTAGCACAAATAAATATCAGTTTTTCGTCCAATAATCAGAAATTTTCGGCCAAATAAGAATCAGTTTTGGTTAAAGATTCCGTTTTCCGTCCAATAAATATCAGATTTCGGCAAAATAACAATCAGTTTCTGTCAAACAAAATTCAGTTCAGCACCTCCTCCCAAAAAAAATTTTTTTTTTCGTTACAAAAACTATTAGGTTTCGGACAAATAATTAACAGTTTCGGTAAAAATTAAGTTTTCTGTACAAGTATCAGTTTTCGGCCAAATAAGTATCAGTTACGGTAAAAAAAATATTTAGCACAAATAAATATGTTTTTCGTCCAATAAGCAGAAATTTTCGGCCAAATAAGAATCAATGTAGTCAAAATAAGAATCAGTTTTTAAATAAAAATTAGTTTCGATCATTTTAGCATCAATAAAAATTAGTTTTCCGTCCCATAACAATTAGTTTTCGGCCAAATAAGAATCAGTTTTGGTTAAAGATTCCGTTTTGTGTCCAATAAGTATCAGATTTCGGCAAAATAAGAATCAGTTTCTATCAAACAAAATTCAGTTCAGCCCCTCCCCCCCCAAAAAAAAATTTCCGTCACAAAAACTATTAGGTTTCGGTAAAAAAAACAGTTTAGCACAAATAAATATCTGTTTTTCGTCCAGTAAGCAGAAATTTTCGGCCAAATAAGAATTAGTGTAGCCAAAATAAGAATCAGTTTTCAAATAAAAATTAGTTTCGATCATTTTAGCATTAATAAAAATTAGTTTTCTGTACAATAAGAATTAGTTTTCGGCCAAATAAGAATCAGTTTTGGTTAAAGATTCCGTTTTCTGTCCAATAAGTATCAGATTTCGGCAAAATAAAAATCACGTTTCCGTCAAATAAGATTCAGTTAAAGTCCAAAAAAAAAAAAAACGTTTTCCGTCCAAAAATATTAGGTTTCGATAAAATAAGAATTAGTTTTCAAATAAATATTAGTTTCGATCATTTTAGCACCAATAAAAATTAGTTTTCCGTACAATAAGAATTAGTTTTTGGCCAAATAAGAATCAGTTTTGAATACGTAGAAAAGAAAAATTATGTTTTAAAAATTACTGAATATTCTGATAAGTTCCTCAACTATAAAGTTGCAGTTTTTAAATATTTCTCGAAAAAACAAGTTAATAAATTAAAAATACTATGTCAAACTAATAATATGACAAAAATTCTACATTACCTATGAGTTGTTTGCGATCCACTGGCACGTTTACTGCTATGCGAATGTGATTGCTGTTGTTGATGTTGACTTTGCTGCTGCTGCTGTTGTTGCTGTTGCTGTTGTTGTTGTTGCTGCTGCTGCTGCTGCTGCTGCTGCTGTTGACTATGACTCGAAATACTTTGATTCTGCTGCAATGACAATTGCATTGGTTGCGTTGCATGATTCTGCGTCGTCATTTGCGGTTGTGGACTGTGTATTGGAATATTTTGCGAATGCTGCTGCATTGGTTGTGGCGTATGACTCTGCGGAATCGCTGGCTGCGGAGTGTGACTCTGTGGAATTGTCGGTTGCGGTGTATGACTTTGCGGAATTGTTGGCTGCGGCGTACGACTCTGTGGAATTGACGGTTGCGGCGTATGACTCTGCGTAATTGTCGGTTGCGGAGTGTGACTCTGCGGAATTGTTGGTTGAGGCGTATGACTCTGCGTAATCGTCGGTTGCGGAGTGTGACACTGCGGAATCGTCGGCTGAGGCGTATGACTCTGCGGAATTGTTGGCTGCGGCGTATGACACTGCATTGGCTGAGGCGTGTGACTTTGCATTGGCTGAGGCGTGTGACTCTGCATCGGTTGAGCCGCAGGAATTTGCGGTTGAGGCGTATGACTCTGAGGCAATGGCTGCGGACTCTGAGTCGAAATACTCTGCGGAGTGTGCGATTGCGGTGTTCTTGGCTGCTGTATCGTTTGCGGCGTATGCGGTTGCTGTAGATTTTGATGCATCGAATGAATTGTCACATGTGAAGAAGCCGAAGATGATTGCTGCTGCTGCTGCTGTTGAACCGAACAATCATACTGATTCGGTAATATAACAGGTACAGAAATTTGCATGGGAACACTCTGCATTGCCGGCAATGCACTTGGTGGACGTTCAACACTATTTTGCGAAGCAAGATCACTTGCTATTGATGTAGGTGATTCTAAACCCAATTGACTAACATCCAAATCACATTGTCCGTAGTGTAACGAATGAACTGAATTTGTCGTCGAATCAGGTGTATAAACACCCATTGAAGGAAGATCGGGCTGCGATGGTGGGGTACGTTTCACAGAACTTGGATTATCAACAAGCGGTGTTGTTTCTGATTCTTTTTCTTCAACTGTTTCCAAAATCATTTTCTCCGTATTTAAGGTCACTTCAGGAATTTTTTCCTCTATTTTTTCCTCTTCGACATCCTCCTCTTCCTCCATTGGCTCGGGTTTTTCATACTCGGGTTCAAGTTGCATTGGTTCTTCACCCTTCTCTTCTTCTTCTTCTAATTCTTCTTCGATGATTTTTTTCTCTGGTGATTCTTCACGTGGTTTTGGAATTGTATCATCCTCCTCGCCCTCGTCCTCATCGCCACCTTCGTATTCACCTGGACTTGCTGAAATCTCCGTTTCAACGGGAATTGGCACTGATTCTGGATTTGCGTCTATTGTTGTCTCCTCGGGAAGGGATTCAATAGTGGGAATTGGAGAAACAGGTTCTGGAGTTTTGGATATTTCAATTTTACGTACACGTTTCGGTGTTGTTGACTCTTTGGGTTTTTCACTACCATTACAATTATCCAATTGATTCTCCTTCTTTTCTTTAGCGAGTTTTGCCTGTAGATATTTTGTCTGACGACTCGTGACTTTACGAAGTATATCATCGAGTTTACTTTGTTTTTTGATGGATTTTGGAATAGATTCAATTTCATTTTCCTTTTCCTTAGGTTCCTTTTCCTCGTTTTTTCGATTTTGTTCCTTAATTTTTAATTTCTCTTTCTTCTCCTCTTTTTTCTTCTCCTTCAATTTTTCCTCCTTCTCCTTTTCCTTCTCTTTTTCTCTTAGTTTCTCCTCACGTTCCTTGGCCTTCTCCTCTTTCTCCTTCAGGGCCTTCTCCTTCAATTTCTCCTTCTCCCTCTCCTTCTCTTTCAGTTTCTCCTCCTTTTCCTTAATCTTCTCCTCTTTCTCCCTTATTTTCTCATCCCTCAATGATTCGCGGGTACGTTTTCGACTCGTTAATTCCTCCTCTTCTAAATCAGTTTTTTCCGAATGTTTCCGTTTTCTCAACGGTGTTAACGAACTTGTTGGCGTTGTTGCCAAAATTGGTGTCGTTGTCTCCAGCGGTGCTTTTGATCTTCTCATTCTTCGACCAGAGGCGGAAAATAATGGCGGCGTTGTCGGTGTCTTTGGCAATTTAGGCGTTATTTGTTTCCGTGAATTTCTTGTACTCTTCAATTCATCACATTCTTTTGGCACTTCTTTCACTTCTTTCACTTCTTTCACTTCCTTTACTTCTTTCAATGATTTTAACAGAGTATTTTTTTGCGGCGTTTTTGATTTCAATGATCTTCTTTGTAAATTTTTACGACCACGTGGTTTTTTCTTTATTTTAACACGTTGTATTTTTTCCACAATCGTTGGCACTGGTTTCAATTCAATAAGTGGTGAACCATCACTTGTTGTTTCACCATCATCCAAACTTGTATATGGATTTGGAATTTGTGTCAATAATGGAATCCATCTTAAACAATCGGGCTCTAATTTTATTCTCAATGTTTTTTTCACTTTTGCCATATGTATATCAACTTTATTCCAATCAATAACAATTTTTACTTGTCTATTATTATCCTGTGTCGCCGTTGTCATTGTTGTCGTCGTCGTCGTCGTCGTCTCAGTGACGACTGATCTCAAAAAACCCAATAATTGAAATGCTGTTGCAATATCATGTCCCGAAACACCAGTTTCACTTGTAATATCATTTAATTTAATGTCCTTTGAATCACGATGAGAATCTAAATATTCAAGTACAACACTTTTCCAAAATGAATGATATGATACGCGGCCAAGATCTGATAATGGTTTCTCAGGTGTTCCCGGTATACCTTCAACTTTTGATAATAAATAACTAAATTCAATGAGAAACCTACCAAAACCCTGCCGTTGATATTGTGGTAATGTCATTATACATGAGACATTATAACGTTGAGCGGGACAATGTTTTTCTTTACTAAAATAACCAACCAAATGACAACCGTGTTTATCATTTTTTGTCACTGCATAAAATAAAAATGGCTCAACATCATAGTATAATGTTTTATGATCCAAAAATAATTTTGCCAATAGACAAAGATTTTGACAATAAATCTTGTTCACATTACCGTCAATCTGCAACAAAAAAAATAAACAAATAGGATTTTATTTTTTGATAAAGAATTTATTTGAAAATTATTATTATTATTAAAAAATCAATTAGCGAAACTTGGACTTCTTGGTTAAACGATTTTTAAGTATCAAGTCTCAATAGTCTCAATTCTCAATAGTTTTAATATTTTAATGGGCTCAATTCTCAATAGTTTCACATTTTTTTTATAATTTCAACAGTCTAAATATTCTAACGGGTCAATTTTGTTAAGCAGTCTCAAGTCTCAATATTCTAACGTTTTAAGTTTAAATAGTCTCAAAAATTTTAAGTCTCAATAGTCTTCAACTCTCAACAGTCTCAAGTCTCAATGATCTAAAAATTGTAATTCACAAAAGTCTAAACTTTCAATGGTTTTCAACTCTCTACAATCTTAAGTCACAAAAATCTTAAGTCTCAATAATCTTAAGTCACAAAAGTCTCAACTCATCAACATTCTCAAGTCTCAAGAGTCTCAACTTTCAACGGTAACAATAATTTTAAAAATTTTAATTAACAACAATCTAAAGTCTCAAAGTTTTTAGTATCAAAATAGTCTTAACAATCTTAAGTCTCAATAATCTGAACTCTCAACAATCTCAAATCTCAACAATCTCAAATCTCAATAGTCTCAACTCTCAACAGTCTCAAGTCTCAATGATTTAAAAATTGTAATTCACAAAAGACTTAATTTTCAATGGTTTTAACTCTCTACAATTTAAAGTCTCAATAATCTTAAGTCACAAAAGTCTCAACTCTCAACATTCTCAAGTCTCAAGAGTCTCAACTTTCAACGGTAACAATAATTTTAAAAATTTTAATCAACAACAATCTAAAGTCTCAAAGTTTTTAGTATCAAAATAGTCTTAACAATCTTAAGTCTCAATAATCTGAACTCTCAACAATCTCAAATCTCAATAGTCTCAACTCTCAACAGTCTCAAGTCTCAATGATTTAAAAATTGTAATTCACAAAAGACTCAATTTTCAATGATTTTAACTCTCTACAATTTAAAGTCACAATAATCTTAAGTCTCAATCATCTTAAGTCACAAAAGTCTCAATTCTCATCAGTCTCAAAAAATGTAAGTTACACCAATCTAAAGTCTTAAAGTTTTGTCTTAATTGTTTCAATAATCTCAATTCTCATTAGTCTCAACTCTCAATAGTTTTAAGTCTCAATGCTCTCAACTCTCAGCGGTCTCAAAAATTTTACGTCACGACAGTATAAAGTCTCAGTAGTCTCAACTCTCAACAGTCTCAAGTCTCAATGCTCTTAACTCTCAACGGTCTCGAAAATTTTAAGTCAAAACTGTCTGAAGTCTTACAGTTTTAAGTCTCAATAGTCTCAATAGTCTCAACGGTCTCAACACTAATTTTTTTTTTTTTTTTTTTTTTTTTGAAATGCAACTGAACTCACCTCGAATACTGATAATCCATTGCATCGATAAATTTCGGTTGCGGGCGGATGCCTCCATTGGCATTTGTCCATGTGCCTATCGAGTACGGCTCGACTTTTTGTATATTTGAGGCAAAATTCGCAAAAGAAGAGCTTTGGTAGTCTCGCGTACTCCTGAGGAAATGGACTCGAATACCATGTTTCAACTTCATAGCGTCCAAATACAATTGCGGCTGGATTACGACTTCCTATACCGGGACCCGTACCACCGGGACTTACGGAATTTGCTGTCGCCGATGTTGTTGTTGTTCCTGTTGTTGTTGCTGTTGTTGTTGTCGTCGTTGCTGACGACATTGTCGTTTTTGTCATTTCCACATCTTCAGTGGTTGTTGTCAAATGATTAGCACGATCACGTGCCTCTTTAAAAAGATCAACATCTTTTTGCGTGACACCCGATGGTAATGTTTGTGGTAATACCAATTCATCTAAAAATAAACGAAAAAATTCAAAATTGGTATTTCTAATTTTTTTTTTTTTTTTTTGAATATATTTATTCCATTAATAAACAAAAATTTCCCTTTTTTATACTGTAACAATTGTTTAATATTTCTTTTTTTACTTTTGAGTATGTTAAATATTTTTAAAAAATTTATAAAAGTTTATAAATTTATAATTTATAAATTTATGATAATTTATTATAAAAATTTATAAATATAAAAAAAAATTTAATAAAAATTATTTTCAAAGTTGATCGTTTATGAAATTTTTTCCCCTCCCTTTTTTTTTTTTTTTTTTTTTTTAATTTATAGAAAGCAATGCCTTTTTCAATTTATTTTTCTGAATTATTTTGTCAAAGTATTATTGTGGATTGTGTTTATAGTTATATATATATATATATATACACAAAAATATTCTCCTCGTAAGAGGAAGAAAATAATTTTAAAAAAAACAAAAAACAAAAAAGTTACAAAAGAAATGAAACAAACAAAAAAAAGTATTTTCAGGATTTTTATTGAAAATAAATACCCTGTATTTTTTTTCGAAATAGAAAAAAAAAATTTTTTTTTTAGTGTATGAGTAGAAAAAAAATAATAATAAAGAGAAACGCAAATTGTGTTGTAAATAATAAATGAATGAATGTTAATGATAAAAAAAATAAATGAAAGCGAAAAAATTCAATGATGGGAATTTGTTGGACGTGTTGGCAGTGTCAGGATGGGTTTTCAGTCGGTACAAAAAATTAATGAGAGCGGCAAGCTTGATGTTATTTTAAATATCTAAAAAAATAAAAAAAAAAAAATAAAAAATACGCCTGCTTAATGTCAGTAACCAGCAGGTAAGGCTCTGGAAAAATTGTAAAAATGTGCAATTATATATAACTTTCTTTTCAGTCCTGAAACAGAACATTTCCATCCACAACACTGGTAACTAACATTAAAAAAAAAATTATAAAAAAATCATTATTTATCACCATTATTTATTATTAATATTATATTATATTAATAATAATAATAGTAACAATAATAATAATAAAAATAATAATAATAATAATAATACTCTTCGAGAAACATTCAGTGTTAGTTACATATTTGCAGATGGAAATAAAAAAAAAAAAGAGAAAATATACCAGAGCCAATGTTAAAATTATTTTTTTTTTAGTTATGCAGCATGAATAAAACAATAATAATAAAAAAAAAACCACTGCGTAAAGCGATTCTACTTTACACAGATCGATTATAGAGATGGAAATCCATGAAAAATATTTTTTGTGCACCAGGTTTTGTGGCCAACAAACAAAAAACATTCTTCAGAGAGTTTTTATGAAAATTACATCATTGGAATATTAATCAAAATATTCTGGGGTTCCCGTCAATGACTCATAATAATTTTAGTAATTATTTGATAAACAAAAAAAAATGATTTTTTTTAGGTAAAAATGATTTTCTTAAACAAGTAAATGATTTATTTTTTTTGGATGAAAAAATGATTTTTCAACAAAAAAAAAAATCATTTTTTAGTCAAAAAAAAATTATTTTCAGCTAACAAAAAAGGATTTTTTTTTTGTTAAACCAAAAAAATAATTTTGTTCTACTAGAAAATGATTTCTTAAACAAAAATATTATTTTTTTTAGTCAGAAAATAATTTTTTAGTCAGAAAATAATTTTTTAGCCAGAAAATAATTTTTTAATCAAAAAAGAATTTTTTTTAGTCAAAAAATGAATTTTGTAGCACAAAAAAAAATAAAACAAAATAATTTTTTCTACAAAGAAATGATTTCTTAGGCAAAAAATGATTTTTTTAGAATAAAAAATTATTTCTTAGATCAAAATATTATTTTTTTTAGTCAGAAAATTATTTTTATTTTTTTTAGACAAAAAACAATTTTTTAGTAAGAAAATTATTTTTTTTAGTTAAAAAACAAATTTTTAGTTAGAAAATTATTTTTTTTTAGCCAAAAAACAAATTTTAGTCAGAAAATTATTTTTTCAGTCATAAAATAATTTTTCATTTAGAAAATAATTTGTTAGTTGGAAAATGGATTTTTTTTGTCAAAAAAATTATCATTAATTAAAGAGAGAATTATTTTTTCAACAAAGAAATGAAATTTCTTAGGCGAAAAATTTTAATTTAGGCTTAAAAAATAATTTTTAGACAAAAAAAAAAAAAAAAATGATTTCTTAGAAAAAATATTTTTAGACAAATAAAATGATTTTCTCTTTTTTTTTTTTTTTTCTTTTTACAAAGAAATTATTTTCCTAATCAAAAAATGATTTCATTAGGCTAGGAAATAATTTTTTCTATGAAATGAATTATTTTCTATTTAGCCAAAAAAAAAAAAAAAAATTATTTTATAGCAAAAAAATTATTTTTTTTTGACAAAAAGAAATTTACGAGAGAAATTTTTTTTTTTTTTTGTGAAAAAAATGATTATTCAGGCAAAAAATGATTTTGTTAGGTTAAAAAATGATTTCTTAGAAAAAGAAAAATGAATTATTTTCTTTTGATTAAAAAAGTGATTTGTTAGGCAAAAAAAAAAATTAATTTCTTAGACAGAAAAATTATTTTTAGACAAAAAAAAATCATTTTTTTAGACTAAGAAATTATTCCTCTGAAAAAAAAATGATTTTTTTATCCAAAAAAATAATTTCTTACTCTCTAAATCTGAATTAGTAAAAATGTTTACTAATTTGAATTAGTGACTCACTTTTTGCTTCTGAAATTCTAAAATTTGACTAATTATTAGTAACTTTTACTAACATTTAGTGAAATTTGACTAATTATTAGTAACTTTTACTAACAATTAGTAAAATTTGACTAATTATTAGTAACTTTTACTAAAAATTAGTAAAATTTGACTAATTATTAGTAACTTTTACTAACAATTAGTAAAATTTAACTAATTATTAGTAACTTTTACTAACAATTAGTAAAATTTAACTAATTATTAGTAACTTTTACTAACAATTAGTAAAATTTGACTAATTATTAGTAACTTTTACTAAAAATTAGTAAAATTTGACTAATTATTAGTAACTTTTACTAACAATTAGTAAAATTTAACTAATTATTAGTAACTTTTACTAACAATTAGTAAAATTTAACTAATTATTAGTAACTTTTACTAACAATTAGTAAAATTTGACTAATTATTAGTAACTTTTACTAAAAATTAGTAAAATTTGACTAATTATTAGTAACTTTTACTAACAATTAGTAAAATTTAACTAATTCTAAAGCAAAAAGTGAGTCACTAATTTAAATTAGTAAACAATTTTTACTAATTCAGATTTAGAGAGTATTTAAAAAAATAATTTTTTTTTTCTACAAAAACTAAATTTTTCATGAAAAAATCAATTTTTTTTTTGTTTTTAGTTTTAGTAATATTAATAAATGAAAAAAAATGTCCATCTCTAATGTACAAGCAAACACACACACACACACATATCAACAACAAAACCATACAACACCACACCGCCAACACATCCACGTGGTGAGTGAGGATATTTTTGAAGATTAGAAAGGATTATCTTTTTTTTTTTTTTTAGCAAAAATGGGTGCATTGTTTTTTTCTCCAATTATTATTTTTTTTTTTTCTTAAAGAAAGGAAATGAATGAAAAGGAATGTTTTTTTTTCCTTGAATATATGAGGGGGGGGAAGACTCTTACCCTTCCTGGTGGAGCAGGGTGTCGCGCGGGGTGTCGTGGTGGTGTTGGTGGTAGTGGTGGTGGTGGTGGTAGTAGTAGTAGCGCTATTACGTGGATTGGATTTGGATTTATTGGTTATGGAAAATTGTGGAGATTTCAATGTAGGATCAGGATGACGATTTTGATTAATATTACTATTATTATTTTCCATTGAATTTTTTCTTCTTAAAGGAAAAGATGTCGATGATTGTAGCTCATTTTGTTCGCATTTAATCATTGATAATCCATCGGCGCCTTTTAACATTTTTCTTCGTTCATGCTCATGTCGTTTACTGTTGACTGCAGTTTTCACTAGACTCGATGGCGTCATTTTTGCCACGGGTTTATCAATGACAAATAAACTCTCATCCGATGGTGTAAATATTCCCGGTTTTGGAACTCGTGGCTCTTTTATTTCATCGGTGGGTTTTTTTCGCGATGATGAAAAAGAAGTAGAGGGGGAAATAGAAGAAAAAGAAGAAGAGGAAGAAGAAATAGCAGAAAAATTAGAAGAAGAAGAAGAAATTCCAGGTTCGTTATTCTTTGGCGGTTTGTCCTTTATTGGCTTTTCCTTAACGTTCCTAATTGGCTTCTCATGTTCCCGAATTTTCTCCTTATTCCTCTTTTCTTTTTTCTCATTTTCTTCTTTTTCCTTTTCCTTTTCCCTTTTTTCTTTTTCCTTCTCCTTTTCTTCTTTTTCCTTTTCCCTTTCGATTCTCTTTTTTTCCGCTTCCAATTCCTTTATCGCTTTTTCACGCAATAATTCTTTTTGCAATTCCTTAAGCGATTTTTCCCTACCTTGATAATTTCGTTCAACTTCTTTTTGTATTAATAATTTTTCCTTTTGATTTTTTTCCCCTTCCCTTAGGGATTTTTCCCTCAATAATTCTTTTTGTATTTCCTTTAGTGATTTTTCCCTTTGAATCTCATTTTTCTCATCATTCTTCTGCTTCTCCCTAGGGAATTTACTATCTTTAGTTATTTTTTCCCTAATTTCATTGATAGCTTTTTCCCTAATTTCCTTGGGGATTTTTTCAATACTTTCCTTAAGAATTTTTTCCCTAGTTTCTTTAGGTATTTTTTCTCTATTAGATATTTTTTCCATAGGAATTTTTTCCCTCGTTTCTTTAGGGATTTTTTCTCTATTAGATATTTTTTCCATAGGTATTTTTTCCCTACATTCTTTGGAATTTTTTTCCATTGAAATTTTTTCCCTTATTTCTTTTTGATATTTTTCCCTTGTTTCCTTAGGGATTTTTTCCTTAATTTCTTTTGAAAATTTTTCCTTAGTTTCTTTTGGAAATTTTTCCTTAGTTTCTTTTGGAACTTTTTCCCTTGTTTCTTTTGGAGCTTTTTCCCTAGTTTCTTTTGGGACTTTTTCCCTAGTTTCCTTGGTAATTTTTTCCCTAGTTTCTTTTAGGACTTTTTCTCTAGCTTCCTTGAAGAATTTTCCCCTAGTTTTCTCCTTTCTTTTTCCTTTTTCTTCGTCTTTATCTTCTTCTTCGTTGCTTTCTTCTTCTTCTTCTTCATCGTTTTCTTCTTCTTCTTCTTCTTTTTCTTCTCCATTGTTATCTTCGTCATCTTCTTCATCTACTTTATTTTTAGCTGCTTTTTCTCTATGTTTAGCTTCTTTTTCTTTATTTTTAGCTTCTTTTTCTTTATGTTTTGCTTCTGTTTCTTTATTATTCGCTTTATTTTCTTTTTTCTTCGTTTCTTTATCTTCTTCCTCGTCTTCTTCTTCTTCTTCTTCGTCATTATCTTCCTCTTCGTCATCTTCTTCGTCTTCATCTCGTTTCCAGCGATCGTTTTTCCTTCTATCTTTCATTAAAATTTTTCCCTTATTTTTTTCTTCTTTTTCTCGTTTTTCCCTTGTTGTTTTTCCATTATTTTTGAAAATTTTGTCATCATTTGCAATTTTTTCTTTGAAGCCAGATGAATTATCGTCTTGGCAACGTTTTCTTCGATCCGGAGCATAATTAGGTGGCGTTGCACCTGGCTTAGTTCGACTATTACTTGGCGTTGAAAAAAAATGACTGAGACCATCAAAAAGACCTTTTAATTGTCCCGAGCCGGGTTTTACTTTTGTAATTTCCGTCTCGGGGGATTTTTTATTATTTTTTCCTTTTTGCGTTAATTTTGATGAATTTGGAGGACTTGCTGCCGGTTGTATGTGAAGGCCAAATGTTGGTTTATCGTTTAAATCAAGTTTTGGTAATGTTGCACCAAATGTACTTGTAATATTACTAAAAAATGGTGATTCAACTGTTAATTTTGCTGCTGCTGCTGCAAATCCCCAGGGTTTATCTTCATTTAAATCACAACTGAATGGTTGTTTTGATTTTTGACGAATTTTACCCTTTTCTTGTTTTTGTTCTTGTTCCTCTTCTCCTTCTTCTTCCTCTTCTTCTTCTTCGTCTTCTTCTTCTTCAGATGATGATGATGATTCATCACTTGTTCCATCATTTTCCTTTTCGCTACTGTCGCTTGAACTTGAATTATCACTGCTGCTACTACTGCTACTGCTACTACTGCTTGACAATTGAATTCTTCTTGTTGGTAAATTAATTTTTTTATTACACATTGACGATTCTTTTCTTGTATTTTTGATTAATATTTTTTGTTTTTCATTTGTTTGAATTGTACCACGTTTTAATTTATTGTGATCGGCATTAAATGCGGATAACCTGAAAAATTTTTGTTTCTCCTTTGAGATTTTGTCATTTTTCTCTTCTAAAAGTCGACCCTGATTGGAACCACCGCCACTAACACCACCACCACCACCACCAACGTTGGCGCTATTAATTGCTGCAGCTGTTGATGTTGCGGTGGTAGTGGTGTTGATGGTAGTGATGGGATTTGGATTTTGGATTAAGGGAGAGGAATTAGAAATTGGTTGACGAGGGGAGACAACACCCGCATTACCGTCCGAGCACGTGTCCACCTGAGCCACCTGAGGACTGCTCTTTTTTCCTGGAGTTGTTGTCGTCGACGATGTCGTCGTCGTCGTCGTCATTGTTGTTGTTGTTGTTGTTGATGATGCCAAACTCTTTCTCGATACATTGGATCTGTTGACATAATTTAAATACACGTTAGCAAAAAAAACATTCACTCAAATTACACACGTAAAAAAAATCTTTACCTAGATCAGCGATATATTTCACTAAAACAGCGAAAGTTTTCGCTATTCTAGAGAAAAAAAAATATATATATCGAAAAATATATCGCTGTTCCAGGTGAAGATTTTTTTTACGTGCAGAATTAAAAACAAAAAAAATTTATTTGATTCAAATACTCGATTACTTGACTATCATCGAATAAATATTTATTGGAAGTAAATAATTTTTTATCTATAGAATATTATTTTTGAATGGAGAAAAATAAAAAAAGGAATAAAATAAATTTTACTAATTTTAAAAGTAAAATCTAAAATGTCCTCAGCTTCTGATAATTTTTATTCAGAAAATAGTAAAATTTACTTTTGAAATATAGTAAAAACTATTCCGTAAAATAGTGCATTATAGTATATTTATTTGTTATTCTTTTTCAAAATTTTAGTTTAAATAATATTTTTTGCTTTTTTTACTCCAAAAATTTAAGTTTTTAAAATTTTTACTATTTTATAATTAAAAATGTTTTTTTTTTTTTTTAAATTTTTTTTGCCCGGAATTTTGAATTTTAAAAAACGCATTTGTTCACAAGAGCAAAAAAAATTGTTTTTTTTTTTTTAATTTTAGACGTTTAATTAATGTTTTTTTAAAAAATTTTTTGCCCAGAATTTGAGTATTTTAAAAAATAGATTTTGATACAAAATAGGACAAGTTTATTTTTAAAAAATTTTTTAAATATTTTTTGCTTTTTTTTTAATCAAAAATTTAAGTTTTGAAAAAGGTTTTGAATGTTTTATGGTTTTTTTGCCCGGAATTTTCAGTTTTAAAAAAAAAAACAAATTTTTGCACAAAACAGCAAAAGTGGTGTGCAATTTAGCAAAAGAATTAGTTTTTTTTTTAAATTTCAATTTTGGATGTTATAAAAATAGGTTTTAATTTTTTTTTGTCAAGGATTTTAAAATTTTTTTTTTTAAAATAGATTTTTGCACAAAATTAATAATAATAATAAATTAATATTTATGATATTATTTTTTTTTATTATTATTCATTAATATTTCATCAAGGCAATATTTATTTTTCGAAAATTTATAATTTTGGAATTTCGAAAAATGTTTTTTGTTTTTTTTTCTGCCCGGAGATTTGAGGTTTTTTAAAAAATGAATTTTTGCACAAAACAGCAAAAGTTGAGCGTAATTTATCAGAAAAGTTTTGATATTTTCAAAATTTTAATTTTTGACGTTTTAAAAATGTTTTTAATTTTTTTTTTTTGCCCGGAATTTTGAATTTTTCAAAAAACGAAAATTTGGCACAAAACAGCAAAAGTGCAGCACAAAATTTGTTTTTTCTTTTGAAAATTTCAATTTATGATTTTTAAAAAATTTTTTGTTTTTTTTTGCCCGGAATTTTAAATTTTTCAAAAAACGAATTTTTGGCACAAAACAGCAAAAGTGCAGCATATAATTTGTTTTTTCTTTTGAAAATTTCTATTTTTGATTTTTAAAAAATTTTTTTTGTTTTTTTTTTTTGTCCGGAATTTTTGAGTTTTTCAAAAAACGAATTTTTGTCACAAAAAACCAAAATTAGAGCACAATTTAGCAGAAATTTTTTTTTTTTCAAAATTCTAATTTTGGATTTTTTTTTTTGCCCGGAGTTTTGAGTTTTTCAAAAAACGAAAATTTGGCACAAAACAGCAAAAGTTCAGCACAAAATTTGTTTTTTCTTTTGAAAATTTCAATTTTTGATTTTAAAAAAATTTTTTTTTTGTTTTTTTTTTGCCCGGAATTTTTGAGTTTTTCGAAAAACGAATTTTTGTCACAAAAAACCAAAATTAGAGCGCAATTTAGCAAAAAAAATTTTTTTTTTCAAAGTTCTAATTTTGGAATTTTTTTTTTTTGCCCGGAGTTTTGAGTTTTTCAAAAAACGAAAATTTGGCACAAAACAGCAAAAGTGCAGCACAAAATTTGTTTTTTCTTTTGAAAATTTCAATTTTGATTTTAAAAAAAATTTTTTTTTTTTGTTGCCCGGAATTTTTGAGTTTTTCAAAAAACGAAAATTTGGCACAAAATACCAAAATTAGAGCGCAATTTAGCACAAAATTTTTTTTTTTCAATATTCTAATTTTGGAAATTTTTTTTTTTTTGCCCGGAATTTTGAGTTTTTCAAAATCTGAAATTTTTGTCTCAAAATAGCACACAATTTTTTGTATTTTTAGAAATTATAATTTTAGAAATTTTCAATTTTTTTCAAATCTTTTTTTTGTCCCGGAATTTAAAAAATTCAATAAATATTTATTAATACTAATAATAAGAATTATTATTATTATTATTAGTATTAATAAATATTTATTGAATTTTTTAAATTCCGAGACAAAAAAATTAAAAAATAATAATATTATTATTATTATAATAATTACTCACTTTCGATTTTCTCGTATTTTATTAATTTTTTTCCTCGCGCTCGTTGGCGTTGTTGTAATATCAGATTGTTGATGATGATTATCTTGTCCCTTGTGTTTTCTTGCCGACGACGTCGTCGTCGTTGTCGTTGTATCATTTTTAGGTGTATGAGTTGTTTGACAATGTCGACATCGCCATGGTGCTTTACTTTTTTTATCAATACCAGGATCTAAACACGATGGATGATAGCATTTAATGCACGCGGCACATTTCACAAGATAATTTTGTGATTCACGATCAGTTTGGCAACCGGAACAACGTGGTGAACAATCGTCGCATGACCATGTTGCACCTCTATCGACAAGTAATGCAAGTTCAGCCGGTGCACAAGAATGATGTAATGCCGCACCGCAAATATTACAACGGCTAAGTTTTTCCGATGCTGCTGCTGATGATGACGAATTCGTTGTTGTTGAATTAGCACCGCGTTTTCCATTATTATTATTTCCGGCTGTTGCCGCTAAACACTCCTTACATATTGGCAACGGTGCTGGTAACTTTGATGTCGCCAATAATAATAATAAAAAGAGAGAAAAAAAAAATAAAATTATTTAGTTAGAAAATTATTTTTACATCGTAAAGTTATTAAAATACTGAAATATTTATATTTCATTGGATATTAATATTCAAATATTAAATCAATTACATACGAAACATTTATTTTCGAAATCGAAAATCTAATCTTTTCGATGTAAAAATTGTTTGGTATATACATTATTGATTAAGTGAGAGAGAGAGAAAAAAAGTTTTGAATTCTTTTTCTCCTCTAGAATTAAATTTCAATATTTTTTTTTCATTTTCAACTCGAAATTATCAACTAAAAAGAAAATAAAAAAACACCTACTGCACTTTTTGGTGAGTAAATCACAAAACTTGTTAATTTTTTCTGCACCATGACGCCAATTATTATATTATATATATATTTATTATATTAAAACTTATACAATCGTAACGTTCTTTTCCGAACACCATTCAACGTGTCTTGATGTCCCCCTAACAAAATTTTCTGATCAGCTGTTATATATATATATATGTGTGTGTGTGAACGACGCATTTAAGGTTATAATGACACACTGCTACCAACTTTAGCCTAGTTTCGATAGCGCGGTAAAATTTAAAATCTATATACATCCTTTTTTTTTTATTTTCTCTTTCTCTCTTTTTTTATTTATTCTTTCTTACATTTACATAGGGGGAAATTTAATATAATTTTTTAATAAAATATAAAAATTAATTTACAAAAATTATTTCTATTAATATTTTTTGTTTTTTGCAATCTACAAAATTGTTTCATAATCATTTAGCAGAAAGAAAGAACAAAGGCGGGAAAATTTAAATATATGAAATTAAATTTGTTTTGAAAAAGAAAAATACTGGTCAAAATATATTTTGTCAACAAAATTTATGAATAAGTATAAAAAATGTAATATACAATATAATAATAATAATAATAATAATAATAGTTCTACTACCCGTATACTTTTCATAGATAAATAAAATAGTAATTTATTTATTTAATTAATATAAAAATAGTAAAAATAATAATATAATATAATAATAATAATAATAATTATTATTATTATTATTTTGTATTAAAAATAAACGAATTCTATAAATTAAAATTGAGTATAATATTTATTATTATTCATTTAAAATTAAAAAAAAATAATAATTATAAAAAAAAATTATAATTTTTTTCTTTATAAAAATCTAAAAAAAATTTTTTTGCATAAAAAATAAAAAATCATTGAAATTAATTGACTCTATATTAATTATTATTATTATTATTATTGTAATTATTATTAATATTATTATTATTTTTTTTACGCAAGGTAAAACGTGGAAATCTGCTTATTATTATTATTATTTGATGTTTGTTCGAAATAAATTTATAATTATTTATAATAATTAAAAAAAAAAGTTCAAATATTATTTTGTTTAAATAAATAAATTATTTAATTTTCGTTTTAAAAAATTGCAAAAATATTTTTTTTTTTGTTAAATTTTTGAAAATCTACTTTACCGACTTTATTATGAAATTTTCATCTTTTTTACGTTTGTACTATTATTATATTATAATTTTTATAATAATAATAATAATTATTATTATTCTTATTATTATTATTATTTTTTTTTAGTTATATTACATAAGGAGCTTAAAAATCGACTTAATTAAATTAATTTTGCCATAATTAATTACTAAGCTCGTTAATTCTAACCTAAAATTTCCTTAAGCACATATAAAGCGCGGGAAATTTAAATATCGTTTTTTTATAATATTTGCATTTTTTTCAATCTCTGAACTAGAAAATGCAGATAATAATAATAATGATAATAATAACAATTATTATTATTATTATTATTATTATTATTGTTATTATTATCTACATTTTCTAGTTCAGAGATAAACAAATGCAAATATTATTAAAAAACGATATTTAAATTTCCCGCGCTTTATATGTGCTTAAGGAAATTTTAGGTTAGGATGACAAATAATAATAATAATAATAATTGTTGTTGTTATTATTATTTTTAAAAAATTCTAATGTGGAAAATTACAAATTAGTTAAAAAAGCAGGAAGTTCCTAGGACATTTATGAATTATATATATATTTTTTTATTTCTTGAAATGGGGAGTGCCAATCATAAGGCGACCTTCATGGTTGGTGAATAATATTAAAGAAAGAAAAAGAGGGTACACACTCTTTCTCGCGTTTGAGTTTTACTATGCGTAAAAGTTGAACGAGTGTGCACGCAGTAAAACGTAATTATTCATTCCGGTGGTTACGAAACCCGTGCTGCTATCTTCCACATCATAAGGGGTGCATCTTATTAATTCAACAATCCTCCTATTTTGTCCTTTAATATATATATATATATATAATTTTCACTCATCTTTAAAATTTCACCACGACAAAGGAAAAAAATTATTTTTAACCTCATTTGAATACAGCGAGGTAGTAAAATAATTCATATATAAAGAAGGGGGAAATTTTAATAACCTAACCTCAAATTTTTCTCCCACATTTTTGTTTTTAGTATTTTTTATTAAACATAACCTCAAAAATTATAGTTACGCGAAAAAATGACTCAAAATTTCTAATTTGTTTTCTTTTCCATAAAACATAACCTCCAAAATTACAATTATACGCAAAAAAAAACAGATTAGCAATATCTTAATTTGTTGGCGTTTCCATAAAACATAACCTCAAAAATTACAATTACGCAAAAAAAACGTATTAGAAAATTTTTAATTTCTTTTTCCATAAAACATAACCTCAAAATTTACAATTTTTTTAATTTCTTTACTTTGATTGTACTTTAATGACTAAAAATAGGTGGAGTGGGATTAAATTTATATATATATATATATATATATATATACTTCTTTTTCTGAGATTATCGACAAAATAAAGAATGATAAATAGTTTTTGCACAATGACACGTGGCCTTTTGCGTTTTATTGCGAAACGGCTCTCATCTGCGTGGACCAACATACAACCTGTTGCTTTGCAACCAATCATCGAACAAACACAATGGACATTCTGATTGGTTGCGACGTGTGGTTGAATATAGCGTTCTTTCCCGTGACACAAGCGTTCAAACACCCTCCCCCCTCCCTCTCTCTCTCACACCCTTTCTAACCATAAACATCAACTATCATCTCTTCTTTGGACTTTATTAAAGAGCCTACAAATATCTTTCACGATTTTTAAAACGAAAAACCTGTATTCTAACCTCGAATAAAATTATGAATTCAAATTTTTTTAACATAACCTAAAAAATGTTTTTCTAATAACTTTTATTATTACTATTATTATTCCTATTATCATTATTACTATTATTATAATATAATAGTAATAATAATAATAATAATAATAATAATAATAATAATAATAATAATAATAGATATTAGAAAAAAATTTGTAGGTTATATTATTTATTAATTAAGCTTCAGCCTTTCGGCCCAGAAGGTTTTACCTGAACCTAAAATTAAGTTACCTAAACGTAAAGTTGAGTTACCTGAACCTAAAATTTAGTTACTTAAACTACCGAAACCTTAAATTTAGTTATCTGAACTACCTAAATCTATAATTTAGTTACCTAAACCTAAAATTTAGTTACCTAAACGTAAAATTGAGTTACCTGAACCTAAAATTTAGTTACTTAAACTACCTAAACCTAAAATTTAGTTACCTAAACGTAAAATTGAGTTACCTGAACCTAAAATTTAGTTACTTAAACTACCTAAACCTAAAATTTAGTTACCTAAACCTAAAATTTAGTTACCTGAACCTAAAATTTAGTTACCTAAACGATAAAATTGAGTTACCTGAACCTAAACTTTAGTTACTTAAACTACTTAAACTTTAAATTTAGTTATCTGAACTACATAAACCTAAAATTTAGTTACTTAAACTACGTAAATCTATAATTTAGTTACCTAAACCTAAAATTTAGTTACCTAAACGTAAAATTGAGTTACCTGAACCTAAAATTTAGTTACTTAAACTACCTAAACCTAAAATTTAGTTACCTAAACCTAAAATTTAGTTACCTGAACCTAAAATTTAGTTACCTAAACGATAAAATTGAGTAACCTGAACCTAAACTTTAGTTACTTAAACTACTTAAACTTTAAATTTAGTTATCTGAACTACCTAAACCTAAAATTTAGTTACTTAAACTACGTAAATCTATAATTTAGTTACCTAAACCTAAAATTTAGTTACCTAAACGTAAAATTGAGTTACCTGAACCTAAAATTTAGTTACTTAAACTACCTAAACCTAAAATTTAGTTACCTAAACGTAAAATTGAGTTACCTGAACCTAAACTTTAGTTACTTAAACTACCTAAACCTTAAATTTAGTTATCTGAACTACCTAAATCTATAATTTAGTTACCTAAACCAAAAATTTAGTTACCTAAACGATAAAATTGAGTTACCTGAACCTAAAATTTAGTTACTTAAACTACCTTAATCTAAAATTTAGTTACCTAAACCTAAAATTCAATTACCTAAGCCTAATATTTAGTTACTTAAACTACCTAAACCTAAAATTTAGTTAGCCAAACCTAAAATTTAGAGGTTGTTCACAAAATACGTAACGTTTTCGGGAGGAAGGAGGGGGTCAAGCTATTTGTTACGGACAGCCGAAAAATAACGCTAATGTATATAACTGAGCGTTACGTGTGAAGAGGGAGGAGATGGAAATTTCAAAAAAAAAGCGTTACGTATTTTGTGAACAAGACCCTATTAGTAAGGTCCCTTTCATTTGACTCAGAAAATATTTTGTATCAAACAGTTGATTCTATTTCGTGTATATTTTCACATTAAAAATCATAAACATAACCTAAAAAAAATTTTTTCTGTCCTTTTCTCACGTTACATATATCCTACACAGTTAAAAGAAAATGGTTTCTTTAAAATATATCCTGTAAGTCAACATCCCTACAGGTCATTTAGAAATATATAATCAATATATATATATATATATATATATATATATATATATATATATATATATATATATATATATATATATATATATATATATATATATATATATATATATATATACTTTTTATTTTTAAAATATAATTTAATTTAAATTTCATTAAATATAAATTATTAACATACAAAAACGAATAAAGAATGCATTTAACAGGCGCGATGCTCACAAAATACCGTGAAAAAAAAAAATTGGTTATAAAAAGAGTAGGTGGGGGGGGATAAATAATGGAGGAAGAAGATGATGCGAAAGCAACAGCAGCATGGTGGGCATCAGATACACACACACATACACTTGCTTTACAGGTGTGTTAAAATGTAATAGAATGTGTAGCAGAAACGCAGCGATTGGTTCATTCTCTCTTATATATATATATATATATACAAGAGATGAATTGTGTAAACCACCTGACCGTTGTCAACGCGTCGGCGCAAAATCGTCCTCGTTGTCGTCATCATCGTCGTGTCCCAGGTCTTTTCGCGCTCTCTCTGCGGTCCGACACGCATATAACAAGAGGAGGCAAAATGAGTCAAGGGGATCAATAAAAGAGCGATATACAAACGAGTTCCGAGTCGGCGGAAGTTGAGCGAGAGATAGTGGCGTCGTCCACCAATCCTGATCGCGATAATATATACATACATACATACACCTATAATATGCTATATATATATATATATATATATAACATATTATGTGTATGTATGTATTTATATATATATATATATATATATTGACACGAGATTCTATATCCAAAAGGCGTGGGCATACAGCGTGACTTCTCAAGGAAGAAAAAAAAATATATAAAACTTAACCTAACCTCAAATTTAAAGTTCCTTACGGCGTGCAGTAATTCATTCAGTTTCGCAATAATATCAGCATTTTAGTACGATTTTACTGATATTAATGCGAGACCAATTGAATTACTGCGCGGCGTAAGGAACTTTAAATTTTAGGTTAGGTTAAGGTTTATTATTCTTATTTGCCTACTGCCGGGTAGATATTATTCCTACAGTCAAATAATAATAATAATAACAAAATAACATACATAATAATATGATGATTACCAGTATTATAATAATAATTATTATTATTATTATTCTGCTGTACAAAGTAAAAAAGTACATAATTAACAATAAGAACATTGTTTATGGCTTTTTTATTTTGGACGGCAGTATTATTATTATTATTATTATTATTATTATTATTATTTATTTTGTCACATGAGCAAGAGAGTATATAATGAGAAGGGTCTTTTAACACCGTAGAAACAATTTAGTCTAGCGTTGAGACTTACTATTATTATTATCATTTTTTTTTTTTTTGCGTAAGGATTTTTGGGAAATCTGCATACAGATACCTTGGACTTTGCATTCCAAGGTTATGTGAAGTTGCTTAAAAATAATAATAACGATTTTTATTTTTGCTAATTTTATTGCTGTCTGGAAAATAGAGGTTATGTGCCAACTCATATGTGATGCGGTAGACACTAATACTTTAGTGACATTTAAATCGATTAACAAACTGCTACATTTTTGATGGATGATTGCGGTTTCCCAGAGACTTGTTTAACGAATTTACTACTAATACTATTGTACAGACAAGGGGAGAATAAATCCTTTCTTTAAAGATTAGGAAATTTTCGAAACTAAACAAAATTTAGTATTTACCTTAAATTGTGGAAATAGAATTTTTGCGAAACCCCCCCCCCCCAATTTTAACGGAGAGAAAGAAAATAGTAATCATTTTCGGAAAATAAGTAATTTAGAGTTGCGCAACATTGTGAAATGTGACCTCATTTGTATATGTGAGAATTAATAAACGGATCGGAATTTGCAGATGGACTGTTTTGAATTTCGGTTTAAAAAATTATAGGCTATTTTTTTGGTTGTAATGGTGCAGAAATTTTTTTTTACACAATTTGGATGATTTCTCCTTTATTCTTCACTGTTGAAAATAGAATCCTAAGGATTGGTTTGCTTTAAAACGTTTTCCTAGGTAACGGATTCCTAAGGAATAGATTTCTAGGAATTCCTAGGAACTAATTCTTAGGAATAGGAAACCCTAGGTTTCCTAGAAATTCCTTGAAATCCCTAGGATTAGGATAGGAAACCCTAGGTTTCCTAGAAATTCCTTGAAATCCGTTACCTAGGAATCCCTAGGGTTAGGATAGGGAAACCCTTAGGTTTGCTATTCCTAAGGAATAGTTTCCTAGGAATTCCTAGAAATCTATTCCTTATAGGAATCCGTTACCTAGAAAACCCTTTCGAAGCAAACAAATCCTTAAGAATCTATTTTTTCAACACTGAAGAAATAAGGAAAATCATCCAAAATTCCCTTAAATCTATACAATTAAAAAAAAAACAAAATTTTTTACTACTCACCTTAATTGAACCCTCAACCGAAGCAGCCTCATTATTCTTCTTTGTCGTACACGCCTGTCGATCGGGTTGCCTAAAAAGTCTACCATCTTGATTAACAATACCACGATCAACAGATCTTTTAGCCGATAATCTCAATGCCGTTCTTAAATCACCATCAATTTCCTCTTCAACCGTATGACTTTGTCGTAAATATTTTTCAATACTTTTTAACGTTGAACCATCACGTTCGCCAAGTTCACGCACTGCTTTACCAATTATTTTTGACAAATCAGTATTACTTTGAACTTTAAGTGGTCGTGCCTGCAAACCACCTGGATCTTTATATGACGATTGACCTTTATTAAATATTTTCAAAACATCACCACGTTTCACTGCAACTTCCAAATGTTCAGCAATTTCTTCCTCATGAAAATTATGATGTTGCCGAATTGCATGACATATTCTTTCAACACTTGGCCTTTGTTTTTGACTACGAATTTTACGAATCGCATCCAAAAACCATGACGACCATGTGTCATCACCGGATTCTTGTTCATCCATTTCTTGATGATGATGATGATGATTATGATGATGATGATGGGGATTTAACTCATATTTATCACCTCCCCCACCATCCAAGTGAGTGAGGACCTAGACATTCACATTCTGGCTGAAACCTGAAATAGAAAATTTTTTTTTTAGTTTAAAATCTAAAAACATTTTTTTCAGAATGTTAAACGTGTCTTTAGGTTGTTACTTCCTGTGTTAAAAAAAAGGAACGTGACTATTTCGTACAGGCGAGGGGTTTGAATTCCTGCTTCCTGACCTTCCAGGACCCCCCATAGTGGTTAAGGAACGATCCCCATAAAGCTGCCTTCCCCATTCCTTCTACCCCGCAAGGGGTCATTATATTACCGGGAATTAGTTTTAAATCGTGTTCCTATAAGCAGCAGACAAATCGTGCTATCGAAACGTCTATTAATCATTCGTCTCGGTTCGCCAATACTTAACACGCCGATTATCACTAAAAGATTATCTTTTACTAATTTGATCTCTTTGGAAAATAAAAAAAATCAATCGTGCTTAGTAAACCCTCAAAAAAGAGGAAAAATTTACGATTGATAAAAATTTGTAGTTTTAAATTTAAATTTCTAATTTTGGAAATCGTTACAAAAAAAAAGTGAAGGGAGTAAAAAAGGAATGTTAAACGCGTGTAAATAACTTCGAGTTCAGGCTTAAATTGTTGACCTAGGTTTTTGGGGTAATAAATATCCTATGTCGGTAATAAATATTCCCTGGCTCTTTCTCTCTCTCACTCGTTTCACATTTAAGATTAAAAAAAGAAAAAAGGAAGCTGCTGACGGAACTATTCCAAAAGGCGGAAGTTTAGCCAAATTTTTCCCAAAAAAAAAGGGAATTTTACTTTCTACTTTAAAAAAGGGAAGTTTTTGTACAAGAAATTTTATTTTAGGAATACTTTTATGCCACGCCTCCTAAATTCGAACCCTAATGTAGTATAAATTCCACTCCTAATTTCTGGCTATTTAAATCCCCCTTCCCCGCACACTTCTCTAAAACCCGTCGAGGAATTAGTGCGCATGTGCTGTAAAGGCCACGTGCTCACATTCCCGCCAAAAATCTAATTTTCTATGGTACTTTTGCCTCTATTTAAAAATAAGAAAACAATATTTTCTCTTAAATCGTATTTTAAAGTAATTTTCGTTTTTTTAAATCAAAAGAAGGAAATTTTACTATTTTTGAGACTCTAGAAGTTTTAAAACCATTTTCGATTATATGGAAATTATTTCTTTCTTACGTATTTAAATTGAGGCAAAAGACTTCCGATGAGCAATGATTTGCTCACATATATTCTCGGAATTGATAAGTATATCTCTCACACACATTTTCAAGGTTACGGTAATATGTATATATATATATGTAGTCAAAAATAGAGACAGACGAATCATTTTTGACCTTTGTTTCATTTGGAATGTTCCAAAATGAAAAAAATAGAAAATATATATTAATTTTTTTTTTTTCTTAATGTAAAAGCGAAAAATTATAGGTTATGGCAGTTTTGTTAGATTGAAAAAAAGAAATTCTTATAGACACTTGGCATCTATTTCACTTGAATAGGGATATATATTTCATTAAAACAGGGAAAGTTTTCGCTAACCTAGAGAAATATATCGCTGTTTCAGATAAAGATTTTCAGAATATATACTTGGCATCTATTTTAGAATATTTTATACTTAAATTCAGTACATATATTATATTCTAAAATTTAGGAATATTAAATATTGAATTTAAGTATGAAATATTCTAAAATAGATGCCAAGTATATATTCTGAAAATCTTTATCTGGAACAGCGTTTCTCTAGATTAGGGAAAACTTTCCCTGTTTTAGTGAAACTTATCGCTGTTCCAGGTAAAGATTTTATTCCGTGTAAGAATGTTTTTTTTCGATGCAGCGAAAACGATTCTTACGGTTTTTTTTGTTTTTTTGGGCCCTTTTTGGAAAAAATCATAAACATAACCTCAAATTTTCGCTTTTTATGCCCCTTTTCTTTTGCGAATGTAATTTAAAATATTTTTTTAAACTTAATAAAGTAAATTAATTTTTTCATTTAAATTTGATATATATATTTGTTTTAAGTATATACAAGTACTTTCGAGAGGCCTTGCAGGTAATTAAGTCGGTGCATGTGCCCGTATCATATTAGGTGAAATAAAATACCGGTTGTCCGGTAAAACATGCGGCCGGGTGTTTGCCCCTCGTTGTATGTCAAATAAAAAGGCAAAACTGCAGCTGCGACTTTAGTTTCCTACGCCCGCCAAACCGTCACGATCAAATCCCCCCCTTCCCCTCCTTTTTAAAAGAAAAATAGGAATAAACAAATTCAAAAAAGCAGCAAAAAAAAAAATAGGTTATGTTTATAGTTTTATACCTTGTAATTATAATTTTTTATAATGTAAAATTAAAATTTTTTTCATTGATTTTTAATCGTAAACATAACCTATATTTCTTTTTAATAGGTTAATGATAAAAACAAAGTATAAATAAACATAACCTATAATTTTTTTTTTAAGTCATTGGCTAAATTTACTGAATCTAATAATTGAATTAACTAAACTTTTGACTAAACTTTTCACTAAATTGACTAAATATATAATTAAATTAACCAAACAGATTTAAATTTTAAAATAAGGTTAAATTTACTAAATATTATATTAAATCAGTCAAAAAATTTCGGTTAATTATAAATTTAGTTACAAAATTACTTTAAATTAACTAAGTATTTGATTTAATTAGCCAAACATTTTGATTATTTTCTCTAAATCTAAATTAGTGAAAAGTGAGCTACTAAATTAAATTAGTAAAAATTTTAACTAATCTTTAGTCACTTTTTAAAATTTTAGTAAAAAAATTTTAAACGACTAAATCATATAGTAATATTTTACTAAAATTTAGTAAAAATTCTTACTAATGTGAATTAGTAGCTCACTTTTAGCTAATTCAAATTTAGAGATAAATTTAAGTTTCAAAATTACTTTAAATTATCTAAATATTTGATTAAATTAGCCGAACATTTGGGTTATTATATAGAAATTCAATTCTAAAATATAATTGAAAGAAGCAAAAAAAATTTTGTTCAATACTAAAAAAAAAAAACAATTTAGAATTAAAGAAACTTTTTCCTTAATTCAATAAATATGTTAGAATTGAATCTATAAACCCAGATGTTTCGCTGATTTAATAAAATATTTAGCTAATTTAATCAAATATTTGGCTAAAACAAACAAACAAAAAAAAAAATATATATATATATATATTTGATTTAATCAATGAAACTTTTCTCTCTATAGTATATATCATAGGTGCAATGACCCCTTTGGGATAAATATTCAGTTTCCGTTTTTTACTCTATATTACTCTCTTAATAAATCAAGTGTGCCAATTTTTACACCTTTTTTTTATATTATGTTAAATAATTTCTAATTTTCCTTTATTTTTTTACTATTTTTTTTCCATTTCTTCAAACAATTTTTTACACACAAAACACTTTTTAAAACTTCAACACTTTCACAATTTCCCGCCAAAAAAAAAAAAAAAACTCATATGGAAAAATACATTGGGTTTTAAGGAAAGAAAGAAAAAAAAAATTGAGGAATTTTCCACTGATACGAATCAACAACTTTCAATTCCGGAATAGTGCGAGCAAAATAAAAAAAAAAGATACAAAACGAAAAAAAAAGTTAAGTAAAGAGAGAGAGAGAGGAACCGACGGTGAAATGTGGCCGTCGGAAAAATTTCACCTGGTATTAATTTTACGAAATTTACAAAAATGCAAAAAAAAAAAAACTATAATATTTATGTATGTATCATTTTACCCCGAGGGGGGGGGATCGGAAGAATTTTTCTAAAAACTACTGTTCTTGAAGTAATAATAATAATAATAATAATAATAATTACACTTTTCGATATGGTTGTTTAACAGTTTACACACGAAACTCTTCTCATCCAACATTCTCGAAGCCCGACGGGCAGCCATTTTGTAGGTCCGCTGTATATGCGGCAATCCCAGTTTCAGTCTGGTTGCAAAATTTCTCTCCCTCCCCTCCCTCTTCTCTCTCTCTCTCACTCTCTCAATAATACCACACACAAAAATTTATATTTCCATATTATTATTCTTTTTCCCCAAATTAAATTAACAAAAATCACTCAAAATTATAGGTGGAAAAAAAAAAAAAAATTTTTCCCGCCAAAATTTTTCATTTTCAATTTAGCACAAAAAAAAAAACAAAAGTGGTAATTTTTTCCTCCTTTTTTTGTTTTTTGAAATAAAGTTTTTTTTTTTGGAATTAAAAAAAAAAATTGAGAACAAGTGACGAACGAAACACAAACGTTGAGAGCGCCACTCTCCTATATATCTCTATCTCTCTCTCTCGTCCGTATTGTGCGTCGTCGAGATACACACACACACATATACAGGGGAAAAATGCGACAATCGGAAATTTTATTTTTTTCCCTCCCAATACGTTAAATTTTTTTTTTTTTTTTTCTCATATTAAAAAAATAGTTAATATATATTTTACCTGTTAGCAATAATTCCATTTGTTTAATCCTTAATTTGAATGGCACAAATCACAAAAAAAAATGATTTTAACACACAACAAGGGGGGATTTTTTGGGGGGGGGAGGTTCACTTTTATCACAAATACCCCCGATTATCTTCGCGGAACGGCGTCACATTTCACAAATCAACAAAGGTTACCCACTTGACAAAGATGGCCGACTAGTTTGCTACTGCGCAACAAAGTGGGGAGAGTTGTGCGCCGACCGTCGTCGCAAACTAAAACACCCGAGGGCGCTCTTTCTCTCTCTCTCTCTTTCGTTTTGGGGAAAAAAAAAAAAAAATCTTGTATTAGTGAGAAAGAGAGAGATAGAAAGTACCCAGGTGCATTTATGTGTGCGTGTGCGACTTGTCAGGACTCGATTCAACTTGAGAGAATATTGTACTCAAAACTTTTTTAAAATATATACACACAAATAACTACTATATAGTACATGTATTACATACACTGTATATTTACTAATATATAGTATATTTAGTATACATATATATATATATATATATATATATATGTATTAAACATACTATACTCGATCGGCTCTCAGGATTAAATAGAAACTACATAGGAAACAAGCCGGACGTACCACCCGATCGTTCCACTCAATATTGGAGGAGGAAAAAGGTGACGGGGGAACAAAGATAGAGAGAGAGAGAGAGAGAGAAGGAAACTATCAGTTTCTCGAGAAATACGAGAATTTTTCACTACTTTAGTGCGCGATGTGTCCTAATCTCTAATATATTTAGAAATAATTTTTAGGTTAGGTCTGATAATGGACAAATTTTTCTTAAATATATATATTATGCGTTTTTGCCTTGCTTTAGCAAAAAACATCGATTTAAGAAAAAATTGACTATTGTGGACTCGAACATAACCTCACTTTTTTTAACCGCTCACACACACTTACGCATTGGTTGATTATTTGCGAATTATGAAAATATTTAGGCAATGTTGGCAATATTGTTAAGTGTATATACTTAAATAGTCCAGTCAAATTAGTCGAAAAACAAGGCATATCATGTTTTAACTCAGGATCTCAATTTTTTTTTTTTTTTTGCTCAAACCTTTCATTTTTCGGATAAAAATAAAGTACCTAAATTCAATTTCGAAATGTTGTAGTAAATAAAGGGTAGAATGACAAAAGGGATCTAGCGCCAATTCACTGTTTTTACAGGCAGTAAAAAAAATTTTTAAAAATTTTGCAGGTTATTAAAAAAAAAAAACTGAGAAAACCGTTTCGATATATTAGTATGTTTTAATAAATAAACAACAATTTGTTGAAATAAACCTAGATATTAACGATAAAATTGAAAAAAAAACTGCGTGGTGCCTTTTGAGGTTATATCAACTGTGCACATTTTCTTTAAGCATATTAATTATAAAAAAAAAATATACAGTTTAAAGAAAAACTGTAAAATTAGTTTCATTCTATGGAATCGACGAAATGAATAGAAAAAAAAATTGTTTTCAAGAAAATTACGAATTAATTGCTTGCTTTGGAATTGAGCAATACTTTATCATCTTTAAATTCAATTGTTCATACTTAGTATAATTATAAAAATATTTAAAAATTAATAACAAAATGATTTTAAAATTGAAAATATATTATTATTATTATTATTATTATTAATTTTATTAATTAAAAATATTATTAAAATAAAATTAAAATAAAACCTAAAAAAATAATATTTTTTGATCAAAATTGAACAGATGGATAAAAATGTGAAGAATGAAATTCATAAAAACATTTCACCTTCATATCATTTCTTTTTAACAATATCGTTTTTATTAATAGATTTTTTTCCGCATCTGCGAGGCATTTTCAATTTGTAAAAAGCAATGTTTTTAAATTTGTTAAATTATGCATAATATTATTGACTCATCATTTTCTTTTGTTTTTCAATCAGGTTGCAATAAAGTAAATTTTGAGGCTATTTTATTAATTTAATTTTTATTAAAAACTGATTTAAATACGCAATAAAAAAAGGAAATCCTTCTACAGAAATGTGTAAATGAATTTTCTTGATTTTTTTTTTATGCAAAAACTTCATTTTCGATAAATTGACGCTTGACCCCTTTTGTCATTCTACCCTTCAAATATACAGGGTGTCTAACGGTCAGGGAAATCAGGGAATTTCAGAAAAATTTCATTCAAAGTCAAGGAAATTTCTGTAAATTTCTACAAAAATTCAAAATTTTTTAATCTAAAAAAAAATTTGAATGGTTTTTATTACCATTAGAAATACCATTTGTTACTACCATTAGAAATTAATTTATTGTTAAATATGTCAATAACCATATTTTTGTCCAAAGAAAGCAGAAATAAAGTTATTAAAAAGTCAGGGAAAAATAAAAAAATGTCAGAGAGGAGTCAGGGAATTTTTTTCTCAATCCTTGTTATAGACACCCTGATACCTATACAATATATTTTTGTTCTTTGTCCGAATGTTTTTGCGTTTTATTTATACCTAAATTTGGTACTTTGAACTCCTTCTGTAACCTAAATTTTTTTTTTTTAAGAAATAGGTACAAAAAATCATTTTTTTCAAATTGCCCGCCTTCCATGACATTTTAGTATAAAAAAGAAAGTGTACAAAATAGAGAAAGGTAGATTATGCATTTAGAGAGATCCTCTAATTATGCACGATTATGTAGGATTATGCGATTAAAATATGCACGATTATGCGGCATTATATAGTAAAATTAGCCTAATTATGCAAAATTATGCAATTAAATAAAATGTTTAATTTTGCAAAATTATGCAGCGTTTAAAAAAAATTAATTTTGAATAATGTATTTTTAATCGCTATTTTTTTTTTTTATATCGAATTTTAAAAATCATGTTAACATGCAAAAAAACTAGTAACTTGAACTAATGAATTGAGGACACGTTCATTTACGGAAATGCAGACTTCTAGAAAAAAATAATTAATTAACATTTAATTTTATTTTATTTTATTGATTCTGCAGAATTTTTTTTAAAAATGATTTGATTTCAATGAAATATGGCTTATTTTCTTCGAAAAATATGATTCTCTACAATTTCAACGTGGGAAAATTTTAAACAAGCAAGCCATTTGGCAAATACAGCTATTTGTTTAAAAAAAATAGCTGTATTTTAATAATAAGAAATAAAATATTCATTTATGATTAATTTATCGAAAAAAATTTTTTAATTTAATAAAGAGACTAACAAACAAAAAAATTTTTTTCTCAGTTTAGTTAAAAAAAAAAAAGCATTATTTTGGCAATTTTTGAGCAAATTATGCGGTCATTATGCAAAAATAATAAAATTATGCAATGACATATAAATTATGCAATATTATACGCTTTAAAAACGTATTGTAATACAGTATCTTAAAGTAACTTTCTGGAAACTTCCCTTAACCTATATAATAATGTCTTAGATTCGGTAGTTTCCCTTGGTAACTTCCTGTTAACTTCCAGAAAATTATCGCGGAATTAAATTTCCCAAAAAAGTGCAGAGGAGGAGTTCATAAAATTTTAAATAATTGTTAATTTCCAAGAATTTTCTCTAAAAATTATCTCCGTTAAGTCCAATATCTATATTTTATAATATTAATATAAATTTATGATTTTTGCTTTACTATTATTATTATTAGTTCTAATTGTAACATTACTCTTTTAGATGAAATAAATTCTGCTGAGGGAATCGGTACCGATTCCGAAACGTTAAAGATGTTTCTTAATATCTTTTACTTGTCCTATAAAAAGCCATTAAATCAAATTTTACTATATTTATTATTATTATTATTATTATACTATTATTTATTTATGTAATATCTTTTTAAATTTATTTATTATTCAAGTTAATAAACATAAAAATAATATTAATTGAAATTCTTGTTGCATATTTTACCTTTTTTCGCTCGTGAAATTGTTCAGAACACCTCGAAGCAAAGAACCTAAAAAATACAAAAACATCCAATTTTTTTAGAAAATAAATAACAGCAAAATTAATCTAGAAAAAAGGAGAAAAATCAAGTTAATTTGGAATGAAAACGAATGATTTTTAAATCTTTTAAGTTTCTGCAAAAAAAAATTAAATTTTGAGGTCGTATTGCACCAAATAGAATTTCAATAAAAAAGCAAAAAATTTTAAAGGGTAACGCTAATTAAAACGCCGCTCCTGTTTTATAAAGTCGTGACGCGCTATCAATATGCGCTTTTGCCACTGGAGTTTATTGATTTTCAGAAGAATGAAAAAAAAAAATAAATAAATATACTCAAGTCAGAATGCAACTGCCGTGTCACTGGATCAATTATTATTTCTCTCTTCTAAATTTTGCGCCGCTCCATATAATTCTGAAAATTAAATTTTTTTTCCAAATAAATTTTTTAGAAATTAAATAATTTTAAAAAAATTCATTTTTAGATTTTAAATTCGAAAAAAAAGATTTCTTTTCCTTCATTCTAGTATTTTTAATAATGGTAACTTTATTTTCTTTTCACTTCTTGTGATTTTCTTTTTCGTCATTGAAGCGTTAGAAGACGTTTTTTTTTTTTTTTCTACGAATAGATAAAAAAAATATCTTAAAATAATTTCTAAATTTCCACATTTTTTGGAAATTACATTTTGCAATTATTTTGTATTAACGGAAAAATTTGGTCTCCCCTCATAAGTACAACCGGAACGTTGTATAATTTCCGAAGCTGCCCATATGCCACATTTTATACATGTTTCCAAATTTTCATTCTGAACGTATTGCGCCAAGAAACCTAAAAAAAAATTTTTTTTTTAATTAATAATATTTTTTTTTTTTAAAATTAAAAAACGTAATTTTAAATTTTGTGAATGTAAAGAAAATTATTACCACCAACGAATGCATCGCCAGCGCCATTTGTATCGACAACTTTTTCTTCAGATATTTTTGGCACATTAAATTCAGTAATTTTATTGTCTTTTATTAAAATAACAGCACCCGCTCCCTGTGTTATAATAACAATACGTTTTCTTTTTGTATTTTTTTTCTCCATTTGTGATATTTTCAATCCAATTTCAATTAAATCACTTGTATTTAAATTATTTGCCTCTGAAAATGCCTCACATTCTGATTCATTGCCAAATAAAATATCAACATATGGCAATGCATCGCGCATTGGTTTTTTAAAAAGTTTACACAAAAATGGTGCACTTAAATTCATTGTAAATATTTTATTTTCATCGCACGCATGTTTTGCAACTGATTGAATTGATTCGGGACTTACTGTCAAGAAAAATCCCTAAAAATGAAAAAAATAATTTTTAATTTTTTTTTTAATTACTTCAGAAATATTAAAATTAACAAAAATATTTTCTGTATTAAAAAAAAAAAAAATAATAATTTTTAATTAATGAATAAAGTAGAGAACTATTGAGAAATGAGAAAAATTTTACTTACAGAAACATAGTAAAATTGTGCTTTCTCAATGAGTATTTTATTTTCCGGCTCGGCAATATGAGTTGGTGAAAATAAATTTGCTGCCGCTAAATTAGCGCACAATGAACGCTCTTTGCCTGTTATTAAAACGGCACATGTTCCTGTTTGTTCCTTATCCGTATATTGATAGCGAACATTTAAGCCATCTTCTTGTGCGCGTTCTTGTAAAATTTTTGAATATTTATCCTTACCAACACAGCCCATGTAAATGCAAACGCGCGGTTTTTCTAAAAACCACTGCAAAAAAAATTTATTTTTTATTTTTTATATCTATAATAATAATAATAATAATAATAATAATAATAATAATAATAATTAAATAAAAAATAAATAAAAAAAAAATAATAACAGACCTTGGATCGACTTGAAGGCACAAAAAAAGTCGTTTTAGTCATATTCCAAAAAAAGTCGAAAAAGTCGATTTTTTTTTTATTTAAACAAAAATATTTTACAGATTTTTAAATAAAATTTTTTTTTAAATAATAATACTTTTTGGAAGGGTTTAAAGTTGAAATTTTTAGAAATAATTGAATTTTAAAAGATTTTGTTAATTTTCAAACAATAATTAAATTTTATAAAACTAAAAATAATTTATCAAATAATTTCAGATAACATTTTTTTAAATGTAATTGAATTTTCAAAGATTTATAATTGAGATTTTTAAAATTAATTGAAGTTCAAGTGATTTTTAATTAACAATTTTTTTGATGATTTCATTAACAAATTTATTAGAAATTGAGGGGGAAAAATACAATAATTTAAAAACCATTTTTAATTGAAATAATGGTTTCAGATAGTTGAATTTTCAAAGAATATTATAAAAATAGTTTAAAAAAATTGAATTTCCTTAGAGTTATAATTGAAATTGATAAATTTTAAAAAATTTTAGAAATAATTAAATTTTAGAAGTTTTTAAATTCAAATTTTTGAAAATAATTGAATTATAATTGAAATTTTGAATAATAATTCAATTTTAGTTGATTTTTGATTGAAAATTTTGATAATAATTAATTTTGCATTAAAATTTTTGAGAAAAATTGAATTTTAGTTGATTTTGAATTGAAAATTTGAAAAAAAATTCAATTTTCTTTGATTTGAAATTGAAAATTTGGAAAATAATTGAATTTTAGTTGATTTTGAATTGAAAATTTTGAAAATAATTAAATTTTATTTGATTTTGAATTGAAAATTTTGAAAATAATAGAATTTCCTTTGATTTTAAATTGAAATTTTGGATAATAATTTAATTTAAGTTGATTTTTAATTAAAAATTTTGATAATAATTAATTTTTAATTTAAATTTTGGATAATTATTGAATTTTAATTGATTTTGAATTGAAATTTTGGGTAATAATTGAATTTTATTTGATATTAAATTAAAAATTTAGAAAATAATTGAATTTTAAAAGATTTTAAATTGAAAATTTAGGAAATAATTGAATTTTAAAAGATTTTGAATTGAAAATTTTGAAAATAATTGAATTTTATTTGATTTTGAATTGATTTATGATTTTGAATTAAAATTTTTTGATAATTTTATTTGATATTTTTTAAAAAGTATAAACAATTGTTAAATTTCATAAAAATTTTAATTGAAAAATAATTTGAAATAATTGAATTTGTGATGAATTTCATTAAAATTATTTGAAAATAATTAATTTAGTGAAGAATTTTAGTTAAAAATTTGTTTAAAAAATGTAAAAAAAAAAAAGTCGGAATAGTCGCATTTTATTAAAATAAGTCGAAAAAAGTCGTATTTTTGGAATAAAGTCGAAAATAGTCGAAAAAGTCGTATAATCCGAGGCCTGTAATAATAATAGTATAAAAATGTTAATAATAAATATTAATTACAAAAAAATATTTGAAAATCGCGCCAATTTTTTTTTTTTTTAGTTTATATATTTCGGACAATTTGTAATTTCGGTCAAATTAAAAATGCCATGCATTTTTTTTTTCTAAATTCTGAAATTACGAAAATACTTGAAAATTTTCTGAATGAGAATTTTGATAAATTAAAATTCGTCTAATTAGAATTCTTTTTTAAATAAACAAAAAAAATTTTCTTTTTAAATATTGATAATAAACTATTTTTATTATCGGAAAAGTAATATTCTCAGACTTTCTTTATCTATTTATGACCCGGCAAGATTTATCTTCTGTAAATAGCTTTCTGATGAAATTAGACCAATGTACTTTGAAGAAATTATCCTTTTTTTTTTAAATAAAATTTCATAAAACTAATTTGAAAATATGGAAAAATAAAAAAAATGTTTCAAGTATTTTAATAATAAAAAAAAATAGAGGCAATTAAATTTATTTTCTTTCAATATAATTTGATTTTTAACCAAAATTTCGAATTTTTTTTTATGCTTTTTTGATATATTTGAAGCTCTGTAACTTTTTCAATTCAATTTTAATTGCAAAAATATCAAAGAGAAAAAATGTTTGCATTAAAAAAAAAAAAAAAAATTACCTGCGCAACTCGCATTGTATTTTGTACGGCACCACCGGCTATAAAATCTGCTTTATATTGTTCAACCAATTCATCGTAAAGTGGCTTATGAAAATCATCAGCCAATATTGCATCGTTTGCTTTTAATTTGTATTTTTTTAAAAAATCCTCATCAACTGTTGCTGATATATCGAGTAGTGGATTTCCTATTCCCAAAATGAGATTTTCTCTAAAAAAAAATTGTTTAATAATTTATTAAAATAAAAAAAAAATAATAATGTAAAAAGTATTTAAAAATTTATTAAAAAGTACAAAAAATTTCATCCAGTTCAGAATTAAAAAAAAAAAAAATTAAAAAAAAAATTTTTTTTGAATTCTAAATATATATATTTTTAAATATTTATTTTGTCATGAGACAGAATATGTATAATGAGAAGGGTCTTTTAATACCGTAGAAACAATTTAGTCTAGCGATGAGACTATATTTTAAAATATTATATAATAAAATATTAAAATTTCGATTTTATTACACAAAAAAAAATTTCATTTTTAATTCAAAATTATTATTTTTAAAATACAATATTTCAAAGAACTTTATAGTTGCATAATTTTTTTAATTACTTTGTTTTTCTTTAAAATTTTATCTTAAATTCTTATCACCACACGTGGTACATATTTACTTAAGTCTTTTTTTTATAAAAACCGAAAAATTAAATTTTTACTCTTAAATTAAAAATTTTTTTCAAGACGCATAAATTTTTTAAAATTATTAAAAGAACATTCTATAAAAAAAATAAGCCGGAAATTAATATAAAAACAAATGATAATGGATAGAAAATAAATGAGTCAACATAACCTAAAAATCTATACACACTTTTTTTTTTTTTTGAGGAAATAGATTTATATTTATAGAAAATAATTGAAGGACAAGTGAATGGAAAATTTTTGAATTTATAATCAAAATACATTGAGAAAATATTTTCTTTTTAAATAAATATAAAAATCAACAAGTGGGTTTAAAAAAAAAATAAATAAATTGAAATTGTAAGTACCTTAAATTTTCACCCATTATCGACAATTTTAAAACGATTTTTATAAATTGAGAAAAATAAAGAAAAACTCGAAAGATATATCAGGAAATTAATAATAAGATGACTACTGTTAAGATACAAATTTATAACAAACATGAAGAAAATGAAGAGGCACAGATTATTATAAAGATACATGCGCAAACGAGGAAATTTTCAGCCAATAGCGTCACTGGCCTAGCTGATTAATGTAGATAAAGAAAACTTTGTGAGCAAAACAAAATTTAGTGAATTTTTATTCTAAAACAAGTGTTTTCTATAATTTTGTACATTTTTTTTTTTTTTTTTTGAAATTTTCGTGAATATTTATACTTGAAAATTATAATAATTGTTCTACATTTGAAAATTTTTTTCTTGAAAAAAAAGGATAATAATTATTTTATCGAATATAACCTCCAAAAAAAAAATTGTATTACAGTGCCGTAACAATTGAAAAAAATTCCTCCGAAAAGCGGAATTTTTAATATTTTTATAATTTAAATATCTTTTTTGGACAAAAAAATCTAAATAAATAAACGTAATTTTTTGAGAATTAAAATTTTTTTTTTAAAAAATAAATAAGTTTTTGATTACACAACGAAAAAGTTAATTTAAAAATTCCCGCCATTAAAGTTTATTTCGATTGGTGTGGATAAATTTCTGTTAGATTTGATCCAACGGAAATCGTTTATCAAAAAAAAAAAAAAACGGTCCGCCATTTTAACCTCTAAATTTATTAATGTTTTTTTACTAATTTTTTTTTTTTTTTTTTTTTATTAAAATCCATTTGTCCGAATGTTATCGTTTTTGTTAAGAAACCCATTACAAATATATTCTACTTGGACGTTAAAGAATTAATAATTTTATCTCATTCAAAAAAAATTGACAAAATCGCATCTTTCAGATTTTATTCTTCTCATCTCGCAAATTTTATTTGAATTCAAGCAAAAGTTGCTACGACTCTTCCATATGATTAATCTAGGTTATGTTTCGTATAATAATCACCACAGAATTCTCTCAGTGTAGAATTTTGTTTTTTTTTAACACATCTTTGACTTCCACTGGTTATGACAAATTCTTTCAATCTAATCTTTTCAAATAATTTAGATATCGAATATAATACAAATATATTCAAATTTAATTTAAAAATTAAATAAAATATAAATTTTTTAAAAAAAAAATTCCAATTTAAAATTCATGCATAAATTTTCTTTTAGAAAAAGGATACAAAATAATGAATCTCGAAGATTTGCCATGGGATGATGTGATTTTCAAGGAAATTTTCAATCTTCTAAATTTTAAGGATTTAATGAATCTTCATGAGGTTTCAAAAAAATTTCAACAACTCGTCAATTCTTACCTAGAAATATTGAAGTATTTCGATTTTTCCACCTTGCATCCTTCAACTTTTTCAGTAAGAAAAAAAAAAAATTTTTCTTTCACCATTCAATTATTACCCTGAAATTATAAAAAAAAACATATTTAAAAATTGTTTTTTCTGTTTTCAATTGTAGATTGTATTAGAAAATTGTCACAATTTAAAGTCGATAAATTTCTCCAATTGTCGTTGGCTGCGTGATTCACACATCGTATATATTCTAAAAAAAAATAAACAATTAAAATATTTAAATATAAATGGATGCTGTGAGTTGGAATTGAAATTTTTTTTAGACTCAATATGTAAAAATTTTATTTCAATTAAATTGAAACATTGTAAAATAACAGATGAAATAATGACAAATCTTGTTAAAAATTGTCCAGCGCTAGAAACACTCGATGTACGACATTGTAAACAATTAACTGATAATGGAATTTTAACATTAAAATTTTTAACAAAATTAAAAAAATTATATGTCAATAATTGTACAGAAATAACAGAACGTGGTCTCGCTCCATTTCGTCATAAGGTGAAAATTGATCGATATCAAAGAAAAATTTGTGTCGCTCGTCCATTAAATTTACAAGTGTAAAAAAAAATATATACAATTGTCGTTCTTTACAAAAATTGTCGAAATTTAATTTTTTTTCTCCCCTTTCAATGGTAAATGGTCTTGCCATTGAGAAGAGAAGATAAAAAAAGAATTGGAAAAAAATATCAATTTCTGTCGATTTTATAGGTGAAACAAAACTCGAGGTGAGAAAACAAAATGGCTACTATCATCTCACGATTTGTAACACGGATAAAATTGGCAAAAATTTATCTTTTTTGCTAATTCTTCTTGAAAATTCTCCTTTCTCAACTGAACCATTTCAGAGAAAAAATTTCTATAAATAAAAAAAAAACATAACCTAAAAAAATCAGTTTTAATGATTCTTGCCATCGAGAATAGAAGATTAGAAAAAGAATTTCGTAAAAAAATCCACTTTTCTTGTTTTTATCGTATAAACAATTTTTAAGGTGAGACAAAATGGCGATCGTCCATCACCTCGCAACTTGTCACATCGATAAAATCGAGAAAAATGAATCTTTTACGCAAATTCTTTTTGAAATCTCTTTAACTCAACTGAAGAAATTTATTTCTTTTCTTAATCGTAAACTTAATCTAAATTGAGAGGAATTGAAGGAAATTACATTTTCAAGTTTAAAAGCTCCTTTATTTATCGATATAAGACAACACATTAAAGACACTGGAATAAAGTGTACGATATATATATATATAGCAAATAGTATCAAGGACGTAAAAAATTACATTTTTGACAATGATTGAGCGATCTTTGCACGAAAGCAATTATAACTCAAGTCTAAAAAAAAAAATTTAATTGGAAGATTTGCTGCTTTCTGCGCCGCTTTCTGCAAAGTTGACTCGACCAATGTATTTTGAATTTGGAACTCAGCAGAAAAAAAGGATTAGGAGCAAAAAAAATTGGATTGAACAAGAGGACAAAAAAAGGGGAAGGGGGTGGAGACAAAAAAAGGTCAAAAAAGCAGAAGGACGCGCTTTCGCGAATCGCGATCGAGCGCGGACCACGAGCGACGCAGGAAGCCAGCGAAGAGGCGCGGCCGAGACTTTTTTTTGCCACTAAAAAAAATCAAGACAGCATTATAATAATAAAGATAAGACAAAGAGAAAGAATTAAGGATTAGGGACTGTACAATGGAACGTCGAAGTTGCATTAACAAAAAAAATACTATTTTTTTTTTCATTTTTTTTTTTTTTTTTTTTTTTTTTTTGTGAATACCACAAATATTACAATGTGTGTGTTACATTTTCAGCATCATCATTACGCTATTATTATAATTATATCGAAAAACACGAATCTTAGTTTAAAAAAAAAAAAAAATTCAATACACATCAATGTGTAAAAAGATTACAAACTAGGTCGAAAAAATTACTTACTGAAAACTCATTCATTAATCCTAGTTTCTTTTTTACCTTTTTTTCTTTTGTTTCCTCCATAAAATGTCGTTTATTATTATTTATTTTTTTTTTTTGCTATAATGTCTAATACGCTTCTCAGCAGTCATAAAGAGCGTAATTGATTTATCTAAATTGCTAATACGAGAGAGAGAAGAGAAAAAGTGAAAGAGAAGGAATTAATTATTAGTCAAAGAGCGCTCCAATCACAATGGAGATCTTCGATTCTCTTTTCTTTTTTTTTTTTCAATCCCAAGAAAATAATTACACGTAATGAAAATTTCTCTTTACAAAATTTAAAAAACAAAAAAAAACTATAAAAATTTACAAAAAAATTTCTCTTTTGGAAAAAACAGATTTCCTTGTGATTTGAGCGCTTGGTAAAAAAAAAACGAGATATACGGAATTAAAAGCGGAATCTTTTGGTAAAAATTTACATTCAGCTTTTTTTTTTTGATTCAAAAAATTCCGCTATTAATTTGTTTTCGTATCGAAGACAAATTCTTCACAAAAATGTTCTATATTGGTAAAATGTTAATGCGCTCTCGTTGACTATTTTTTTTTTTTTGCTTTCTGAAGAGAATGTCTTGATTTAATTATAGTTATATATATTTATTTATATATTTTGTTTATATAGATAAATATACATTTCGTAGGGCACTGAGAAAAAATATTCTCACTCTTTTTAAAACGGTTTGTATTCGGATTTTTTTTGGTTCTTGGGAAAATTTTAATATAAACTTGTGAACGGAGCTTAAGTTGCATTTTTCTTTCTCTGCAAAATTTTTCGGTTAAAAAAAGCCGATTTCTTTTTTTTTAAATTGAAACAATAAAATTTCGTACTTTAAGCCCTGTTCACATGTAAAAATTTCGTACTTTAAGCTCTGTTCACATGTAAAAATTTCGTACTTTAAGCCCTGTTCACATGCACAAATTTCATATTTTCCCAAGAACATTTGGAATTCGACTTTTTTTTTTTTTTACACAAATAATGAAACCAATTAAATAAGTTTTCTTCTTTGTTCTCAGTGCAACGCAATTATAAAACGAAGACATATTTAAAGGTTGATTCTAAGTATTTTTTTCAAAAAAAAATTGTTTCTTTTTTTTGAAAAAAACCGGGTCCCAGTGTATACAAGAGGGAATAATAATAATAATAATATTAATAATAATAATAATAATAATAATAATAATCATAATAATAATAATAATAAGCAAAAGGAGGGAATTGGTGAATAGTGTTTTTGTGTGTCTTCTATTGAGTCAATGAAGAAAATGTGTGTTTTTTTTTTTTTTTTTTGCAAACCTTTTTAGTTTCTTTGTGAATGGTTTTTTGGAAAAAAAAAATACTGTGAACAGTAATTTTTTTTTTCATTTCTTTTTTTTGTCACATCGAGCGGGCGGCGGCAGATCTTTGCGCGTGCGTGCAGATCGACGGACGGCCAAGAGTTTCTCGGGTCCCGAGGCTTCCTGCTCACACATGCGGATAGACAAGACTTGACAACAAGACGACAATCAACATGACCGACGAACAGACCGACACACCGATCCGATATCCGGACGCGACGACGTTTTAGTATGGTGCGAACCGGCGCGACGGCGATGGCCCTCGTATTCCCGGTCTGGTAATCAAAATTGTTTTTGTTGACGTCAGTTACACCGACGAAGATGATTGATGATAAAAAGAGGAACAAAACGACAAGACGGCAGCAGTCAATTATTATTTTTTTTCTGCTTTTAATTTTTTTTTTTTTTTTTTTTTTTTTTGCTGATGCACGCCGTTTGAGTTAGTTCTTATTATACGATATTAAAAATATATTTTGCTTTTCCATTTTGTCTTAGGGACGAGGCATTGAGAATATCCCGAAAAAAAAATTTCCATATTTTGTTATTAATAATTTCATTTTAATGGTTTTTTGATTCCAGACCTTGGATTAAATTTTTATTTATGAGCCCGTTTTTACCGTGTGGATAAATTTAATGTTCCGAGAAATTAAAGGCAGTAGATGTATTCTGCGTTTGCGCAGGAGCTATCAACATTCTGCGCAGACGCAGAATATATCTACTGCGTTTAAGTTCTCGGAAGATTAAATTTATCATAAAAATAGGGCTCAACTTAAAATATTTCAAAAAATAATTGTAAAAATCATTAACGAATGTTAAATTTAACAGAAATTCTCTTTTAAAAAAATGTCGACAATTTGTTCCAATTTTTATTTTACACAAATTGTTGTTTATATAATCGAATTTTTTTTTTTTTTTTTCTAAAGCGTCAAATTTTCTCGATTTCGAACTAAAATTGCAAATGGCCGAAACATAACCTAAAAACTAGATTTTTTTCATGACTTTTCAAAATTTTAATTTGATTGGTTGAATTTTTTGAAAATCGTAACAAAATTTTTCATTTGTTTTTATAGGTTATGTTTCGGTCATTTGCAATTTTGGTACGAAATCGAGAAAATTTGGCGCTTTTTTAAAAAAAAAAAAATTCAAATTTTATAAACAACAATTTGTGTAAAATAAAAATGAAAAAAAAATTAAAATAGAAATTTTTTTCGAAGGGGATGTTGCCTACACCTCAAATGGAAAAGACTTTAAAAAATTTATCAAAAAAACTTTCTTCTCTTCTTTAAGCATCTTTCTCTTTCAAAAAAAAAAAAAAAAACTAAATTTTGACTTTTCATTAATATTACAAATTTCAAATTATTTTCTAAATAAAAAGTTTAGAAATAGCTTATATAGAAATATTTTTTAAATTACGCGCAAAAAAAAATATTGAAAAACAAACATAAAAGAGGTTTAAAGTAACATAACCGTAATTTTAAAATAAAAAACGTGAAAAAATAGTAAAATAGTGATAAAAACGATAAAATATTGAAAATTAAAACTGAATTTAAAAACTACATTAAAAACAAAAAAAAAAATAAATAAATAAAAAACAGTAGTGAAAAAAATTAAAAATACAAAAATAGTAATTATTGTTAATACAAAAATTAAAGTATTAGATAATTTTTAAAATTTTAAATAAAAGAAAAAAAAATTCAAAAAAATGACAAATATAATGAAAAGTCAGAATTTGAAATTGAATTTCTCCAAAATTTTATATTTAGTTGTAATATATAATAAAAATTTTATTTTATTCCTTAATATAAGGTAAAAAACGTTATTTTTCATTTTTTTTCAATTATCACAAAAAATATCACAGAAATATCACAGACAGTTAATATTCTAATTACTAATTATTATTATGTTTTTAAAAAATTTTTTTTCCTTCTCACAGGACAATAAAATTGAGCGAAAAGAAGAGAAAATTAAAATACTAATTAACTTGTTATTTTAAAAGAAACAAAACACAATTAAATAATTTAAAAAAAAAAAACATTACTAAAACAAAGAAAAAATATTAAATTTTTTTTTGAAAGTCAATGACACTTTTACTTACCTACGGGTATCCTCAAACGAATCTCGACTAAAGTCCTCATACATGCCTCTACTGGAACATAAAAATCATAATAATAATTCATTATTAATTTAATTATTTATTAGCAATTTTTTTTAATTCTCTTTGGACACTTGTTAAAAATTTTCCACAGAATTTTTCTTACAAAATAATAAAGGAATTTCGACTTATCGATAATTATCGATTTAATTCGATTAATATTGATAATTATCGATTTCATTCGATTAATATTGATAATTATCGATTTCATTTGATTAATATCGATTAAATTCGATAAAAATTGATAATTATCGATTTAGTTCGATTAATATCGAATCAAGTCGATTGATCGATAAAAATCGACATTGATCGATTAATCGATAATTATCGACTTTTATCGATCGATTAATATCGTATTTTATCGATTGATTGATAATTATTGACTTTCATCGATCGATTGATATCGTATTTAATGGTTTCATCGATAAATATCGAATTATATAGATTAATATAGAATACAAACGATTAGTTTAGAAATATCGACTTTGATCAAATGATTACCATTGAATTTAATCGATTGATCCAAGTCGATATCTCTAAACTAATCGATTGTATTCGATATTAATCTATAGCATTCGATATTTATCGAGGAAACGATTAAATACGATATTAATCGATCGATAAAAGTCGATAATTATCGATTTATCGGCTTAATTCGATATTAATCGACTGATTTAAAGTCGATATCTCTAAACTAATCGATTGGATTCGATATTAATCGATTAATCAAAGTCTACAACTCTAAACTAATCTATTGAATTCGATATTAATCGATCGATCAAAGTCGATATCTCTCGATTAATCGATAAAATTCGATATTAATCGAAAACTATGAAATCGATTAATCAACAAATATCGACTTTAATCGATCGATTAATATTGAATCGAATCGATAAATGGAAAATTTTTTGACTTTGTCCACAGAGAGAAGTTAAAAGATCGGAATTGTAAAAAAAAAAGAAAAATGAACAAAAATAATCACCTGAATCGGCCATTATTGCCACTTGGAGGTGGTGATCGTCTGCTAAACATTCCATAATCATTGCTGCGTGAAAAGCCACTGTCGCGCATTGATCCCATACCTAGTGGTGGCATAGGTGGAATTGGATCTCGTCTTGGTGCAACTGGTGGCAAATAAGAATCGCGCATCGAACTTCCCATATCGCGGCCAGACATACCCGTCATACTTGGGAATCGCCTCTCATATAAATCTCTGGTATCATCAAATCCACGTCTATCATAGTAACTGTCGTAATCCTGCAGAATTCAATTTTATTTTATTACGCTACTCCCAAAAAAAGCCCTCTAAAATTTCAATAACTTTTTGACTAATTCAAATTGCGCCTCGTTTCAAAATTTAGTAAATTTTAAAAACTTACACCAAAGCGTCCTCCACCCATAAGCCGCTCCCTGAGGAATGGCGGGGGTGGTGGTGGTGGATAGGGATCACGTCCAAACATACGATCGCGGAATCCATTTCTATCGGGTCCACCTCCCATTCCACCCTTTGGACATTCTTTAGACCAATGTCCACCGCGTCCACAACGATAACATTGTTCAGGATCACCCATACCAGGCCTTTGACGTACGCGACTTGTTGATATTTGTACTTTCATTGGTTGTCCATCGACAATATGTCCATTTAATTCTTTAATTGCATCATTAACATCACCAGTCGCTTCAAGATGTACAAATCCATAATTACGTACAATATCGCATTCAACTACTGTACCAAATTTTGCAAATAATTCACGCACCTGTGGCGCTTTTGTATTATCAGTTAAATTGCCAACAAATATTTTTGTTGTCGGTGTATTTGGACCTTTACGACTTTTTGCCGCTTCACATTTTATTGGCTGTCCATGCATCATATAGCTATTAACATGTTGAATTGCATTTCTTCCGCTTTCTTCATTTTCCATGTGCTGTTTATTTATATATATATTTATTTAGAAATATTTCAAATAATTATGTGACGCTCCGCGACAAAAGTTGCGCCTAAGCTCCGAAAAAATTTTTAGATTAAACTAATTTAAATTAAAGAGTGTGCGGCGGGTCAACATAACCTCAAAAACCTGTTAAAATTAAAAAAATTGTTTTTAACGAAAACAAAAATATTAATTTTAAAAACAATTTTAGAAGATCTAGCACGGTGCTTTTTTTTTTTTTTGCTTAGGGACTATTGGGAAATCTGTATACAGATACCTTGGCTTCCGCATGCCAAGGTTATGTGGGGTTGGTAAAAAAAAAGAGAACACTAAACAAAATAAGCTGGCGAACTGCTACCAGTCCCGACCCACTAAAAACCCGTCAACCCTTCTTGGGAGCCCTTTTATCCATCCTCGGTACTGTCGTGAAGACTTTTGCCTTCGAGGGTGGCGCTCCAACTCTGTCGCAAAAGCGACTTCGTCCATTCCTGCGGACATCCTGCGTTATTAATTTTAAAATAAAACTACAATCAGTGTCAGGCGGAATCAACAGCACACCAGAAAAGAAAACAATAAAAAGTCAAGAAATAAAATAAAAGTAAATTAAACACGAAGCTGAAGTACGTAACGTTTATATAAACGATTTTTAAAGAAATAATTTTTTAAAATGAAAAATTCTATAATTTTTTGCCTAAAAAATATTTCTTGTAGTTTTCATTAATCAAGAAATTATAAAAAAATATTTTTTAGGCAAAAAATTATAGAATTTTTCATTTTAAAAAATTATTTTTTTAAAAATCGTTTATATAAACGTTGCGTACTTCAGCTTTGTATCAAAACTGAATAATTTCAGCAGAAAAATGAAAATCTTTTATGGAAGGAATAAAAAGAAAACTCAATTTTTCGTAATTTTTTTGTAGGTTATTTGTTATAGCTAAATTCAAAAGCGCCCCACAGTTAAAATTTCTGTTGGAAATTAACGTATGTGTACCTTAAGCAACATTAATGCAGTTAAGATGTAAAAAAAAGAAGTAATATCAATTGTATAATTAATAAAAACAGCAAAAAACAGCGTTTTCTGGTAGTTTTTAAGCCTAATCACTATATCGTTTTTCTTCTTTAGGTTGGCAGTATTGAATGGTTATAAATTTTTACAAAAGATTTTTTCATTACTATTTTTAATAATTATTTTATTTAGTTTTCTTTGTTTTATTTATTTTAATTGTATTATAATTAACTTTTTTTCTATTATAATTATTCTTTATTAATTTTATTAGTTATTACTTTTTTTTTGAAAATATAATATTTTTTTTTAACATTTTGAATTACGGATTATTTAATTAGATTCTTTAATATTTTGTAAACACTTTTTAGGACATTTTTTAATTTTATTGAGATTGTTGGTTATACTTTTAAATTTGTTTAATAAATATGCCATGCCACTAAACCTTTAAAAGTTAATTTGAATAATATACACTTATTATGAATAATAAATGTAAAATAATAATTAATACTAAGATATATTTTTTATTAGTTTTAATCGCATTTAATAAATTAATTATTCTTGAGATAAATTTCTTTGTATATTTTTGTGATTTTAGAAATTGTTAATCAAATAATGAATAATTAACAAATTTATTTAATAAATTCATTAAAATACTCTTTCTTCAAACAATAATAACAAACATGTAAAATACAACATGAAAAGTCATTTTCGTACAAGTTTATAACCTTTCAGTAGTGTCAACCTAAAGAAAAAAAAGCGAATATCAATTCTGAATTGTCATGTTTTCCAAATCTCAGCTGGAATGGCAGGTTTCTCAAATGTTTTATGAAATGACTCATTTTTCAAGACTGCTCTAAAGTGGCACGTTTCTGCATCCAACCGACGATATATATTATTTTAATGGCAAAAGTTATAATATTCATTTGAAAGCTTATAAAATTCCCAACAAATTTCGAAACGATTAAATCTAGATCTTCTAAAATTGTTTTTAAAATTAATATTTTTGTTTGCGTTAAAAACAATTTTTTAATTTTGACAAGTTTTTGAGGGTTATGTTAACCCGCCACCCTCCTTAATTTAGATTAGTTTAATCTAAAATTTTTTCGGAGCTTAGGCGCACCTTTTGTCGCCGAGCGTCATAGATAAGTTATATTTAATCCTTTCAGTCCCAGTAGTCGATGTATCGACCCCCCTTTTTAAGAACCTAAATTGGGTTCTTCAAATTCCTATCCGAACCTAAAATTTTCTAAAGAAATAGGTGCAAAAAATCAGTTTTTTTTCAAATTGCCTCCTTCCATGCCATTTTAGCATAAAAATAACATAAAAAAGAAGGTGTATAAAATTCTGAGTAATTTGGTAAAAAAATGAACCCTGTAGCTCAAAAATTGACCCAGATTTAGCTTCCGCAAAAAAAAAACATTTTTTTCGAGATTCCTTTTTATCAAATTACTCAGAATTTTATACACTTTCTTTTTTAAACTAAAATGTCCTAGAAGGCGGCAATTTGAAAAAAAATTGATTTTTTTGCACCTAGTTTTTAAAAAAAAATTTAGATTCCAAAGTTCAAAGTACAAAATTTAGGTACTTTAATTTTACCCCAAAATAAAGGATTTAAGCAAAATAAATTGAGGTGTTGAGGTAAAACATGATATACTTTGTTTTTCGACTAATTTGACTGGACTATAGGTACTGTATACCTCTTGTAGATATTTATCAAGTGTCCTAATTATGGGACTGAAAGGATTAAAGTTTATGTTATTGAGAATAAGGAAACATTTTTTTTATATAGATGTAAATGAACTTTATATAGTTTATAAAATGAAAAGGCCATAACTTGATTCATTTCTACACTGGGTAACAAATGGATGTGTTTATTTCAATGAACAAGAAAATACGAAAAAAAAGTAGTTTAATGGGGGTTAAAGTGTGAAAAAATGGCATTTTTGGCAATTATTGAAGTACTGTAAAAAAAAAGGAAGGGATAAAAAGCTTTTATAGGGCTTAAAAGAAGCTTAATCTTTTAAATCAGCCACGTGCTAGCATCATCCGGAATTTTGGTGAGTATTTCTCCTTTACTTAACCCATATACCACCTTCTTTTCCAGTAAGTTAAGTTCCAAATTTATCTCTGTTAACTTCCAGTTAAATTCCATGAATCTCTATATATCTCCCTTTTTTCTTTACTTTGTTAACTTTCTAGTATTTATCAATTATTTACTAGTAAAATGCAAAGGATTATTTGTGAAATATTAAAGTGTAAGTTTTAAAGTTTGTAGTTTTAATTTTTTTTTGAAATTATCCCCTTGGGAATTAGGGTTAAATACAGGTTTCCAGCAATTGTCACATGACTTATCAGTTTTGGGTTTCTTAAATTTAAATAATTCACCTTCTTTTAAATCCTATAATATAGCTTTTTATGCCTTCGTTTTGTTTTTAGTACTTCAAAAAAGGCCTGTTTTTGATACTGTAACCCTTATTTTAATATTTACTTATGTACCTAGAAAATAGGACTTAAAATCAAATTGTCTGCTTATTATCTTTATTTTTACTCTTTCTGCTAGAAGAATTCGAGACTTCCAATACATACATCACAATTCTTAACATAATTACATATCTTAGACTAATTGCCCTGGCATTGGCGGATTTGTAGTCGTAGGTTAAGTTAACTTAACCTACAAATTAGCCAGTGCCAGAACTTCCGTTTCCAGTTCCTTTATAACCCATTTCTGACTTCGTCTCCATTAACGCCCACTATAATTTTCATAATACAACTCTCTTCCATCTCATTTCTATTCCTTTAACTATCCACGTTATTATATTCACTCATAACATATTCCCTACTATTATTTTAATCAAATTTAGTAATAATAAACACAGTTCCAGGCCTTTTCATTTTAAAACCTTTTTTTTTACTTACTCTCTTAATTTGAATCAGTTAAATTTCACTGGTGAAATAGCTAGAAGTCGGTTCCTAAATAAATCAGTCAATCTGTTTTACCCACTACCGATAATACAGATTGACTGATTCATTTAGTGAAATTTTCACTGGAAATCAGTGATATATGACTGATTTTCAGTGAAAATTTCACTAAATGATTCAGTAACCGACTTCTAGCTATTTCACCAGTGAAATTTCACTGATTCAAATTAAGAGAGTAATAACATAATAAAAATAAAAAAAATTTGGATTATATTAGAGTCAGTTGGGGTAAATAGAAACAAGGAGTAAATCGAAACAGTAGTTATTTCAGTTAAATAAAAAAATATTTTTAAATAAATACGGCCTCAAATCTTGTTGCGTGTGATTTAAGGTTCAAAGTTTGAAGGCGTATTTATTTAAAAAAAATTTTTTTAACTGAAATAACTACTGTTTCGATTTACCCCTTGTTTTTATTTACCCCAACTGACCCTTATTAATTTTTTACACTATTAAAAAAGAAAATGAAAAAAAAAACAATATTTTTTTCTACTTTACGAAACTTACCACAAATCCATAATTTTTCACCACGTCACATTCGACGACTTTGCCGTATTTTTCAAAAAGAGGTTTAATATCGGCGTTGGTTGTTTTATCGGCTAAATTGCCAATGAAAATTTTGAATGTACCCACACTGCTAAAACCCGGCATTTTGGCTCGCTCTAGAACCTAAAAAAAAATTTATATTCTAATTTTCTAAACTAATTTCAATTTTAGCTTTTTAATTTTTTTTTTTAATTAAAGATAGACGATCAAAACAAAAGTTTTTAACGTGAAGTTTTTTTAGTTACAAATATTTTTATATCGACAATTTTTTTCAAACTAATGACGAGAATTTTGAATCGGAATTGAATTTAAAGTAGAAAAAGTAAAATTAAAAAAAAAAAAAAAAAAAGAAGTTAATGCGCAAAAAAAGAAACTTTCAAGGTGAAAAGTTAGATTATATGCGGCAATAAAAAAGAAAAACGATAATTTTTTTGCAGAGTAATTTTATACGTTTCTAGGCTATACATATATGAAAGTAAAAAAGAAAAATGCATTATAAACATAAAACGTAATCGATAGCTAATGAAATCAATATCAATTTATAAACTACGAACGTTTGAGTGAATAAAAAAAAAAAAAAAAATTACAATCGTTAAGAAAATAAAAAAAAAAAAAAAAAACCTTTGAAATAAAAATGAGTAAACTATGAAAAGTAAATAAATTTGAAAAAATTTATTTCATATTTAAAATTTAATTTAATTAAAATAATTTTATTGAATAATATTTTTTCAGTTAAAATCAAAATTTATATATGAAAATAATTTTTTTACTCTAAAATTTAATTAAAACAATGAAAAAATTTTTCTTTTTTCTTCAAAATACAAAGGAAAAAAAAAAATTTACCGTGATAAAAGTGTAGTGCTTTTTTTTTTTTTTGCAATATATGTAAGTTGGCTGTGAATATTGGAGACCCGGCGAAATTAACAATGGCAAGGGACAAAACGAATGAAACACGAGGCGCGCGCGCTGCTGATTATATATATATATATATATATATATATATATATATATATATTTAAGGATGTCGTAATGGCGGTTTCGCGTTCAAGGACGAATATTACTAACACACATTTTTTTATGTATATATATATATATATGTATATATAAATTCTTTACACAATTCTTTATTTTTCACCTTCTCTCAATCTCACGATAATTAATATTTTTTTCTATTTTTTAAAAATGAAATAAAAAAAAATAATAATTTTGTAATGACGAAATAAATATATTCACATATCGAACATACAAATTTAATCAAGTTCATCCGCTCTAAAAATGAAAGGGGGGGAGGGGAGGGATATGACGCGACGGCGCTTTTTAACCTCCCAGTAACGAAGATTTAAAAAAAAATTTTGGAACCCTTTTAGAATTTACAAATTACCCCTTTTTTCAAATTTGAATTATTTTAATTAAAATTTTTTTTGGAAAATTTATTATTTAAATACAAAAAAAAAATTTCAAAAAAAATTTACAAAATTTACCTGGAACAGCGATATATTTCACTGAAACAGGGAAAGTTTTCGCTATTCTAGAGAAACATATCGCTGTTCCAGGTAAATTTTGTAAATTTTTTTTTTTATTAGTTTTAGAAATATAAATTTCTTTTTAAGCAGGGAAAGGGAAAGTTTTCGCTATTCTAGAGAAACATATCGCTGTTCCAGGTAAAGATTTTATTTTTTGAAATTTTTTTTATTTAAATTCAAAAAAATAAAATTTCAAAAAAAATTTACCTGTAACAGCGATATATTTCATTAAAACAGGGAAAGTTTTTGCTATTCTAGAGAAACATATCGCTGTTCCAGATAAAGATTATTATCTTTTTTCCGTAAATGTAATAAAAATTTATCTATTTTTTTTCTGGGAAAAAGAAAATTAGAAATAAAATGGTAAATAGAAAAATTTATAAAGAAAAATCCGTAAGGAAACATAACCTAAATGGAAATAAATTTCCAAATTGTAATTGAGAGAAAAGAAATTAAAAAGAAAAAAAAAATAAATTGTTGCCTTGGGCGAAAAAAATGTCTCCGCCCCTGAAATACGCGCCCCATCTATTCTTTTTTTTTTTTTTTTTTTTTGCCAACGTGACAGAAAGAAAAAATTTTGACAAAAACTCGATTTTTATCGCAAAAAAATAAATAAATCAATAATTTTCACAAATATTTTTTTCTGAAATTAAATTTTCAATTATATAAATACATCGACGAATGAAATGTAATGTTCCTCGAAATCATTTCCCGTATGTCGTTTTATCGATCCGAAACAAGCGGCGAATAATACATAAGGGAAAATATTGTCACAAGAGAGAGAGAGAGAGAGAGAAATAGAGAGTGATAGGGAGGGGAGAAAGACGAAAAATTATGAAATTTTGCTTATTCCATTGAATTTTTCTTATAAGCAATTTGTTTCAAACAAAAAGCTCGAAAAAAAAATATTTTTAAAAACGAGAAATTAAAATTAAAAAACGAAAAAAAATTGAGAGGAAATAAGTGGCGTGTATTTTATCAGGCACTAACACACAAGGAGACAAAATTGATTTTTTTCACAATATTTACGTAATTACACAATGTTAGATGGAAAAAAAATTAAAAATTTACATGCACAACAATGAAATAAATGAAGGTAATTGATTTTTATTAAAAATAAAAACTCACCAAGTCAGTATTTTTGTAAAATTAAATCACGCACGACACGAGAGATGCGACGACACTTTGACACGCTGCACGAGGAGAAAAAATGGCGACGTTGAGAATGAGAGAGCCGCCGGGAACAGCGTCTCATTCACACTGCTGCCAATATCGTAAGAAAAAAAAAATATTCCCCCATAAATAATATTTCAAATTAAATTAGATAATAAAATAATTAGATAAAAAAAATTAATAATAATAAACAATAATTGTTTTTTATTTTTATTTTAAATAATTAATTAAATGTATATATAATTTATTTGGATAATTTTGAAAAACAACAAATAAATTACAATTTTTCGTGTTGGTATTCCTGGGGATAATAATCAAATGCATCCGGTTTGTTTCTGACTAATTAATTAAATTAATTTTTTAATTAATTCGTAATGAAAATATTTTATTATTATTTTATTAATTAAATGTTGGAAAAGTGATTTTATTAGGAAGATAATAATAATTTGACGTGCTTAATTCGTTTTTTTTTTTTGATGGAGCAATTTTATTGCGGATGTTACTAGACGTCACGTGGTTGCGTGGGAAAATTTGAAAACTAGGAATTAATTTTTCCAGATATTTTTAAAAGCAGAAATTAACTTCTCTGTTTATTATAATTAAAAAAAAATTAAAATATATTTTAATGATTTTAATTATAACTATAATATATATATATATATATATATAATAATTATTAATTTATTATATACGTTACTGAATAAAAAAATAAAAGAATTAACAAGTAAAAAATTTTTAAAAAATTTAAATAATTAGTAATTTAAATTTTTTGTAATTAATTAAAAAAAAAAATTCTGCAAATATTCAATACAAAAAATTTTTCAATTTTAATCAATGTAATAAAAAAAATTATTAAATTTAAAAATCAATAAATCACAAGTTTCTTTTTAGAAAAATTATCCATTAATTTTTTAATACAAGAATTTTTTTTGGTAACTATTTTTTTATTATATAATAAAATTAGGTGAATAAAAACGAAAACATACAGACAAAGAATAAAAAAATATATTTACTCCAACATTTCGAAATCTAATTGATTTTCTCTTCAGGGAGTCTATCAAAAAAAAAAAAAATACAAATACAAATAAAATAATAAATAACAAAATATTAAAACAAGTAAATAAAATATAAATTATCAAAAGTTATCTTACCAAAAAATTAATTAAATTAACAGAAACATTGGTATTTAACCCTGACTTTTAAGAAAAATTTTGAATAAAAAAAAATTGATTTACCTGTAAACGGGGTTTATAAAAAAAAACATTTTTTTTTTTAAATTCGAAAATAATAAACTATTTGTTAAATTTGATATATATATTTATTTTTTGAAACATTAATTTTTTAAATTATAATCATAATATATATATTTTTACTGAACATTTTTTTTTTCGTTAATATTTAAAATACAATTTTTTTTTTTTTTGAAATTATAAAATTGTGGGAAAACATAAGAAAAAAAATAAATTAACAAAAAAAATTTTTTTTTTTTTTTTAAAGTCCCAATATTTTTTTGAGTTCTCCGCTTTTGAATTTCTTTTCAACATCGCTGCCACCGCCAATAAATTTGCCATTAACAAATACTCTTGGTACAGTGCGTGCCGGTGTTAATGATCCTAAAACATCTTGAATCTCATCGCATTCCTCCATTTCGTCAATATCAACGGCTTTATATGGTTTATTTAATTTATCGAAACACTGAAAGAAAAAATTAAATTTTTTTTCAATTATTTGTTATACTTTTTCTAAATAATTATTAATAGTGATAATAATAATAATGAAAAAAAAATCTTTTTTTGTTACAAAATTTATTAATTTAATTAATTTTCTTTTAAATAAAAAAATATATTTTTTTGTTATTATTTTATTAAAATTTTTTTAATTAATTAATTTTGTATTTTAGAAATAAAATTTTTTGAATATTTCTAAAATACAAAATTAATTTATTTAAAAATTTTAATAAATAAAGTAAATAAATAAATTAATTAATTAATAAATAATAGTAATAATAATAATAATAATAATAATAATAATAATAATAATAAAAATAATTATAATAAATAATAATAATTATAATTATTATTTTTATTATTTATTATAATTTTTTTTATTATTATTATTATTTACTTTTATTATTATTGTTATTATTTATTATTATTATTATTATTATTATTTATTTTTATTATTTTTATTGTTATATTATTATTATAATTATTATTTTTAATTATTTATCGATTATTATTATTATCACTATAAATTATTGTAGAACAATTTTTTTTTTTTAATTTACCATTTTTGCTTTTGTGCAGAATGGACAACCATTTTTTGAAAAAATCATCACCTCATTTTCTTCAATTGCATTTTTCACAAATTCTACTGGATTCACCATTTTCGATTTTTCAGTAAATCTATAAACTATTATAAAAAAATAAATAAAATTTTTTATATTTAAAAAAATAAATATTTTATATTGAAAAAAAATAAATTTTTTATATTTAAAAAAAAAAGTAAATGTTTTATATTTAAAAAAATAATTATAATAAAAAATATTCAAGGCAAAAAAAATATTCTACGCGAATAAAATATGAAAAAAAAATATATTTCTCTTAAATTCTTAAAAAATTTTCCACAATTATTATTATTTAATATTAAATAATTTTAATAAAAATTCCAATTAAAGAGAGAAAAAAAAATTAATTTTTTACACAGAAATTGATAATATAATACACTCGTAATTTAAAAATACAAATTAAAAAATAAATCAGTCGATAAAATTGTGATAAAGAAAAAAAAAAATTGCATGACTATATGAATCACACATAACAAAAAAATCACCTGACACATTTTGATTCCTTCTTGAAATAATATTATTATCATTATCATTGGAATAATTTGACGTTAATCGAGATAATTGTATTCTTTTAATTTTTAACAATGAATTATTATTAAAATTTAAACGTGTAAATAAATTTAAAAGCGGAGAAAACATAAAGAAATTTTTTTTTTCGCCCCGTTTGGGCGTTTTTGAGGTTATGTTACAATTCCGGAAAAAAACAAAAAAGAAATATATACATTATACTTTGTTTTTTTTACGAGAGACATTTTTTTTGTAAACAAGAAGAATGTTAATAATAATTTTTTCTATAAAATAAAAACTTACCTCGTTTAGAGAGTAAATTGAAAAATAGTTTTCTTATAATTCTCGGAAAACTGTCAAGTGGTCGCGGAGAAAAAAAGTGATAGACCATAAACTGGATAATATAAAGGTTAGCAAAATTTTTGTAAAAAAAAAAAATCCCTAAGGGTTTATTCACAAATGTGCGATTTCAAAGATGGGAAGTAGAAATTTTTTCTTTTTTCTAAAGGAACGTCTCAAATGTTACGTGTTATATTTTTCGTTTATTTAATAAACGAACGGCGGGAAAATTTGAAATGTGTAAAAACAAGAAAAACGTTAAATTTAAAAAAATACTACTTTTTTTTTGGAAATAAAAAACAATTTTTTAAAGCTTCTTTGGCTCATGTATTTGGCACATTAATATATACATATATTTAGTATATTACAACGATTTAAAAAAACATTGTTTTTTTTAATTATTTTTTTTAAGGCACATAGAGCGTGATATAATTAAGGCACATAAATGCAAAATAAAAAAAAAATTGTCGCTTCATTAACACAATTATAATGTATATCATATAACCTTATATATACACACAAAAAATGGAAAAATCAAGATTTTATACAAATTACAATGCCTGCACAATATAAAGAAATATAGCATATTTTATACAAAAAAAAAAAAATTCAAGGGCAACTCTCGTTATATATATATATAGAAAATATAATAAAAATTTTTATTGATTTAGCAAATTTTTTTTTGTCAAAAATTAAAGAAATGTTTCGTAATTTTTTTTGTTTTATGAAAAAAAGAGAATTAAGAAGCAAAAAAATTATAGGTTATGTTTGTGATAGTTTTAGTTTGATAAAAAAAAATTACAAAATGTTTATGATTGTTTTAGGTTAATTAAAAATTATAGGTTATGTTTATGATCGTTTTAGGTTAATTAAAAAATTATAGGTTAGGTTTATTGATCGTTTTAGGTTAATTAAAAAAATTATAGGTTATGTTTATGATTGTTTTACTTCAATTGAAAACTTGTAGGTTATGTTTATGATCATTTATGATCCAAAAAAACTTGTAGGTTATGTTATGTTATGTTTTTAGGTTAATTAAAAAATTATAGGCTATGTTTATGATTGTTTTACTTCGATTGAAAACTTGTAGGTTATGTTTATGACAGTTTATAGGCTTAATTAAAAAAATTATAGGTTATGTTTATGATAATTTGGAGTAAAAATACACAAAGAGAATAAAATCTAAATGCAATATTGATATTTTAGTCTTTATTAAATCCAAAATAAATTTTTTTGTATAATTAAAATTAACTTTTTAACTTTTTAACTATAGTTAAACAATCATAAACATAACCTCTAATTTTTTGCTTCTTAAAGACTTTTCTTCATCAAAAAAAAATTTTTTTAACGAAAATTTGTTAAAAAAAAATGCAATTTACAAAGAAAAAAAAAATTCTAATTTTATTTTAATTAATTTTTCCACTAAAAAAAAAAATAAAAAAAAATAATACTAAAAAAGTGTTTAAAAAAAATAATTGAATTAAAAATTAAAAATTCTAATTTTAGATGAAAATAAAAATTTTTTTTTTCTCCAAAAATATTGTAAATTTTTTTTTTTTCCTCATTTTTTTTTTTTTCGTGATCGAAAAGTATTCATGTTCCTCGAAATGTAGATAAACTATAAATAAAGCAAACAGTAAAGTGAACCGAAACTAGTACAAAGTTAATACAACCCTTGATTTGTTATATGTATAAAGTATATATATATATATATATATATATATATATATATATATATATATATATATATATATATATATATATATATATATATATTCTAGCTATATATATATATACATAAACAGAAAGTTCCCAACTTCAAAGATTATTATAAAATTCACTTCTTTGGAGCCAAAAGAAAATAAAATTTCTATTTCGAATTCTTTAAAAAAAAATTTTCTTCTTTTTATTTTATTTAACTATTAAAAAATTAATTTTTTTAACATGTAAAAAATTTTATTTAAAAAATTAATTTCTGACCTTATATTAATATTTTGAATTATTAAAAAAAAAAATCATACCTGTTTTTAATATATATAAAAGAATAAATTCTCTCTTTTTTTTTTTTTTAATTACTGAACTCGTCGACAATAATAACCAAGAGTTTTGCATTTTTCACATAAATGTTGTGGATGCACTTTACTTTGATCGGAAACATCTAATCCATCCGGTTTTTCCAGTGGTCTCTAAAATTGAAATTATTTTTTTTTACAATTTTTTTTTTACTATTTAAATGAAATATTAATATTAATTTTAATTAATTTCAATACAATAATAATAATTAATTAATATTAGGTATTAATTAATATTAATTGTTATTAATTAATTATTATTTATATTTATTATTATTTATTATTATTATTATTATTATTATTATTTATTTATTTATTTATTATTTATATATTCATTTTAATAATTAATTAATAATAATACATAAATACTATTTTTAATTTTAGTTTTTAAAAAATTAGGTATAATTAACAATTATTTTTACTCTGCCTTCAAATTATCGTCGAATTTAATTTTTTTTTTTCTCTTAATTTTATATTAAAAATGAAATCCGTGAATAGAAATGTATTAACATTACACTCTCGTGGAACAAGAACGATTTTCCTATAATTAGATCAGACTTATACGAGTTCACGAAATATTTCGTACCTTATATAATGTCGTGTCTGTGTTTTTACGATAATATCTTTCGCGACTATAATAATAATAATAATAATAATAATAATAATAATAATAATAATAATAATAATACAATTGGTTATAAATAATTTAATTTTCTAAAAAATCAAATTCTTAAAATAAAAAAAATTTTTTTTTTTATTATATTTGGCTAAACCAACAAAATAATAAAAATTAATATAATCAAAATACAAAAAAAAAATTATTAAATTATTTATTATTATTTTCTAGTAATATCTATATATTATATTTTAATAATTTAACCAATTTAATCAAACATTTTTTAACCAATTTTCTGTTTGGTCAAAACAGCAAAATAATAAATTTAATTTAATATAATAAAAGAAATTAGCGAAATTTTTATTTCAATTTTTCTAGAAAAATCTATAATATTATAATACATTTCAATAATTTTGGCCAATTTAGTCAAATAATAATATTTGGTTAAATTATTTTATTTATTAATATTTGGCTAAAACAACGAAATAATTAATTTAATACAACCTAATTAAATAAAAAAGCGAAATTTTTATTTCAATTTTTATATAGTAATATAATATATTAAAGTTCAATAATTTGGTCAATTTAGCCAAATTTTTGTTGGTCAATTTAATATTTTTGTCTAAATTAGGGAAATAATAAATTTAATAATAAAAAAGAAATTAGCGAAATTTTTTTTGTTTTATATTTTTCTAGCAAAAATTATAATTAAATTTCAATAATTTGGCCAATTTAGTCAAATATTTTTGTGTAAATCAGCGAAATAATAAATTTAATAATAAAAAAAGAAATTAGCAAAATTTTTTGTTTATATTTTTTTAGAAAAAATTTTTAATTAAATTTCAATAATTTCGACCAATTTAGCCAAATATTTTTGGCCAATTTAATATTTTTGACTGAATCAGCGAAATAATAAAAATTTAATTCAATAATATCAAACAAAGTAGAAAAATTTTTATTTATATTTTTTTATAGTATAGGTAATATTTTATATTAAATTTAAACAATTTGTCCAAATTAGCCAAATTTTTTTTTTTTTTGATAAATTTAAAATTTGGCTAAATTAGCAAAATAATTAAATGTAGTCTAATAATAATATTGTAAATAATAATAAAACAAAAAAATTGAATAATTATTTCGCCAATTGAGCCAAACGTTTGGTATATAAGTTTAGTGAAACAAAATTTTTTTGTTTAATTATACCTGCTTGTGTGGATAGACATTTATATGGCACTTGATACATTCTTGGCCCATGTTTGCCCAACTATTGCCCGACATCCATTTTCTCTTACATTTGGCACATTTATATTCGCCGAAACATCGTTTTTTCCCTTGATATGGAGTAAGACCTTCGCCCTTTGGTCGAGCCTAAAATAATAATAATAATAATTATTATTATTATTAATGAAATTATTTATAATTAAAAAGACTTTTTTTTTGTTTAAAATAATAATAATTTTATTTATATTTTTTTTCAATTTTAAAAAATGTATATAAGAATATATATATATATATATATATATATATATATATATATATATATATATATATATATATATTACTTTACTCAATTGAGGGCTAATTGAGAAAACAAACATAATTCCAAGTGGGTCTCGCTCCCATATATAAGTGACGTCATAATTTAGTCATTGTTACATATATATACAAGTATACATAATACTAATAATAAATTACGCGATTCGCTCTAATTGATATCTTTTTAATAAATATCTTCAAAAACCAGTATTTTTTTTTTATAAATGAATAAATAAATTATGTTAATAATTATAATTAATAAAAATTAATAATAATTAATTATTAAAATTAATTTTATTCATGATTTTCCTAAAAAAAATTTTCGTATATATGATTTATATTAATTTTTGCGATCCGCCATATTGGATCCGCCATTTTGAATTAAGTATTTAAAAATACTTAAAAATACCAATAATAATAATAATAATAATAATAATAATACCTGAGGGCAATCTTTAATATAGTGTCCTTTTTTAAAGCAAAGATGACACATATAAGTTGTGGGAGGTCGTTTCGTTGGTTTTCTATCGGCGATTCCAAGTTCAGTGAAATGTTCGGACAAATCGCCGATACTGTCACCTAAATTGCAGCCAATTGTTCCCGATGCATTTAAAAGACTTTGATGAAGATAAGTTTGTGGCGTTGCTGTCGGAAAACTTCCCCACGTTGAAGACAGTAATTTGCTCTTTTGAAAAACAAAACAAAAAAAAAAGGGAAAAATTATTTTTAATTTAGAAATAATCAATTTTAAGCATACCTTACCTATATAGAATTTTATAAATTTCTATAGGATTCTATATTATTCTATAGAATGCTATACATTTCTATAGGATTCTATTTTATTCTATAGAATGCTATACATTTCTATACAATTTAAAAAACCTATAAATTTCTCTAGGATTCCATATTTTTCTATAGGATTCTATACATTCCTATGGGATTATATATTTTTTTATAGGATTCTAAAAGAACAAATAGATTTTTATACATTCCTATAGGATTCTATATTTTTCTATAAGATTCTATATGTTTCTATAGGATTCTATTTTATTCTATAGAATGCTATACATTTCTATAGGATTATATTTTATTCTAGAGAATGCTATACATTTCTATACAATTTTAGAAAAAAACCACTAAATTTCTATAGGATTCCATATTTTTCTATAGGATTCTATACATTCCTATGGGATTATATATTTTTTTATAGGATTCTAAAAGAACAAATAGATTTTTATACATTTCTATAGGATTCTATATTTTTCTATAAGATTTTATATGTTTTTATAGGATTCTATTTTATTCTATATAATGCTATACATTTCTATACAATTTTAGAAAAAAAACCTATAAATTTCCATAGGATTCCATATTTTTCTATAGGATTCTATACATTCCTATCGGATTATATATTTTTTATAGGATTCTAAAAGAACAAATAAATTTATATACATTTCTATAAGATTCTACATTTTTCTATAATATTTTATATGTTTCTATAGGATTCTAAAATACTTTACAGATTAATATTTACAGGATTTACAGAATCCTATAGACATATATATATATATATATATATATATATGTCTATAGGATTCTATAAAAACCCATAGATTTCTATACACTTCTATAGAATTCTGTAAGAATCGTGTACACAATTGTGTAGTATCTTGTAAAATCGTATACAATTTTATAAAATCGCATAGAATCTTATACAATCGAACAAAATCGTATATAGAATCTTATAAAATCGCATAGAACCTTATATAATTGTATGCAATTTTATAAAATCTAATAAGATAGTACAAAATCGTATAGAATTTTATAAAATCGAAAAAAAATCTTATAGACTGTTATAAAATCATGTATAATATTTTTTAAAACGCATTGAATCATAAAATTGCTCCAAATCGAATACAGTATCTCATAAAATCGTATAGAATCTTATAAAATCGTCTAAAATCGAGTATTATCGTTTAAAATCGTATACAATTTTATGAAATCGCATAGAATCTTAGACAATCGAATAAAAATCGTATAGAATCTTATAAAATCGCATAGAATTATATGTTCGTATGCAATTTTACAAAATCTAATAAGAGTATATAAAATCGTATAGAATTTTATAAAATTAAAAAAAATCGTTGTGACTATTATGAAATCGTATACAAAATCGTATAGAAACTATTTAAAATCGTATAGTATTGTATAAAATCGTGCGTATAATATTTTATGAAACTCATAAAATCATATAAAATCATACCGAATCGTATAAAGTATCTTAGAAAATCGTATATATTCATATAAAATCGTCAAAAATCGAGTACTATTGTTTAAAATCGTATACAATTTTATAAAATTTAAAAGAATCTTTAAAAAATCGCATCAAATCGTATAGTATTTTACAAAATCGTATTGAATTTTCTTATAATCGCATAGAATCTTATAAAATCGAAAAAAATCTACTAGACTCTTCTGAAATTGTATAAAAAAATCGTATAAAATCTTATAAAATTCTATAGAATTCTTTAAAAATCTCATAGAACCTTAAAAAATTGTATCCAGTTTCATAAAATCTAATAGAATTCTATAAAATCGAACAAAATCGTATACAATCTTATAAAATCTTATAAAATCGTATGTATTTTTACTAAAATCGAATACATTCTTATAAAATAGTCCAAAATCTTGTAGAATCTTATAAAACCACATAGAATCATATCAACCAATTAACATAGACTTCCACGTTTTATTTCTAACAGTTTTTTTTAAAAATATTTCTTAATTTTTTTTTTGCATTTAATCTTGTAAATAAAATGTAGTGAAAAAAAAAATTCAGTGTTATCTCACCTGATCCGTGGATGTTGTTTGATCAGCAATAGTCAAATAGACCCAATTCAAACGATGTGGATGAGCATAGTGGGTCTGTTGATGAATTTGTTGTGTTTGAGGAGTGATACCATTCAATGTGATACCACCAAGGCCAATAGTTGTATTTGATTCTTGCTGCAACTGATGATGATGATGATGATGACTATGATGATGATGATGATGCTGCAGATGTTGAAGTGGTTGTCGAGGATGACAAGCCGCCATTTTTGAATTACAAAAATTCAAGGTCAATAGCGGGAAATCATTGTATTTTTCAAATTTAAAATTCCTTTTTTCCCCACTTTTAGGTTTTTTTCTCATCTTCCATTTTTTTTCTTTTTTTACTTTATCCCTCTATTGTTGAAGTTAAAATTCTTCAAATGTATACACGTGTCTACCACATTTTTTTTCTCCAAGTTTTAAGTATGTCTGCTACATATTTTCTTCGGTCTCTATTTTTTTTCTCTCTCTCTCTCTCTCACTCTACGATAGTATCATCATCCGTCTCATTTTACTTTCCATGAATCCAATTTATCGCCTCTTTGTTTCGCCTACCGATCATTTCGCTGAAGCAAATTAATATTTTTTTTTCTCTCTCTCTCTAAAATATATTATAATTATTTAAAAAAAAAGACGCAAAAAATTAAATATTTTCAAAATTTTTTTTTTAAATTTGACTACGATAAAATTAGATATTTCTAATTTTGCAAAATCCAAGGTCCTTATATAAATAATAAAAATTTTATCTCACGCAAAAAAATATTTTGTAAAACACAATTTTCACTCACATTTTCTTCTTATCACTCTATACAAAAATTGTCAAGTAAAAATAAAACACAACACTAAAAAAACTGTAAAATCGTCAATTAAAATTATTCCAAGATTGTAAAATTCATTTTTAAGTCAAAAAATATTTTGGCGCCGCAATGATATAAGGGTCGTATATTAGCGAAGAACCAAAAACGGAATTCACAGTTAAAAAAAAAAGAATTTTGAAATTAAAAAGAAGAAAATAATATTTTTTTTTATTATTATTGAGATATTATAAATCAAAACGCAAATAAAAAAAAATTAAGGAGAAAAATCTTTGGTAGATGGAAGCACGTCTGTTTAGCCCGGCAGACAGTGTGTTCTTAAGGCATATATGCGCCTGCAATGGCAAAGACCCCCGCCATGTGTTATTTATATTTCTGCCTATATGCTTCTTAGGCAGGCGTGCCTCACATATCGTGTGTATATATATGTATATATATATATATATATATATATATATATACATTCGTCTTAACACACACAGACACATACATACAGATATTTGGTACACGTTTTCGTTTTCAAAACATCCTCTTGCAAATGGATAGGGAAAAAAAAATAAATTCTCATCCCCAGTACAATATTTTGTTTCTTAATATTTAAGAATAATTAGTATTTCACAGGAATCTTTTAAAAATGATTTTAGATATGTTTTAATCTGATTTTAATACGTACTTTATGATTTTAATCGATTTTATAGAATTTATATAAAAAAAATTTATTTATTTGTTAATTTAATGATTCCATGCGATTTTGTCGAGTTTCATACGATTTTATCCACTTTTATACGATTCTATTCGATTTTATCTACTTCTATAAGATTGTACCTACAGTTCTATTTGATTTTATCTAGTTCTATAAGATTATATCCGTTTTTATCAGGTATTCATAGAATTTTATCTAGTTCTATTCGTTACTATCTGGTTTTATACAATTTTATCAACTTCTATACCATTTTATCGAAATTTTTTGAAAAATCTAAAATTTGATATGATCTAGCTCAGCATCCGCTAGACCAATCAAAAAGTGCGCCATACATTTTCTGTTCAGAACTTTTTGACTATTTTTTTGGTGGTATTCCCGAGCGATTATCCCGCAAATTTAATTTTTCGAAAATTTTTCCGAATTTGTTTTCTAGTATAGCTCAGCATCCGCTGGACCAATCAGAAAGTGCGCCATACATTTTTTGTTCGCTACTTTTTGCTAAAGAATTTGGCGGTATTCCCGAAGGATTATCTCGCGAATTTAATTTTTCGAAAATTTTTCCGAATTTGTTTTCTAGTATAGCTCAGCATCCGCTGGACCAATCAGAAAGTGCGCCATACATTTTTTGTTCAGAACTTTCTTCTAATCACTATGGCGGTATTCCCGAAGGATTATCTCGCCAATTTAATTTTTCGAAAATTTTTCCGAATTTGTTTTCTAGTATTGCTCAGCATCCGCTGGACCAATCAAAAAGTGCGCCATACATTTTTTGTTCAGAACTTTCTTCTAATCACTATGGCGGTATTCCCGAACGATTATCTCGCGAATTTAATTTTTCGAAAATTTTCCGAATTTGTTTTCTAGTATAGCTCAGCATCCGCTGGACCAATCAGAAAGTGCGCCATACATTTTTTGTTCAGAACTTTCTTCTAATCACTATGGCGGTATTCCCGAAGGATTATCTCGCCAATTTAATTTTTCGAAAATTTTTCCGAATTTGTTTTCTAGTATTGCTCAGCATCCGCTGGACCAATCAGAAAGTGCGCCATACATTTTTTGTTCGCTACTTTTTGCTAAAGAATTTGGCGGTATTCCCGAAAGATTATCTCGCGAATTTAATTTTTTGACAATTTTTCCAAATTTGTTTTCTAGTGTAGCTCAGCATCCGCTGGACCAATCAAAAAGTGCGCTATACATTTTTTGTTCAGAACTTTCTTCTAATCACTATGGCGGTATTCCCGAAAGATTATCTCGCGAATTTAATTTTTCGAAAATTTTTCCGAATTTGTTTTCTTGTATAGCTCAGCATCCGCTGAACCAATCAGAAAGTGCGCCATACATTTTTTGTTCGCTACTTTTTGCTAAAGAATTTGGCGGTATTCCCGAAGGATTATCTCGCCAATTTAATTTTTCGAAAATTTTTCCGAATTTGTTTTCTAGTATTGCTCAGCATCCGCTGGACCAATCAGAAAGTGCGCCGTACATTTTTTGTTCGCTACTTTTTGCTAAAGAATTTGGCGGTATTCCCGAAGGATTATCTCGCGAATTTAATTTTTTGACAATTTTTCCAAATTTGTTTTCTAGTGTAGCTCAGCATCCGCTGGACCAATCAAAAAGTGCGCCATACATTTTTTGTTCAGAACTTTCTTCTAATCACTATGGCGGTATTCCCGAATGATTATCTCGAGAATTTAATTTTTCGAAAATTTTTCCGAATTTGTTTTCTAGTATAGCTCAGCATCCGCTGGACCAATCAGAAAGTGCGCCATACATTTTTTGTTCAGAACTTTCTTCTAATCACTATGGCGGTATTCCCGAAGGATTATCTCGCCAATTTAATTTTGTCGAAAATTTTTCCGAATTTGTTTTCTAGTATTGCTCAGCATCCGCTGGACCAATCAAAAAGTGCGCCATACATTTTTTGTTCAGAACTTTCTTCTAATCACTATGGCGGTATTCCTGAACGATTATCTCGCGAATTTAATTTTTCGAAAATTTTCCGAATTTGTTTTCTAGTATAGCTCAGCATCCGCTGGACCAATCAGAAAGTGCGCCATACATTTTTTGTTCAGAACTTTCTTCTAATCACTATGGCGGTATTCCCGAAGGATTATCTCGCCAATTTAATTTTTCGAAAATTTTTCCGAATTTGTTTTCTAGTATTGCTCAGCATCCGCTGGACCAATCAGAAAGTGCGCCATACATTTTTTGTTCGCTACTTTTTGCTAAAGAATTTGGCGGTATTCCCGAAAGATTATCTCGCGAATTTAATTTTTCGAAAATTTTTCCGAATTTGTTTTCTAGTATAGCTCAGCATCCGCTGGACCAATCAGAAAGTGCGCCATACATTTTTTGTTCAGAACTTTCTTCTAATCACTATGGCGGTATTCCCGAAGGATTATCTCGCCAATTTAATTTTTCGAAAATTTTTCCGAATTTGTTTTCTAGTATTGCTCAGCATCCGCTGGACCAATCAGAAAGTGCGCCATACATTTTTTGTTCGCTACTTTTTGCTAAAGAATTTGGCGGTATTCCCGAAAGATTATCTCGCGAATTTAATTTTTTGACAATTTTTCCAAATTTGTTTTCTAGTGTAGCTCAGCATCCGCTGGACCAATCAGAAAGTGCGCCATACATTTTTTGTTCAGAACTTTCTTCTAATCACTATGGCGGTATTCCCGAAGGATTATCTCGCCAATTTAATTTTTCGAAAATTTTTCCGAATTTGTTTTCTAGTATTGCTCAGCATCCGCTGGACCAATCAGAAAGTGCGCCATACATTTTTTGTTCGCTACTTTTTGCTAAAGAATTTGGCGGTATTCCCGAAGGATTATCTCGTGAATTTAATTTTTCGAAAATTTTTCCGAATTTGATTTCTTATATAGCTCAGCATCCGCTGGACCAAATAAAAAGTGCGCCATACATTTTTTGTTCGCTACTTTTTGCTAAAGAATTTGGCGGTATTCCCGAAGTATTATCTCGCGAATTTAATTTTTCGAAAATTTTTCCTAAATGTTTTTGAGAAGCTATACATTTTTAGAAGACAACTTCCGTGTTAAGACTTTGGTGGTGATCCTAAAGGATTGTTTTGAAAATTTAAAATTCCTAAAATTTTTGCCTACTCTTTTCTGCGCGAATAAAAAAAGTATGAACCCTTGGAATTTATAAAAGCATTATTCACATTTTGCCAAACTGCTCACGAACTAATTGGTCTGTTAGCGAAATAAACTTTGTGTACTTTATAAACTACTTGAAAATTCGACCTTTGAACTTCGGTTGTATGTGCGCGCGTCAAGGATATGCACGCAAAGTTCAGAATGCGATCATTATAAATGCCCACGATTTATTCTTTACAAAACTTTTCGTTTCAGATTCCATTATATATATATACTCCTTTTGTGATCCGCATAAATTCATTTTCTCCTCGCAAAAAGTTATAAAAGAGACAAAAATTCCTATAATCAAATTTTATCATTTTTGTCTTTTGTTTATATTTAATTATATTATAGTTTTCAAAATGAAGTTAGAAATTTTATATACATTATAAAGTAATAAAAATTTTTTTATTTTTTTCTATATATATATATATATATATATATATTACACAAAACAAATAATTGATTTTATGTCAATAATAAAAATTATAATTTAGAAATATCGTGAGAAGAATACACCTGTATTATCCCTAAATAGATTGCGACGGAAGTAATTACATTTGACTTCCGCACACAAGGTCGTCACGATACTAAAATCATTGCTCAAACAGAGATATATTAACATGTATTTAATTAAATCAAAAAAAATTTAAATATGTATTGTAAGATTTATTATTTGAAAAGTTATTTATAAAAAAATATTAGTGAAATTTTATTTCTTTAATTTTTTACATAAAAGTAATAGTAAATCGCAATTGAATTCAAATTTTCTTTTTGGGAACACATTTTTTTCTTTTTATTACCGTTACCGATACCGTAACTGATACTTCTCTGTTACCGTTATTGTTACCGGTACAGTTGTTACCGGTACAGTTGTTACTGTTACTGTTGCCGTTATCGTTACTGATGTTACTGTTACTGTTACTGTTACTGTTACTGTTACTGTTACTGTTACTGTTACTGTTACTGTTACTGTTACTGTTACTGTTACTGTTACTGTTACTGTTACCGCTACCGCTATTATTATTAACTTACTTAGGTTTGATTCCGAATTACGATAATAATAATAATTATAATTATTAGTATTATTTTATCTATTTATCCGCAAATCATAAATCCACTAAAAAAATTAAAATATAGTAATAACTACCAACTATTTCCTTATTTTTCAATACGAGACTTGTACCAGGCCATTCTTGTCGATTGTTGTCACAGGTCGTGACTTATTCTCTATGGTTATGAGTTGGTTAGTGTTTAAAGGGGTAAAAGGGTAACGGGTTGAAAAGGGTAAAAAGAAGATTTTTAACCCTTGGCCCTTCGATTTGACAAGAAAACATTTCATAAATTTCTAATACACTTTTTTTTCTACAAAGAAAAACAAACATCACAAAAACTATAATTATTATTATGAAGGGTTTGATGATCGATATCCATCTATAATAATAATAATTTATTTTGTACGCATTCAAATGAGAGAGAAAGAGAGATGGTCCTCCCTCTATATAACATTATTTTCAATCAATAAATGTATTTTTGGTGACGTGCGCGTGACTTGGAAGAATTGCCTCTTCAAACTACGATCTGGTTACACAGGAAGGTAAAATGGGGGGTTGGGAAACAGGGGGTGTATATAATCGGTCGAAACCTTCAGTTGTTCGCTGAACCTTCAGCAATCAGTCACGATTTGTCTTCGAAAAAGAAAAAAAAAAAATTTCCCTCCTTTTTTTTGTAAATACAATAATTCCGTTGATTTTGTTTTTTCAAAATTTAATTTTCCCGCTTTTTCTAACGGTTAGAATTTTTGCATAAATATAGATTTTCAAAAAAGAAAAGAAAATAATGAACCAAATTTTAATAAAAAGAATAATTCAAATGACAATGAGACAGCACTTTCATCAGAAACCGGAAGTTGTGGTTTAAATTTAAAATAATAATATGGATAAGTACGAGAATTTGGAAGTTGTTGGAGAGGGAAGTTATGGTGTTGTGATGAAGTGTCGACATAAGGAAACGGGACAAATTGTTGCTATTAAAAAATTCCTTGAGACTGAGGAGGACATACATGTGCGAAAATTGGCATTTCGAGAAATTAGAATGTTGAGGGTAATGATAAATTTTTGGTAGAAAGCATTTAAATATGGTACATTGAAAAAAATTTTTTTAAGAATATGTTCAAAATCCGTTTTAGGTTCTAAAATTCGTTGAGAATTTATAGTGTATTATTCTGTACTTCTGTATACAGAACTCATAGAATCATTTTGATACTTTCAAAATCTGCTAAAAATGTTGTTAAGAACTCTCAGAAACATTTAACAATTTTTAAAATCTATTAAGAATTCTTAAAACCCGTTAAAAATTTTATACAGTCCGTTGACTCTTTAATCATTTGGATATGCTTTTAAAATTCCTCAAAGAAAATTTAATAAATCAAAATCGTAAATTAATGAATTAAATAAAAACCCCATTAAAGCATTATGCCAACGGAATTTTGAAGGAATAACTTCGGATTTTGAATGTACCATATTATATTATTAAAAGAAGGGTTTTCCAAATTCAATCCAAAAAAAATCTAAATAGAAAATAATATTTGGAATTTCTTATTCTTTATGTAATAATTCCTCAATTTTTTTTTCGCAGAGGCTACGGCATGAGAATCTAGTGAATTTGTTGGAAGTTTTTCGACGTCGTAAACGTTTCTATCTTGTCTTTGAATATTTGGATCATACCGTTCTTGACGAATTGGAAACAGCCGGTGGTGGATTAGGACCAGACATTTCAAAGAGACACATCTTTCAAGTTGTTCGTGGACTCAATTTTTGTCACTCAAACAACGTAAGTTCCAAAATCATCCCTAAATAACCCAATTTTTTTTTTTTTGTATTTTTACTATCCAAAATCCCCCAAAAATTGATTTTGAACATCCTTTTTATAATTTTAAACTCCTTCAATTGATTTTGAAACCCTTTTGATGATTTTGAATTCCTTTAATTGATTCTGAAATCCACTTTTTGTTGATTTTGAACACTCTAATAATGATTTTGAAATCCATTTTTCTGCCATATGAGCGACTGATTACCGGAAATAATTTTTACGCAGATAATACACCGTGACATAAAACCAGAAAATGTATTGGTATCGCCAAATGGTGTTGTGAAACTTTGTGATTTTGGATTTGCCCGCTTTGTAAGTCAGTCTAATGAATCGTGTACGGATTATGTTGCCACAAGATGGTACAGAGCACCGGAATTACTTGTTGGCGATAATCGCTATGGAAAACCAGTTGACGTTTGGGCTACCGGATGTCTTTACGCTGAAATGGTAACTGGTGATCCAATGTTTCCAGGCGAAAGTGAAATTGATCAATTACATCGAATAACAAGAATTCTTGGTACGCCAATATCAATCATTTTTAGAATACAACAAATAATTTCATTTTGGATCCTATAGGAATCCAAAATAATTATTTTAAAATTAGTAAATCCTTATCAGATTCGCAAAAAAAAATTAATATAATAATTATTGAGGAAATAAAAATTCTTTAAGGTGGACTATGTGGGAAGCATCAGAATATAATGGGAAAAAATGCAAGTACACGTCTATTGAGACGAGCTAGTGTTGATGAATCGCCATTTAGTAATTATGGTTCACGTTCACTTCGTAATTTATTTCCAAATTGGAATTTAATTGCTGTTGATTTTATCACACAATGTCTTCGTATGGATCCTGATGCACGACCAAATTGTTCAAATTTATTGCAACATTCACTATTTCAGCATGATGGATTTAGTGATAAATTTCTCATTGAATTGCAAAATAACGTTGCCAAGGAAACGGCAATGAATCATCTTTTAATGAAACGCGAAGAGGCACGAAGATTAAGTGTTTTATCTATTGAGGAACCACCACGAAATTGTCGCAGTGGCACTGGAAGGTTTGGAAAATTATTAATTTCAATTTGACTTTTGACAGTTACCAAGGCAACGGTTACTATACAGCATTGATTGCCATATAGTAACGGTTACTATGGTAACTGTCACCCTAGTAACCGTTTCCATGGTAACGGTTCCATAGCAACGGTTTCTAGGGTATCAGTTACCATATGGCAACTGTTACTATTGCGACGTTTACTATGGTAACCGTTACCGTTACCGTTACCTTTACCTTAGAAACCTTTGCTATGTAACCGTTACCTTAGCAATGGTTTACTATGAAAACGGTTGCAATGGTAACAGGTTACGATGGTAGCAGTTATCAAAGAAAAAGGTTGCTATGTTTTTTGAATTTTTCTCATCTTTTCAGATGGCAAATGAATCTCATTAAAGAACCAAAAATACCAATGAATAATAAATTAATAAACATGGATACAAAAGAAAATGCACACGGACATGAAAATAATAATAATAATAATTCATCATCATCAACATCATTGTCATTAACGATAAATCCATTAAAGGAACATTGTTACATTGGTCCAGTATCGGTTGTTCCAAATACGACTTATATTAAACGACTGAATCAAAAGGGTCTCATTATTCCGGAAACAAAAAATTTTTCACTACCCGCATTATCAATAAGGGCACACGCCAAACCACCGGGTAAAAGAAAAAAACTTGAGCTTACAAATTTTTTATAAATTATTCTATATAATAAATAATATAGGGTGTTTTATTTTATTATAAAAAAAAAAAATAAAAGTGATTTTTAAATATATAAATAATTAATTTGGAATTTTTTCTAGTTGTACAATATCGAAAAACAAAAAAACTTTTTAATAAACAATATATATGTAAATAAATTGTTTTTTTAAATTATTTTCCTATTTTTTTTATTTATTTTTAATATTATAGTAAATAAATAGATAAATAATAATAAAAATATTATTTATTGTTATAATAATTACATATATTATAATATTATTAATATAATTATATTATAAATAATTTATTATTTATTTTTAATTAATTTTTTATTTAAAAATTTAATTAAAATGAATTTTATGTTTTAATATTCCCGCGTAAGTTTTTCTCTGGGATGTGCTGCCTCTGGTAAGAAGAATTTAAACTATTAATAGAATTCTAAGAAAGAATTGGCAGTTGATAAACGGGTATTATATATTGATATCTATATTTATATTTATAATTTATCAAGGAACAATTAAGATAAACATTTAATTATCATTTGTCTTTAAAAAATCACAAATGATATTTGAATATTATCACAGTAATTTTCCCGTTAGCAAAAGTTTATTGACAAAAAAGAACAGAGAATAATAAATGAAAAATGCTCCTTTAACAATGTTTTTTTTTTTTTTTTTAAATAAACTTGTGAGTGCGACTAAAATATTTAATTTATTTACAAGTTTCAAGGAAGCAAATATTATATTATATTATATTATATTATATTATATTATATTATTTTATGTTGTAATATATATATATATATATATATATATATATATTTATAAATTATTTTCTACCTAACCAAAAATATATATATTATAACATAACCTATAAAATACCGGGGGATGATTTTCAAAATTGCAAAATAAATTTTTCTAAATATAATTCATAAATTTATTCTATTGCCTAAAAAAACAAAATGTTTTTTAAAGTTTTATAATAATTCGACTTCTTTTTTTTCTTTAAACAAAATAAATATAAATTATAATGGAGTTTTTGACACCTAAAAATTAGTTTTGAAATATTTTAATAGAAAAACGGTTTTTAATGTTTTAATTTTATTTTAAAATTTTAATATTTTATTATTATTATTATTAACTATAACAATTTTAATTAAATATATTTTTTAAAAAATTAAATTAAAGTTTTTAATTAAAAAAATATATTAATTATATATAAAAAAAAATATTTAATTAAAATTGTCATAGTAAATAATTATAAGTTTAATAATAAAAGTATTGAATATTTTTTTTTTATTATTATTATTTCTAATGGAAAATTTTGGAAAAAATTTAATTTTATCATTATAGCAGATTTTTAAAATATTAAAAAAAAAATATTTTCGCTTTTTTTGATTAATATTCTTTATTATCTATATACCCATAATATATTTGTCAATCTTTTATTTGCGTATATAATATTTTTTCGCGTGGGATAAATCTCAATGAGAATGAAGAATATAAATTTATCTATCTTTTATGCAAAATATTTATCATCTTCGCAGGGGGTCGATAAAAAAAATTTTTTAACGTATATCACAAAATATGTTATAGAAAATTATTATTGTGAAAGCGATTATTGCCACATTAGAATTTTTTTTTTTTTTATTACAAAAACAAGAGTATATATATAAAACGCGGGAATCTAATTTCTCGTTTACATAGAGAAAACTGGTTCAACCGTTCACTCAACATAGAAAACTAGAATTTTATACTTGTTGATTTTATTTTCTTTCTTTTTCTTTCTTTTTTTTATTTTGGTTTTTTTTCTGTTACAACTTTGTGAGAAAAAAAAAAATTATATTGCGCACCTTTCTCTGGTTTGATCTCAATCTACTTTTGCAATGGGAGTTACTAAGTAAGTTGACAACGTGAATCTATATTTGATTAGATATTCGCGAGTTATCAACTCGTCAGGTTGTTATAATTACCGGTGAAATTTAAAAATAAATGAAAAAAAAATAAAATAAAATAAAACTCAGAATTATTAAAACTGTGTTTGTGTATATGTTTTTTTTAAATATGTACAATATTTAAATTCATTAAAAATGTTTTTAAAAAAATTATTACCCGTTATTGAAAGGGGATTACATTCCACAAAAGTGTTGTGAGTTTTTTTTTTTTTTTTAATCCGAAAAATTAAAAAAACGAATTCTTTTTCTGGTTTAAATTTAAAATAAAACTATTTTTTATTAAATTGTAAAAATTATTATTATTCCAAAAAAATACACGTAGTAAAAAAATTGATTTAAGGAATACTATTTTTGTTTTTGAGGCTTAATAATTTATTAATTCGATTAATTATAATAATAATAATAGTAATGAAAATTATTGTTTGCATATAGATTAGAAGCGGCGATAATTGATGGAAACAGTATTGCAAAGCAAATAGAAAAAGAAATTAGCACATCAGTTGAGTCATGGGTGAAAAGTGGAAAAAGACGACCAAAATTAGTGGCAATAATTGTTGGCGATGATCCTGCCAGTAAAGTTTATGTATCGAGAAAAATTAAAGTGGCAAAAGCTGTTGGTAAGCGTTAAAATTCAATTTTAAAAACCAAATTCTAATTCCTCTTTTTTTCATGAAAAATTTATTCTAATTTGCCTAATTCTTCAAAAAATAGTAATTCCTAATTGTATCTAATTCCTAATTTACCTAATTCCTTATTGTACCTAATTCCTTATTGTACCTAATTTCTAATTGATCTAATTCCTTATTGTACCTAATTTCTAATTTTACCTATTTCCTAATTGTATCTAATTTCTAATTCCTTATTGTACCTAATTCCTAATTTTACCTAATTCCTAATTGTATCTAATTTCTAATTCCTTATTGTACTTAATTCCTAATTTTTTTCTAATTCCTAAAAATAATAATAATAGTAATAATAAGAAAAATATTTAGAATAATGTTTTAATTTTATCTAATACATATTTTTTTTACTTCTAATTCACAAGGAATTGAAGCAGAAACTCTAACTTTTGACAAAAATATTTCACAAAAATTGCTATTAAATGCAATTTATAATTTAAATAATGATACCAATGTGGATGGAATTTTGGTACAATTACCAGTACCACCGTCAATGGATGAGAGAAAAATTTGCGAAGCCGTAATGCCATCAAAAGATGTCGATGGTTTTCATTCGGAAAATATGGGTAAACTTTGTGTCGACAGCGATAGTATTGTACCAGCCACTGCACTTGGCGTTAAGGAATTAATTGTTAGATCAAGATTTGATACTTTTGGAAAAAATGCCGTTGTTATTGGTCGATCAAAACACGTTGGTCTTCCAATTGCCATGCTTCTTCATTCCGATGGCAAAGGTAAAAAATGAAATTACAAAAAATTACCAAAATTTTTCAAAAAAAAAAAGCAAAAAATTGTGACTAATTTAAATTGAAAAAAAAATAATTTTAATTTAAATAAAAGAAAATTTTTAATTTATTCTCTCAGGTGAGACGGGCGCTTTGGATATGACAACGACAATTTGTCATCGTTACACACCACCCGAGGAATTAAAGAGACATGTAAAATTGGCTGATGTGATAGTTTCAGCGGCTGGTGTTCCCGGTCTTGTTACACAAGATATGATAAAACCGGGAGCTTGTGTTATTGATGTTGGAATAACGAGAGTCAATACCGAAAAGGGACAAAAATTATTGGGCGATGTTGATTTTGAAAATGTGAAAAAAATCGCTGGTCACATTACACCAGTGCCCGGTGGTGTTGGACCAATGACAGTTGTCATGCTAATGAAAAACACTCTTAAAGCAGCAGAAAAAAATCAAATAAGCTAATATTTTTTCTAATCGCGAAGAATTCAAAAATTAGTATTTTTTCTCATTTCCATTATTATTATTATTATTATTTTTCTAATTTTCGGAATAATTTATAAAAAGAGATTTTTAAGACTTAAAAGTATTTTTTTTTCATAAATATTTTGCTTCTCATGTTCATGAGAAATACAGTATTTTTTTTCTATGCAAAATAATTAACTTGTAGTTTAGAGAATGTAAAATGCTACAAAAAAAATATTCTATTGAAAGTTTTAATAAAAAAAAAAAAAAAAAAAAAATGTTGACTAGAAAAACCGATTTTTGATTTATTTTCCAAAAAAAAACATTCTTTCCCTTCACAATTTTTTTTTAATAAGTCACGTGCGCGTGCGAATTTCTAGTTTCGCGTTTTGAGGTTATCGTCCAAACGCGTTTGTAAGGTTATCTCGTAAAATATAAAGAAAATAATCTCTGTCAAAGATATAAAAAAAATAACACAATTTTTGAGTTCAAGAATTTGTCTTCATATTTTAAATTTGAATTACTTAAATTTTTTTAAAAAATTACTTTTTAGAAAAATAAAATCAGCAAGTGAGTAAAGTACTATTTTTTTTCTTTTTTTTTAATAAATGTTTATAAGAAAGCTAAGTGAATTTCTAGTTATTAGATCGAATTTTCATTTATCGAGGGTAATTACAACAAAACTTTCAACTACTCAGAGAATTATGTCACGGCCAAAAATACTTGTCACTCGACCCGATATTCCTGCAATTGGATTCGAATTACTTGGAAAAGAGTAAATATACAATTTTTAATTTAATTTAATCGATTCGAAACTAAATGTTATTAAAGTTAAGTTCCCGAAGGGGTGTATAAAAAATTCCCCCCCCCCAAAAAATAATTGCTAATTAACTAATTTCCCCAGGAATTGTAAAAATTCAAAGTATATAATTTTAATTATAAGAAATTAAATTCCTTATTTTTTCCAATTTTCATGATGATGATTTTTTGTTCTCTCTCTTGGAGAAAGTAAATTTTTTTACGATTTGGTTTTCTAAAGTAACCTTTTTTTTTCTCCGTCCACAGATATAAATTTTTCAATGTGTGGACGGAATTTTTTCTCGGAAAATTTTCTTCTTCTCGTCTTGTGAAATTGAAAAAAAAATTTTTTTTTCAGATGTGACTTGATCGTGGCTGACCATGCTAATGAAATTTCACAATCTGAATTGTTGTCAAAAATTCGCGATGTCGATGGACTTTATTGTTTGTTGTCGGATAAAATTGATGAACAAGTCCTAAAAGCAGCGGGTCCAAATTTAAAAGTCGTTGCAACCATGTCCGTTGGCGTTGATCATTTAGATTTAAAAGCCATGAAGGAGAGAAATATTTTAGTTGGATATACTCCAGGAATATTAACACCAGCAACTGCTGAATTAACTGTTGCATTACTGCTCACAACATCACGAAATTTAATCCATGGTCACAGGGCAATTTTCCAGTGAGTCCTAGAAAAAAAAAAAAAAATTAAAAAAATTATTTCGAAAATTTCAATTTTAATACAAAAAAAAAATATTTTTTACTACACAGAAATGAATGGAAGGCCTGGGGTCCAACTTGGATGTTAGGACCGGGTTTATTAAATTCAACAGTGGGAATTGTGGGTTTAGGAAGAATAGGAGCCGAAATTGCAGAAATTCTCAAGGGTTTCAAGGTATCGAAAATATTGTACACAAGTCGTAGGGAAAAACCAGAAGCTGCTAAATTTGATGGGAAATTAGTGAATTTTGATACACTTTTAAAGGAAAGTGATTTTGTCATAGTCACTATTGCACTAACACCAGATACCAAGGAAATGTTTAATAAAGAGGCTTTTGATAAAATGAAAAAAACGGCAGTTTTTATAAATGTTAGTCGAGGACAAGTTGTACATCAACCCTCATTAATAGAGGCATTGAAAAATAAACAAATTTGGGGCGCTGGTTTGGATGTAACAACTCCTGAGCCAATTGGCTCTGATCATGAATTACTTAAATTGGACAATTGTGGTAAATTATTTATTTACATAACTAAAAAAATTTTACAGGAAAATAATTTTCAATTACTAATTTATAATTAGTAGCCAATTTTTTTTCTAAAATTAATTATATTAATTAATATATAATTAATTTTAGAAAAAAAATTTGGCTATTAATTATAATTTAATTTAAATTTTAGTTGTTATTCCTCATTTGGGAAGTGCCACATTTGAAACAAGGAATAATATGGCAACAATGACAGCGAATAATATTCTTGCTGCACTGAGAGGAAAACCAGAAGAAATGCCAAATCGATTAATTTTATAATTTTTGTTCTAATACTTAGAAAAAAATTATATTTTTTTAAAATTTAGTTTTTGTAAATATATCTAAAAATTTATACTATGAAGTTTTTTGTATAATAATATTCTAGGATTAATATTTTATATCTTATAAATAATATATAATAAATATTAAATTTAAATTCCTTTAATTAATTTATTTTATTAATTAATTTCCTTTTATTATTTTATTCCAAGAAAAAAAAACGATATTTGTTATTAGCAGAAGGCAAGTTGTCATTTAAAAATGGCGGGATAATGTTTCACCGAAGGTTAGGTTGGTTTCTTATATGTTAAGAAGGTTGGGGATTCGATAATGAAACGTCAGAATGTTTATTTTGAGTTTCTCTTTTCTTCGATAATGCAATTTGTAATTTAATTTATAAAATTATAAATTACAAATACACGCAAATGGAGAAAGAATATTAATCAAAAAAATTTTCAAGTGATTACAAAAAATTTGTGCATTAAATTTAATATATAATAATTGTTTCGTTTTGTTTCTAGGTTATGTTTGTAAAATGTATCTTAAAAATAATAATATTCTAAGAATTCTTCTATTTCTCGGTAAGTTTTCCACTAATAAATTTTTTTCAGAGAATTAGAAATAATTATTTTTTTTCCTCACTGTAAAAATGTAACGATTTTAAATGTTTTGCTTTTAAAAATCTTAAATATTTGAGAAAATTTTTTATTAAAATTTATAAATAAAAATAATAGATAATAATAATAATTTAATAATAAAAATGTAATTTTTTTTTTATACAGTTAGCATTTCGTTTGTCCTTGGAGAAGAGGATTTTCCTCAATTGGATAAGGAAAATGCAACAAATGAAAAATTTTTTTTTTTAAAAGTAAAATCAAATGTTACATTAACGGAACCAAAGAAAAATATTACCAAAGCCAATTGCATAAATGACCAAGTCTACGGACCCGTCGAGGTATAGAAAAAAGAAAATAAATTTATAGGCAAAATTTTTAATTTCCAAAAATCTATTTTTTTTTTGTAAACGGAATAGCTAGAACTAAAAAATTAATTCCTAATAGGCGATATTTTTTTTCAAAGTAGAACATAACCTAAAAAATTAAATCGTATTTTAATAAATTAAATTGATTTTTTTTAAATTTTAGATTGTAAATGCAACGAGATTGGTCGAATTATTAATGTTGGAACCAGGTACAGCGAATAGGACGAAAAATAGTACGGAAATAAGATTATTACCAGGACCTTGTGTCGTGGTTTTATTCTATGCACGTTGGTGTGTTTTTAGTAGTCAAGCTGCACCGCATTTTAATGCATTGCCTCGATTTTATCCACACATCAAGGCTATTGCAATTGACGCAATGAAACATCAAAGGTACAATGCAAATAAAATAGTAATTTTTAAAATTTTTCCTTTTTGGGAGAGAAAATTACTATTGAAAATAATTAGGCTTGAATGCCAACTATGCTGACCATTACATTACCATCGAAAAATATTTTTTTTTTTACCGAAATTCAACTTTTTTTTGAATTATTTCATTACCATCGAATATAATTATAATTACACGGAGAAAAATGGAAAAACGAATAAAGTAACTTTTACTATTTTGAAAAGTAAAACCGAAACTGTCCGCAGTTACTGCACAATTTTTGGCAATTTTTACTTCAAGAAATAGTAAAATTTACTTCTGAAATAGTAAAAAATTATTCCGGACATAGTAAATTTTACTATTTCTGAAATAAAAATTACCGCAGAAATGCGCAGAAACTGTGGACAGTTCCGATTTTACTTTTAAAGTAGTAAAAGTTACTTTATTCGTTTTGCCGCATTTTTCTCAGTGTATGTTTGAAAACCAATATAGTAAAACTAAGAAACAAAGGAGTAAATAGAAAAAAAAAAATTTTTCTTTTTAAATATTTTAGTTTTAACACCCAATATGGAATCGTTGGCGTTCCATCATTGGTAATTTTTCACAATGGCAAACCAGTGGCAAAATTCAATTACACTGTCTATTCATTGGACACATTCTCAAGATTTATAACTCAATTGACAAATCAACAGCCAAATGGTTCAATTTATGTGACATCGGCCGATTTTAGTGGTCCTGTTTCCAGTACACCATCAAATGAGACTGATTATTGTCTCGTTTTATCTTGGATATTTATTGCAGCTTGTGCACTTTATTTCACATCGAAAAGTCATTGGTGGAGGCAATTTGTTGAACTTGTACAAAATACATGGCGGGAAAGTAATGCACAACATGAACATGTTGATTAAAGATTTTTCTAATTTTTTTCCCCCGCCTTTTTTTTCTATATCATAAAATGATTATTTATTCGTATATAAGATTTGTATTTATTTTATTCTTTTCTAAAGGATTTAACTATCCATTGATGTATATATATATATATTAGAAAAAGAAATATATCGATATTTTGTATTTTATTTAAAGCACGAGGGAAAAAATGTGTATTCAGTTTTGAATATACATTTTTTACGAGTGCTTTTTCTGTTATTTAGAAGACATTCCTTGCAATAATGAGATTAATTTACAATAAGACTAAAAATAAGATGAGAGATTAGAAATTTGAAAAAAAATAATTGAAATTGAATTTAATTATTAAAAAATCGAAAAATATTTTTTTTTGAAAGCCAACCCACGGAAAAAATATTTACCTAAAACGGCGAAACGTTTCACAATAGTATCAAAAGTTTTACTCGTTTCAGGCGTAAATCTTTCGTTATTTTAATGAAACATTTTGCTGCTTTAGGTAAATCTTTTTTGCAATGAAAAATAATTTTTATTCTTTAAATAAATATTAAACTAATGTCCTCAGAAGAGTTAGTAATAATAATTTTCTTTTATCTCCTTTTTTGACTTTCATTTTTCCTATTTGAATTCTTTTCCTTTATCAGGACCGTAAGTAGAATTTATTCGCGGGGGTGAAAAAAAGGGGGGGAGAGAAAACTCGTATTAAAGAATTACCCCCTCCTTTTTCCATCACTCTCAAGGCTAAAAAAAATGTATATTCTTTTCTTTTCCCCTTATTTTGATATTCAAAAACATTCTTAACGTTATTCTTTCTACACATTTCTCCCGAGCGATACGGAAAACGAGTCTTGATCTTCAAATAGGATGCAGCATCATCCTTAGAAATTAAAAACTAACTACTATTAAAAACTACTTTTTTACCCTTAAAAAAAACAGGAAGTAAATTAAGTATACTTATGTATAAATTAGATTACGAAATTGTGAAATTGATAAAAAATACAAGAATGTTTTCCCAATAAGAAAAATAGACACAAAAATTGTTTATAAAGATTTTTGCATTTAAGAAAATTATTTGAATCTATTGGCTCTTTTATATATATATGTATATGAAAATCTCTGGCCGGTCGACATTATCAGCGTATTGAATTCGGCATAGGAATAAGAAGATATATGGTAGTATATAGGCAGGGGTCGAGTTTACTGCAGACAGAGGGAGTGAGAAAGGGTATATATATACATATATTGAAGAGAGAGAGAGAAAGAGGGAGTGTTCTCTCGCGTTGCGGCGCTTGGCTACGGGGTGGTTGCCCTCGTCTGCGCTTTGTGGGAAATGCCCGCTCAATAACGCGTAGGTTCTCGTCCTCGTCTCCCCTTCTCTCTTTCGTCCAAAGGGAGGAAGCTACTTCGGCTGCAGCAAAGGGTCGTTTTTGTTCCGAAAAAGCCCACCGGCCGTTCCACCCGTCACTCTCTTATTTCCCAATTCAAGATTTTACTTCGCGACGAAAAGAACCATTTTCACACCCCTTCTGTTTTTGTCCTCAAAAAAAAAAAAAAAAAAAAATTTAAGTTTTGATAAAAACTTTAAAAATCAATATATTTCAAAAGATCAGAAATACTTTAAAAAATATTTTAAAAAAAGTAATACCAAGAAATTTACTTTTAGATAAAAATTCTTAAATTTACTACTATTGGTTATGTTAAGTTTTTAATTATCTTCTATATATAGGGATGTTCATTTCATATTTAAAAATATGAATTATTCAGAATGATTTCTGAATTTAAAAAATTTTTACGATTTAGTTTTCATAAAAAACATTTGACCCCTTTCGATTACTTAAAAAGTAACAAATTCGATTGGGAGTCATGAACCCGCACACGCGGGTGTGGATTCTTTTTTTTATTCCACCTCTCTTAAAGTCTGATCCAACAGATGAGAGATTCGTGAGAGACGAAATTATAGGGTCGATGGTCCGCGTTCTTCTCAAAGGTAGTCCATCCCTGCGCAGGGGTGGTAGAACTCCAAAGATCGTTCGGACGATGACCTCTATGGATACTCCAGAATTCCCAGGTCGACGCTTTTGCGTTCACGCAACCCCATCGAAATTACTGATGCCTTCACATATATATGTGTGTTTTTTATATCTCCCATATCTGAAAAAAGAAAAAATTTATTAAATTCTTTATAATTGGAAAAATTTCAAAAAAAAAAAAATCAGATTCCTGAAAAAAGAAAATTAAATCCACCTTTTTTGTATTTATATAGTATAAAACTATATTTTCTTCGTTCTGCATGGTTGGTCCAGGGGAATCCATCGAATCGATACTCTTAATTCTTGTTTAATAGAAATCGAGAAAGCGTTTCCGCGACACACGTTTTATATACATTCATATTCCTTATTATATTACCATCGTAATGCACGGCGTGTGGCACATATATAATTAAAATATCAAGACTCTGAATCTGGAAAATAATATAGAAATTTTTTTTTTTTTTTGTAATTGCGTCACATGTAAAAAAATTTATTTCTCTCTCAAATAATTATTTGTTTGAAATTTTATTGATGCCAAAAAAATTCTTTTCTGAAAAATTCTAAATTAAATGTGTGAACAATCGTTTCTATTATAAAGCAATTTTTTCACACCTCAACAATTGAAATTTCATATGTCGTAAATTTAAACACTTGTTTCCATATACAAATATATAATAATACTTTTTATGGATTTTTTTTCCCGGGATCGTGTAACAATGCGAACATGGCACGTGTTTGGAAAAAAAAAATCTCCATTGTATACCGTCAAATCACTTTCAGGAACCATGTAAATCGAATCATTATTGATTATGACTTCGAGAAAAAAAAACCTGTTCTTCTGTAAATTAAAAAAAAAAAATTTCTTTAAAATTTTAATTGTTTTATAATTTTAGTTAATTAATAATAATTATAATAAATACAGAATAATTAATAAATAAAATACTAAGTGATTTACAGCAATAATTTTTTGAAATTTATTCTGCGAATGTTATAATTAGCAAATCTATAAAGCCGGTCAGGGTTGAGTTGTGGAATTAAGCCAATTTGCACTTGGCGGGGAAAGTGTTAAAATTAATATATATACATATATACATTGTCCGAGAGGTATATAGAAATTGTGGGACACGTGTGAGTGCACTGGACTTATAGGCAAATTTTTTTTTTTTTTTTTTTTTTTTCGAGAATAATATTGTCATATATGCAGGAAGTGGTCTACACTTTCTAAAAGAATGAAACTAACAAGACTAAATGGACAAAATATCCTTTCTCTCATATTCGAGACACAAAAAATTAAAAAAAAAAAAAAAATAGTACATTTGTAACGATAACCGTTTTCATTTATCTCAATAAAAGGAGAAATAACACTACAAAAAAAATTACTAATATAACAATTGTTATATTAATAAGTTTTAAAAAAAATAACAATAATAAAAGTAATTTACAAAAAGGCAGTTATTAAAAATTACTATTATTATAGCTTTATTATTAAAAAACAAATATGATTCTGAGATAAAAATATGAAAAATAGAATAAATTGAAAAAATTCATTAACTGGAAATATAAAGAATTGCCCATGGTGAATAACTGTGACCACAATTTTATGATACGCGCATTTATATAGGTATATATGTAGATATAGTCGCGTGAATCTATTTATACGCAGGATTGTGAGGGAAATGACCGCGCGGCCTTGACTTCCCATTGACCCATCCAATGGATTGTTGAAAACTTTAATTTTGTCAGAAAAGAATTTTTTTTAAAAAAAAGAAGTAAAAAAAGGCAACTATACTGACTACTACAATACCATCGAAAACTACATTTTTTTTTTTTTTATTGAAAACCGACCATTACATTATCATCGAAAAATACGTTATTTCATCAAAAACCAAAATTTTGTTGGTTATGTCATTAAATACCATCGAAAAATACTTTCTTTTATTGAAAACCAACTTTTTTGGTTATGCGTCAATAATTACCATCGAAAAATACTATTTTTCATCGATAATAAACTTTGTTGATTATTTTATTACCATCGAAAAATACTGTTTTTTTTATCGAAAAGCAATTTTTTTGGTTATGTCATTAATTATACCATCGAAAAATACTTTTTTTCATCGAAAACGAATTTTGTTTTGTTGATTTATTTCATTACCATCGAAAAATACTTTTTTTCCATTGAAACCCATCTGAAAAAAAAAATTTCTTGTCAATTATAATTTTCCAATTATGAATAATTAATTGAACAATTTAGTGCAAAAGGTATGGAGAGAGAGAGAGAGAGCAAGAAAGAAAAGGGAAAAGGTATAGCGTTGGCGGGTTATCGTGTGAAAGGGGTTGGGGGTGAGGTGGGGGAGGTTAAGGAGGCTAACGGCCTTGACCTCGTCCATATAGCTTAATAGAAGGGACACGCGAGAAAAGACATCGGTCAAAACAAAAGCAAATTACTTTTACGTATACACAAACACATAAATATAAATACATATATATATATATATATAGTTTCCGCAAATTATTATATTTTACCATTCTCAAAGAAAATCCCTCCGCACTTCTTGTTAAAAACTTCTACTGCTATATATGATTACGTCAGAGTGTCGTTCGCGCGAATGACCAATCAGCATTCAATTTGCAACAAAAAGGGAAAAAATAAACTAAAAAAAATTTTTTTTGATTTTTATCATAAATAATCTTTTTTTTCATAAATTATAAATTAATCAATTATCCATTTCGCGAGCAAATTATTCTCGGCGACATAAAACAAAAAGTCATTATTGGCAATTAGAGAGCGAGAGAGAGACAATGATTAAAAATCAATTACTGTAATTTTTAGGCCAACAATAAAATATTTTCTAAAATTTTTTTCTGTATTATTTAAGGTTAACTAGGTTTTTCCGCATAATTTAATATATAATTAAAAAAAGATTTCTGTGATTTTATTTTAAGTTTTAGTTTTAACGAGAAAAGAAATTTTTTTGAGGTTATGTCGCGATTAGAAAACAAAACGAAATTTTCAATGTCGAAACGAAACTTATTTTGCAGGACCGCCGAAATATTCGCAATATTATTACAAAAATAGTGGCAATATTGAGGTTATGTTGGCAATATATTTACTGAAATTTTAGATATACTGCGGGGGAAAATAATGAGAGTAAAAAGGACAGCAATATATGCGTCTATCTCACTTGCACTCTTATTTTTCTACTTACGCTCTATTTGCTTTGAACGAAATATACTTAACCTCAAATTTTTATCGATTCCGAGACTCTTATTATTATTATTATTATTATTATAATTTATTCTGTCGTTCAAAACTGAAAGATCGTAACTTTTTTTTAGGTTAAGTTGCCCATTATGTTTCTTACACAAAAAATACAGAAACTAAAATTATGCCAAAAATTTTTTATGGAATTGAAAACTTTTTCATAATTTTAGTTTCTGTATTTTTTGTGTAAGAAACTTAATATGCCTCTAAGCAGAATGAAATCTCTAATCGTAAATCTTTTACATGAGAGAGAAAAGAACAAAAGATATTTCTTTCCTTTTCTCTCTCATGTAAAAAATTAAGATTTACAATTAGAGATTTCATTCTGTTTTGGGCCCAATGAGCAATTTAACCTAAAAAAAAAACAAATTACGGTCTTTCAGTTTTGTACGGTATTATTAATATTTTAAAAATGAAACTTCAATTCACAAAACTGCGATTTTAATCATAAAATACGAAAAATTGTTCAAAATAGCAGAAAAAAGAAAGGCAAGGGCAACGGTTAATACTAGCGACGCTACTGATGAAAAAAGTCAGTGCTACCAACGTATAACAATTGAAAACTCTAAACGGCACTGTTGCCACAATATCCGCCCCTTTCACGTCACAATGTGTTTTTTTCTCTCTCTCTCTCTCTCTATCTTTCTCTGCACCATCAATGTGACTAGTTCCCTCTCTCTTATTTTTGCATTTGTATATGTGTATTAAAACCGCCGCTTTCGCAGACAAGTCGCGTCGTTCGCGACTCGAAGCCCCCTTTTCTCTATCTCTCTCTCTTTCTCTCTTTCTCGCATATTCACCTCTCTCTCTCCTCTTCATCGCTGGTGCCTCCTAGCGACTACTCTCGTCAGTTTCCGACAAAATGGGCGAACCTCGCCGGGCAGTAGCTTAGACTCTACCTACAAGATAACACACATACACCTTATAATAAATGTTTCCTAAACGACAAAAATATAATTGTACATTATTTATTTAAAAAAAATTCAATCTCTATTTTTGTAACAAAAAAAAAAAAAAAAAATGCTGTACTAAATCCGCGCCGTGATTTGTGTAAAAAAAAAAGAATCGTGAGTGTTTTTTTGGTGTGTATAGTAAAATTTCGAGATAAAAAAAAAAAAAAGAATTTGTAAAGGAAAATTTTGCTATAGTGACAAGTGTTGAAATATAAAAAGTGTTTTAGCAAATTAAATTTTTTTTTTTTTAGTGGCAAAATAGTGAGTCCGACACACCCTCTTGACACTCGACATCCGTCTCGACACGACCATCTCTTCTTTACCCCTTCGTGCCCCTCAAATCATCTCTCTTTCACTACCAATAATTGTCTCTCGTTTTCCTTTTTTTCCTCTCAATTATAAACTATCTTCCCAAAGTAATTACTTGACATAACCCTTTTGTTTTTAATTTTTGAAAATATTTTTCTAAATCAAAACCTTGTCTCAGTCTCTCTTTTTTTTTCTCTCTCTCATACTCCTATCGTTGCGCCCTATTCCTCTCTCCCTCTTGCCCTCCCCTCTCCTTCTCTTCTTTCCAACAACGAGAAATCCCTCTTCTCTCCCCTTCACTCCTCCGCGCCCTCTCCACCCGCCGTGAATCGAGAGAGGCCGTTCCTCCACACCCCGTTTATCGTTCGCTCGCTCGCTCCTCGTCGTCGTTGAAATCCGAGTGCAAGTTGTTGCAGTTTTCATACACACACATATATATATATATATACAAAATATATATATATATACTCAAAAGGTGCTTCAATCATAAAATTATTTTTTTTCTCCAAAACTACCTCTTTTTTACTTCCACCCCCCCTCATCCTTGAATTCGGTGGGCAAAACATAACCCGGCTCTCCCCACCACCACCCCCTCTGTGTGTGTGTGTAATTCAAAAGTGCGAGAGGATTAAAAAAAAAAAAAATTAAATCGCTATTATCAAGAGAGTGAGACAAGCCATTAGGAAAAAAAAGGCACAGTGCCGGCTCAAAAAAAAGGGGGATTTAGGAAAAAAAAAAATTTTTTTCCTTTTTTTTCGATATTTTATTTTTTTTTTTGGTGAAAAAATCCTGTGTGGAAAAGAAGAAGAAGAAGAAGAAGACGACGAAGACGACGTGTGAAAAGAGGGAAACATGGCGGTGAGAATGGAGAATGTTGCCGCGGCAAGGAAGATCAACTACAAAATGATGGTGAGTTTTGTTTAAAAAGTAAATAAAAAATAAAATAGAAAAATCGTTTATCATTATTTAAAATGAGAGAAAAGAATATTATTAGAATTAATTTTTCTCTGCTTATAAACTATATTATAATGGATAAATAATATGAAACATGTGGATTGTGTGTACGCGGCCATTGGTGTGTGAGCAGAGCAGAAAAAAAGGAAAAAAAAAAGTTCTCTCTTGCTCTCTCTCTCGCTCTCTTTCTTTTTTTTTCTTTCTTTCTCTCTCTCTCTCTCTCTCTTTATTGAGGAGACGAAAAATCCCCCGGCAAAATGTGACTTCTAATTGGCTGGTGTTTCGATATTGCGACGATATTCGTTAGCCAATCATTGAATATTTTTTTCTCATGTGCAAAAATTTATAATCGGATAATATTTTATTATTATTATTATTATTATTATTCTTATCATTATTGCTATTATTATTATAATTATTTTTATTAATAATATTATTAAAAATTAATAATATTAATATTATTATTTTTATTTTTATTATTAATAAAAATAATTATAATAGTAATAATAATAATTATTATTATTATTATTAATAATTTAATTAACCATAACCTCAAATTTCAATTATATCACGATTCAAATCCAAAGTATAATGGAAATAATTTTTTTTTAGCCTAAATCATATTCCTACTAGTCACAAATATAATAATAAATATAATTAATTATTATTATTATTAAAATTGTAATAATTATAATAGTCATAATTATTGTTATTAATAGAAAAAAAAATTATTATTGTTACCATTAAAAATAATTATTATTATTGTTAAAAATAATAATTATTATTGCTATTATTGAAAATAATAATTATTATTGTTTTTATTAAAAATAATTATTGTTGTTATTATTATTATTATTATTTATTGCATTGTTTTTATAGTAGAAAAATCGACATTCATCTGTAAAAAAAATAAAAAAAAAAAAAAAAAAAAAAAAAAAAAAAATGAAAAACAGCAAGAACAAATCGATTGATTAAATGTCTCCTTGAATATTTATAAGCGTATATTAAAAAAAAATCGGACAAATTGATTACTTTCTTATTTATGATGAAAATGTAAAAATAGTAATAAAACAAGAATAAATATAAAGAAATGAAAAAATGAAAAAATAATTTTCTAACTAAAAATAAGATTTTTAAGGTTAAAAAAATTTTTTTTTTCAAACTCTGGATTTTTGAATCATAATATATAATTGAAATTTAAGGTTATGGTTAATTTTACAATTGATTAAATAAAAAAAAATTTATTTTAAATAAAAAGAAGAAAAAGAAACAGATTTATAGAATTTACATAGGAATATCTTTTTTTATAGTTTGAAAAAAAAATTTTATATTTGATATTTATTTGTAGCAAATAAATGTTGATTTGTATCAAATAAATATTTTTTTGCATCAATTAAAACATTTGTATTAATTTAATATTTATTTGTATGGAATAATATTATTATTTGAGTCAATTAAATGATATTTATTTTAAATACAGAAATTCTTAATTCAAATACAGTTTATTTAATTCAAAATAAAAAAAAAATTATTTGATTCAAATAAATATTTATTTGTAAATATAGTCAAGTAACCGATTATTTGAAACAAATAAATTTAATTTTTCACTATATTTTTGTAGTTTTTTCGTATTTTTTTTAGGAAGAAATAAAATTTAAAGGTTATGTTGACTTTTTCTTTTTGCCAGAAATAAAATACTAATTTTCTTAGTTTTCTTTTTAAGAAAAAAATATTAATTTTAATCTTATATTTACAATAATTATAGATATTTTTTTGTTAAAATAAAATAAATTTTGAGGTTATGTTAGCATTTTTAAATTTCTGTTTTAATTATACTAAACTTTTGAATTCTATAAATCATATTTTGATAAATTTAGTAAAGAAAACCATATAAATATTTAAAGTTCTTTATTCAAAATTTAATTTAACTGTAAAAATTTTTATTTTAACTTTCGAATTTTTAGAAAAAATTTTAACATAATTTTAAATTAATGACTGACTTTTGCTATTTATAGAAAGTTAATGGTTGTATGAAAGTTCATTAGTTAAATTTTTACACAGAAAAAAAAAGTTCACCTAAAACAACGATAAGTTTCACTGGAACAGCGATATGTTTTACTAAAATAGCAAAAGTTTTCGCTGTTCTAGAAAAACATATCGCTGTTCTAGATAAAAAAAATTTTTTTTTCCTGTAACTAATTAAAAAAAAGTAATATCAATAATTGCACTAATAGTGAAACAAAAAAATTATTTTCTCTAATTCATTATTGTTAATTAACAAAAAAAAAAAAAAAAAAAAAAAAACCAGTCACTAAATTTAAAACTATAACCTCAAATATTTACTGAACTTGGCAAAAAAGAAAAAAAATTTCATATCGCAAGTAGACCAGTTTGACAAAGATATAAAACAGCAATGGCCTGCCCAGACAAGTCATGCGTTAGGTTAGGTTAGGTTAGGTTAAACTCCTCAACGGCATAAATCGACATTCGAGACAAATGTCGTTTTAATGCCTTGTTAATTGAATTCCTCAGTATATGTAGCTTTGTTATTCGAAATATTCCCCTTCCACCCCCCACTAAAAATTTTCCTCTAAACCCCCCCCCACCCCCCTCTTCTCAGAGTACATATATATATTATTTTCTTCAAACAAATTTTTTTGCAATTTTTTTTTTTTTTTTTTTTTTTTGACATAAAGAGAGATAATTTTTTTTTTATTTCATCGAGGTGTGAAAAATAGACTCTATTTTTAGACTTTAGAAAAAGTGGTTGGTAAGGGAAGGATTAAATTTTGATATGACAAATTACTGTGATTACATTTTTTTCTTTTTGTGATAATAAACGTTTATAATAATAATAATAATTTTATAATTAAAAAATATTCTAAAGAATATATATACTTGGGATCTACTTTAGAATATTTTATACTTAAATTCAGTATGTAATATTATTAAATTAGGAATATATATATATATATATACTTAATTTAAGTATATATATACTTAATAAAACTATACTGAATTTAAGTATAAAATATTCTAAAGTAGATCCCAAGTATATATTTTTAATTTCAGTTTACTTTTCATTTTGGGGTCTAATAGACCCAAAGGTCTATTTTTCTTGCCATAGTAATTTAGAATACTATCTATTTTAGATTATATATTTTAAAATAGTATTCTAAATATTTTATACTTAAATTCAGTATCTAATGTTCTTAAAATTGGAATATATTCTTAGTATTTAGAATATGTACTAAGTATACTAAGAATATATTCCAATTTTAAGAACATTAGATACTGAATTTAAGTATTAAATATTTAGAATACTATTTTGAAATATATAATCTAAAATAGGTAGTCTTCTAAATTACTATATGGCAAGAAAAATAGACCTTTGAGTCTATTAGACCCCATAATGAAAAGTAAAATAGTCCTTTGGGTCTATTAGACCCCAAAATGAAAAGTAAAATAGTCCTTTGGGTCTATTAGACCCCACAATGACAAGTAATAATTAATTTTAATAAAAAATTTCTCTCTATTTCAATTTTCAATACCGAATTAACTGTACAATTTGACATAAAAGCAGCCTCTTTGTGTTTTGTTACAATTCTTATTCTTTGACGAAGAAGAACAACTTAAAGATAAGCCAAATTTTAAGTTATTGCTGAATTTTAAGTTTATTGGCAAGATTTTTTTTTTTTTTGTGAAAAAAAGAAAGATTTCACGCGGCCATGCGGATATACTATACATACAATTGCCGGCTGATTGTATTATATATATATCTATAAAATCGAGGAGAGAGAGAGAGTGGGAATTGCGAGATTGGGTTTAGATTCCAACGGAAGGCCATGCTGGTTGATATGGGGGCGGCGAGACATACGGCCGATGGCCATGGGCATCGCGGAACCGGCGTAGTTTGACAGTTTGCCGCGGGGCGTCTGCCCCACCCAGTCTCCAACTCTTCCTTCTCCTCTTTTGCCGGTTTTACCCCACACCCCTCTCTATAAAACCCTATATTTTCAATTCCCCCCCTCCACCATCATTCGATTTTGCCTTCCTCCCACCTCTCTCTTTCTCTTTTCTTGCTTCATTTACGCAGTGGCGTAACGTAAAATCTTGGAACCCGATTCGATAACAAGGGTGAATATTCCTATTCCGCATTGTCATTATTGTCAAAAGAATCTACTCACTTTTTTCTAGATACTTTTATCTTCATTATACTCACTCTTCTCCAAATACTTTTATCTTCATTACTCACATTTCTCCAGATACTTTTATCATTGGAATTTAGTTTTGAAAACCGAGTTTAAGTTTTAACCAAGTCCAGTTAAATGTTAAATCAGCGATTAAATCCCTAACCGACCAATCATTGGTTTTAATCGCTGATTAACTTTTAACAGGAGTTGCTGAAACTGGGCCTAAATGTTTTGGATGAATGAAAATTGTAGTGTTAAAAGTATAGTTTTTAGGGGGTGGTGAAAGATTAGTTAGTAAATGCGAAATTGGAAAAAGATCCATCTATAGTATTAGGCGAAATAAGAAAATAATCCAACTAATAATGGCGAAATTAGAAAATGATTCTGCCTTTTCTAGTTCGATTATCTTTTGATTTCGCCGTTACTAATTGGATCTGTTTCTGATTTCGCCATTACTAGTTGGGTCCTTTTCTAATTTCGCCTTTACTAGTTAGGTCCTTTCCTAATTTTGCGATTCCTAGTTGTATACCATCTCCAGATTCGGCCTTTAACAATTGGATCAGTTCCTAATTTCGTTTATTAATAGTTGGGTCCTTTCCTAATTTCGCCTTTTTACTAGTTGTATCATCTCCAAAATCAGCCTTTACCAGTTGGATCAGTTTCGGATTTTGCGCCTTTACTGACTGAACCATTTTCTGAACACTCCAAAACTGTTTCATGACTAATTTGTACTAATCCTAACAGTTTTGGAGTGTTCACTAG